CTTGCATTCTATAGACCAGACTAAGGGCCGGATGCCGACCTCATGCAAGCGCCTAAGCATGTCACCCCGCAGCGCCACTATAGGCAAAACCAAGACCGTGGTCTTGGCATCGGCTACAGCCGCACTCAGCATGATGGGCAGTGTTTTGCCCGAGCCGGTCCCGAGGACTAGCACCACTTGCTCGGCTGGCCGGGGTCTTAGGATGGCAAGCACGCCGTTCCGCTGGCCTGGGACCCGGAAGTGCAAGTCGGGCCGGTTGTATAGCTTTCGTGCTACGGCTAGCAAGTCGGCCTCGGCATAAGCGCCCCTTTTGCGCACCTGGCCACGCTTAGAAGCATCGAGCATTCGCAGGGACAGTATCTCTAAAGCACCCCGTGGCCGCTTTCCCTACAGAACGTAGTCAAACGGAAAGAACGTACGCTAGCTCTCGGATGCCCGGTAGTTGCGGTGCAGTAGGGCACTCATAGTTAGCGTGGTAGTGCCGGCGTAGGCCTGGTTGAAGGTGCGGTAGCTGTGGTTGCTCTGCTCGGCTATGGCGACTAACTCTAGCTCCTCGTCCGCCACCTCCTCTACTATACTAGCCTCCAGATCAAAGGTGGCCCGCTCTTTGGCTAAGAACTTCTCTTTGTAGATCGTCGCCGCCAGCTGGCGCCAGTTGGACGTGTGCAGCCGCGGCACCTGGGCCTTGGCACACGCCTTGGTCAGGCAGGTCGTCAGCGTCCCGTCCGGCCAGACGGTGCCATCTAGCTTGGCCCAGAGGTAGGGCGAGATGAGGGCACCGGGCGTCTGCTAGCGGAGGAAGAGTTGGCGCAAGGGTAGCACGTAGGCGATGTAGTCGAGCAAGAGATCCCCGATTGCCTTAGGCAAGAAGCGCATATTATCCTTGTACGCGCCCGACTGTTGCTGGCCCTTGTGGTATTGCGTATACAGTATGACTAGCTTCTCCCAGATGAACAAGTGGCGCTAGCGGGCGGTATTGCACCAAGTAATGGACAGTAGCTTAGGCTCCCGCAATGGCTAGCTAGCGGGAATATAACAGAGGATAAGTAAACGCTTTAAGAAGTCCTGAGCGTGCACTTCATAGAGTGCTATCGCTTTAGAATGCAACTGCATGCTCTCGTCTGCTGCTGCGATCAGGAACATGGCCCGCAGCTCACTCTTGCTCTGAATTCGCCAGAGCAAGGCTAGCTTAGCCTCGTTAAGGAACTCGGTATTATAAGAGTGAGTAAGCTAGGAGCCGCCAAAGTCGTCCTGATCTAAGTCGTCCTTTAGCCGCCAGGACTGCATTGGGGTCAAGTCACCTGACTTAAACAGCAGCTCCTTATAGAGCAGGGTATGCGCCTACTAGTACTCGGATAGGACGAGCTACGGGATCTAGGCTATCTGTAGCTCGGTGCCCCGGTAGGTGACCGTCTGACTATCGAGGGACTAGCGGGCCTAGTGCTTGGCTACTTCCCCCTTAATAACCTTAAAAAGATAGAGCCGCTACTATAGAATGTGCCCAAACGGCGTCTCGGCTAGTTGCTGGAAGAATCTCTTGCAGATCTTAGCCAAAAAGACTAGGATTTAGTCCTCGTTATCTTGCTCTTAGAAGCAGGCGTAATCAACTAGTATGAGCTAGGCCGTCCAAGTCAGTGCAGACAAGTGGCTATTGTAATTCCCCGGCTCCATCCACTGGCCCTGACTTACCCCGCTACCCCGCACTTTGCGACTAAGCATAGCGCAGAAACTCAAGACCGACGACTTAAAGGGCACGCTCCCGACCGTCTGGCAGATTAGGGCCAGGTAGAGTCGCCGAATGGCATGCTTGAGAGCTAACTCGGCCTCTTCCTTATCCGCAACAGCTAGGGCTTCCATAATCTCGTCCATGGCCTGAACTTGCTGAGCAGTAGATTAGATGATGTCCTAGGGCAGCTTCTAGTCTGGCTGAGTCCGCGTAAAGTAGCCCTCCTCACAGTACACAACCCGGTAGTAGTACGCTAGTAGCTGCTTTATAGTGGTAAAGTACGTAGTAAGTATCAACGCGTTCTTGTAATACCGGAAGCCATCTGAACGGCCGGACGCCCTAGTATAGAACTCGTTGAGGATGTTAGCCCGCTACTGTGTTATTTTCCGCTCTAGCGAGGTGTCGCTACAGAGCTAGTAGGCGTCTCGCAAGAGAGCCTTAGCCGCAACCAGAATCCGGACCAAGTCGGGGTCCTCAGCATCCTTAGCATCGGCATCCAGCACTCTCTTTGGCGGCAGGGCGTACGAGCTCCTGATCTCCGCGTCCTTCAGCCGAGCCAGGTGCGAGGGGAAGTCGGTCCGCTCGAGCTAGGGCACTCTCTCTGACCTGGAATCCCTAAAGCCCTGGACGATACTAGCTTAGTCTTCGAGGTCGCCCTTTACATTGTAGTAATCCTCCTCCAACTTCTCAAACAAGGCCTTCTCTTCATTACTTGACCCCCCATCTACTAGCGCTTTGTCTACCGGTTCTTCGTGATCGACTACTACAAAGTAATCGATCCTTCCATGCCCTGTAAAATACGTCTGGAGCGTGCAAGCCTTCCACAGGGGGCTCTTCTGGTGCTTAGTTGCTTTTATCTTGTGTATAGAAGCTACGTGGTCCTTCATTTTCCGGGGGTAGCGGGTGCAGTACAGGTAGTCCGGCTGTAGGCAGTGGAAGCCATCGTAGTAAGCAAGGTGCCCAATCAGCTCGCACGAGTCTTCAGGACGGGGCTTCCGGTCCCTCAGCTCGTTAACAGTCCTTAGGTTGTAATCATTTAAACGTTGGATTGTTGCTTTGAGAGCATCACCGGAAAGTCGGTGTGGCTCGGCGCGCAGGTGGCTCTCCTGGCTCCCTATCTTAGGGATGATACTTGACTTGCAAGCCAGGCATATTACAATCTTGTGAGTAGGGTTATAGATAAGCATCACGCGCGCGTGGTCTGTTCAAGAGGCCTGTAGAGGTGGGCGAGGCAAAGTGCACTCTCACTTGATACACTCTTACTTGAAGACGCTTAGTCAGCCGCGCCTGGGCCCAATGGCGCGGCCGCATCCTGCACTCTAACTGAGAGAGCGCCCGCGCATAGGGGGTAGGAACTCTTATTAGACTCGACTCATTTAGACTAGACGGGCGCTCGGACCACACTTTATTTTGGCGGGCGCAGACCCTCGGTAGACTCTACGGAGCGCCCGGCATAAGGGGTAGTCCAATTCTTAATGGCGTTCCGCCTGCGGGCAACGATAGCGTGAAACCCCGAAATCATATCGCACTTTATGCAGCACCCTTTTTTCCTGTTATCTTGTGATAAAGTTTTAATACAAAGTCTTAATAAAGTTGCAATGCAGTCGCTACCGCGACTACCCCACAAAGGCGCATTGCGCGAGGATTTACTCGTCCTTCGTCACATTTTTGATCTTAAGCTTGGCCGACAAACATTGGACTAAGATTGCATTGACTACTTGTTTCTAGGACAGAACTTGACATCGAGCTGTTTCGTTAAGGACCTGCTAATAGTTAGTCTTGATGTCGAGAATCCGAACTTTGCTAACGTGACAAGCAATACGCAATTTCAAGTCGAGCTCTCTATACTCGACACTCGACATTTATAAACAAGTATCTAAGATCCTTGTAACGATTATAGACTAAATGTTCTATTCTAAGGTCATTAATTCTTTATCGGACCCGAAAAAGGATTCAAAAAAATATCGCGCAAAGTTTGTTATGCCTAATCTAAGCATATTATACTCGAGGATCTTAATAAAGAGATCCAAAGCCTAGTCTCGGGTCGAGATTTCATTCTTGTCGTTCACGGTGGAAAATATGATCTCGGCTTTTTGAAAGCTACTAAGGTAGATCTCCATCCTCTCTATATTTTAGACACACAAAATGCCGCTCAACATCCGCTCGATCTTGCCTTTCGACATACGCTAGAAGATATTCTCAAGCTACTGAAATGTCCAACTGGAGATCGAATACTGCATGTCGCTAGTAACGATGCGAACTTCACCGTCCGTGCGTTACTACTCATTGCTACTGTCGATGCTATGGCAGCCAACTAATCGCTCTTGAAGCCTACTCAAAAGCGTCTTTTCTCGGTCCTCGAAGCCATTGGCAAAGGACCTATACCTCTAAATGATGAGCAGAAAGACGACAATGCACGTCGGCAAAGAGAGGAAGATAGGGCGAGGAGAAAACGTGAGAAGAGATATGCAAAGAAGAAAGAGAAGCGGGAGCAAGAGATGATGCCTTAGAGGATCAGAAATATTGGGAGAGGGAAGCCAAACGGAAGAGAGAAAAAGGGAGCAATTCTAAAGCTCCTGAATAAGAGAAGGCACGAATTTTCTTATCGGATACAATGCTTGGTCTAATCTAAAGTTTGACGCGGGTCAGAACACTCAACTCTTGGGCCAAGACATAAAAGGAGGTACGGTACATTGCCACGTATTCGTTTGCTCAACCTGGTGTTGAGGAATCTCGAACTTCTGCAAGCGTCGGACCATGATTTCGACTTCAAGAGAACCCGCACGGAAGATGAAGCTCGTGGTACTGGCCATCCAAGCTCCCCGGACTTTTCGTGGAGGAGATTATGTCGAGTATATTTGTAGTAAAGGAATGGAGATCCTCGATGTTGCGTTATGTAACGCAGAGAGGAAGACGAAAACTCTTGGTTGAAGATCCAAACCTATTAAAAGTCAGATAGATCCATATAAGCAATCGAGAGGAAAGAACCACGACAGCTTCGCACACCTAGAAAACTTGAAGAATGATGTATTTGATCAATCGAAACAATTGTGTTATGTTACCGAGACTACAATCTTCTTCCTTTGAGAAGTTATAGGGGTCGATGATCAATATTGTCGCGAATTCAACCTAATATGTTGTGTTAATTCAATAGCCACAACATTATTTTAGGTAAGTTAAATTGGCAAAAGTAGGAAATAAATCACAAAAACTCATGCATTATGTTTTCCAATACGAAGAATGTTGATTTCATATCGAACGAGACCAACGAGATGCTCGAGATCACCAAACCCAACCTCCATCACTCACTTCTCAAGATATCAACAATCACGTATTCATATCCCACAGAAATTCGTATATTTGATAGCCATCACAGCTTACTATTCAGCCAATTCTCGCTTTAAACAAATGCGTATCCATTCCAGTATTGTGCTCCCTCTTCAGCCCCTCCACCCATCTTCTCGTGTGGATATGGCGGTGCAGGGTTGCCGGCAGATAAGGATTGCTCATGGACTGTTGCTGGTATGACGGGGGTGGAGAAATTGGCTGAGAAGACCTCGTCTTTTGGTCTTGCAATTGTGCGTCCCACATTCGTTGATTATGCTCATGATCCTTGTATGCCAATTCGTGTGCTCGATGAATGTCTAGTCGCCTCCTGTTCGATTTACCCTGACTGAACATAACTTTCCCGCCAAACTCGGGTCGGTTTGGCTCTTCATTTCTGACCTGGAAAGCTACCCCTTGCGCAAAGCCATTGGAGTGAATGGCCTTGTACGTGTGCGCAGGAACACCTTGTTGCTCGTAAATCTGCCTGGCATGCTCAGCGTATTGGTCGACTTTCCGGGCTTCATGCTGAGTGGCTTCCCAGCAAGGCCGAGCACTTTTGATGTGGTTGACAAAGTCTTTGGTGGGCTGGTAGGCATCTGATATCCCTCCTGCTACCATTTTGAGAGGGTGTCGACGATGTTGTGAAAGGCAATAAGTTTGATTGAGCGTGAATATTAATCACGGCCTGCGTTGTGACTTCAGCTCCCTTTATATTTCAGTATTTGCTTTTTCCCGAATACGGTGTGGTATGCAGGCCTGTATGCCCGGTGGCAGACAGAGTGTGGCCAATTAATTCCAACGCCTCACGAGTTTTGAAACAGGGCTTTGCACGTCTGCCTAGATGCCCCTTTGCCTCAGAGAACGCATACCAAGCCTTTGGACTTGAGAGTCATGTTGTGGAGAGAATTTCATACTTCAAACTGCGGTGAGCTTCAAGGAATATTTAGAACCCGACTTTGTCATCGTTTTGAATGAGAAAGAAGCAGAGGTATACACTCGGTATACTACTCAGTCAGTTCCACTATGCCTGACGGGATCCTGTTTAAGTCAAGCAATACGCCGCTGTGATGTCCTTGCATCTCTTTAACCAATCATAAGAACATGTGTCTCCGTCCATCTGACTTTTGAACTGTGTTGGCCACTGCATGGTATGACACCATATGCAATACGTACTCCATGTGATAGCGTGCTTTGTGGCACGAAGCCATCGGCAGACCAAAGACCACAATATAGGCAGCGTTGGTTTAAGATACTCTATGAAGTTCAGGCCTTCGACTCGCCATATAATGAACTATGAATGCTTGGGAACATCCGCCCAAAATCGCTATAACACTAAGCCAGCTCTGAAGATTTTCTTAGCCCTTGAAAGATGTACTGTATTCTGCCTTGCTCATACGGGAGTCTCCGAGTCAAACACAAGGCCGACGGGATGCCGTGTTCTGTTTCAAATTTGGCGACTCGAATTCGTCGAGGAAGCGCACATGGCACCTTGTGTGAACGCCACAATGCACTCAAGTCACACTGTACTCCAGAACGTACATTAAAGGATTCAACCTCGAAGCCCATGCTGCTTTGGCGGGCCTTGGTTCCCACCTTCTGTAGAGAAGGAGGGGTTTGTTTAGAGAGCTGATGTGCGCAGAGGAGGGAATTTTCCTAACAGCGGACGAGAGTCCTCGGAGCGTGCACGGGATGATCTCGTTGCGAAGTGGGTCTACGAAGTGGAGTTGCCAGCCAAGTAACTGCACCAGAAGTGGAAGAGAGTCCTCGGAGCTCCAGCCTTCTAAAGTCCAACAGAGGCATGGACAACCGCATCAGATATTGTCCCACCGACCTGCGAGCAGCATGCCACCGAAGACCGGGATAGCTGTTCTTTCAAAGTGGCGAGAGCGGGCACTGTGTTTGTTGAAATCGGTGTGGCTACGATATGAAGATCCTCGATCTGCGTATCTTGGGTTCAGTATTCAGGCTGGCAGTCTGCGAGACGATTCATATGGAGAAAGAAGATGGCAGATGTAAATAATCCAGTGAACATTCGATCTCGTGAAACTTCCCACCCGTTTCCACAGCAGAATCATATAATCCACTGACAGGCTCCAAGCGCATAGAGTTGTCGACTCTAAGCTGTGGTGTTGAGAACAGCTCGAAGAGGGGGGCTGATGACGGCAGTTCCCGAAAGTGAGTCCCAGCCTTCTCACTGCGATTGCAATCCAACTGGGATATTCAGGATACATGGAAGCTGATACCACTCGCCGTGAAGGCTGATAGCTCTCGAAACATGTCCTGCCTTTCAGCAAGGATTCTTATCGCTTTGCTTCTCTTGCTCCGTCTCGCCAGAACATTCACTTTTGCTGCTCTTGTGTAGGGCGCGGCACGGGTGGTTAATAGCTGGTTAGAGGGGCCCTCTACCCACCCAGTGGGCGGGTAGGGTAAGGTTAAGCTTCTTAAGCTTTTACCCTGACCTCCCACCAGGTTACCATCTGCCATCCAGCACATGACATGGCCTCACGTAGTATAATCAAAAATCTGCCACATGCCCCCTTACAAGAAGGAGTGCACATTGCAAAGCATATGCAAAGCATAATGCCCTGGCTACACTCACCAAACAATGCAAAAGTGCAAGAATGGAGGTGATAGCACTCACTCACATGACTCCAAGTCACGTGAGAATCATGTGAGATGAATTGGATTTGAGGAATCAAGGCGCTTTCAGAAGGTAAGAACCTTTAGAAAGCTTCAACCAAGGAAGCTTCAGTCCCTTCACTTTTTTCAAAAGATTGAGCAAAGCTGGAGACTGATCTGGAGCTTTAAATATGTATTTAGAGGGGTCTAGTGAGCTTGTACGCTGCTAATCAAGGCATAGTTGGCCGGACTATGAGTGAAGGAAGCAGCTGCAGCTTAAGGAAGAGAAAGGAAGCAAGAATGAGTAGGAGAAGTGAGCCCTTTTTATAGATTCTGGCCAAACCCCTTAATTTCCCTCTTTTCTGATCACGTGTAACACGTGCTGGATTATCCGGGGTTACCCTGGAGGTTTCTCCTTAATTTAAAACCACCCATTGTCAGAGACGACGCGGCCTACCCACCGTAAGGGGGCCCATGGAGCAGGTCAATTTCCGGATTGATACCAACCGTGCCGCGCCCTACTCTTGTGCCAGGATCTTTGAGGACTTGGTCTGTTGACTTTCACCCTGCGATGAGTTCAGTCAATCTACTCTCTTCACCCTTCAACAACTCCCTCTTGGCAGGTATTTTTTGGTCTTCTGGAGTTGTTCATCAAAACGCGCTTGCCATCTGATGTTTGCTTACCAGGCGAGGGCCAAAGATTGAAACCATCACGGAACCTGGCCTTCCAGGCACCACGGCGTTTCCTCCCAATGGGACACTTGCTCAGAGTAGGATTGCTTCAGATCATCGGCAGATACAGCACACACTTGTCTCTGGGAGGTTTCCTGTTCGTAGTATTCAACACAATACACCTAGCCACCCTCTCTGTGGTGAATCTGTTCTCAATATGCCATAGCTGCCATATCTGCTCCCTATCGTCATCCACCTTTGGAGAACATGAGCCACTGCATACGAATGTGACTCGAAATATTGTGAGACTCTTGATGCTTAAAGATCAAGGGAAGCAAGAGGAGAGAGATGGAATTCAGCGAAGGATTCCAGCAATGCAAGACCAAAGTCTAGCACAGGAAAGAATTCGGAGACCAATTGAGACTTCCGATGCAAGACCAAAGTCAAGCAAGATTTGGAGCCCAACTAAGAGTCCAGGAAAGAAGATGCGGAGGTCAATTAAGATTTCCTCAACGATCGAAGTCGGGAAAAAGTTCGGAAGTCAATTAAAGCACCTCCTTACAAGACCGAAGTCAGAGCTGTAGCGTGAATAGATTCTTCACGCGATAAACGTTTCGATGATATTGAAGATCAAGGACGATTGAAGAGAGAAGATGGAAAGGAGCACGAACGCATGGGAAATAGCTTACGCATTATGTAAGCTTCAAGTTAAGGCTGCTACAGTAGGTTAGAGCATTCCGGGCTTAGCGCGTGTAGGGTCGTGAATGTCTGTCATCCGCGAACAAGAGCACGAAGACACCGATCTCACAACAAGATTCAATCCATGGACGCTCGATCTTGGAACTGAATACCTGGCAATATCGCAGCGACCGCCAATCTCTGAATTGAAAGGTAGTCTGCAGCTGTAGGTGGAGATATTTGGCACCAAAATCACAGCATCTACCACAATCCAATCTCGCTCGAGCGCATCTAACTCTCTCGCCTTCATTTCGACAATCCCAACAATTTCAGTCGCAGAATTCAGCAACATCATCAATAACAGCAGCAAGACAAACACCGTCTCGCTCGAATAGCAGTGATCCGGCTGTCGCGGAGGCATCATCAATCCGTCGTCAAGGAAGGCCTTTCAAGTGTTCGATTCTTGTGATGTGCTGTCTCTTGCGTCAAGAATCTCGAATGCGCCCTCTCCACAACATTTGCAAAATCCAAGCTCTGTTGAGAATGACTAAACTTCAACCCTTCCTCTACTTCCGATGACTTTCCTTGACTCGACGCCATTCAGCAGACCAGATTACCCTCAGATCGAAGTCTTTCACATGGGTATCACGTAATCTCAACTATGCATGCTCATTTATATTGTATCTCACATGTCGCATGACTTGTATTGAACTGCCGAATATGGCAATCATCCCAAGCGGGGAGGTCGATTTCATTGGGACAACCTCTACTTTCTTGATTCGGGTACCCATAATCCAATCATGAATACCAACATTATTATCGCTCCCACACAGTCTACTTCTTGATCATCCTCTCATTCCAGAATACGGTACAAGCTATCCTGCAAAGTTGCTTTGGTCAAGTCATCATGTACTTTGTCGACTTTGCTAGTCATGCAAATCTTTATATTGTCGCAGATTACCCGGGACTTCTGGCAAAATGTCGAGGTCACAATGCTTTCCCTTTGCACTCTCCTTGCTCTGGCCACAACTACGTCTGCACTGTTCAACGCCTTCATTCTTCAACTCTCTGAGGATCACGAATTCCATAAACAAGCATCGCATCTCTCATACTCTGTTCGACACGAATACCGAAACCCAGATGTCTTCTTTGGCCTGTCCATTCGAGGAAACATTACCAAAGCTCAACTTCAAGAGATTCCGGGTGTCATATCGGTCTCCAGTGTCTACAATGTCACCCTTCCAGCTCAAAACCTCCATGCTTCCACTCTCTCTTATAACCCTGAGCTCTCTGTTCCTCGAAATGGAGTCCTCTCATCATCACTGGAAATGAGTAGCGTTGACAAACTTCATCAACTCGGTATCAAAGGAAAGGGGATCAAGATTGGCGTCATTGACACCGGCATAGACTATCGGCATCCTGCTCTTGGTAGTGGCTTCGGCCCTGGCCACAAAGTAGCTGGAGGATACTCTTTTGTCCTCGATAATGGAACCCTCGACAGTAGCCCAGACCCTCTCGCCACCTGCTACGGAGGAGGTCATGGCACTCATGTCTCCGGTAAGATACCTCAATCGATCAAATCCACTCACTAATTTCACAGGAATTATCGGTATGGAACCCTCAACATTTGACATTACCGGCGTGGCTCCAGAATCCAGTATCTTCATGTACAGAGTCTTCGATTGCTCTGGTCTGTCTCTCTCACCTTCATTCATCAGATCTGACTGGGTTTAGGTCATGCTGGAAGTGATACAATTATGGCTGCAATGATCAAAGCGTACGAGGATGGAGTCGACGTTGTGAGCATGTCTCTTGGTATCGGCCCAGCATCTTTCGGTGATGCCGTTGATCCTTTAGCTACTGTCACACGTATGCTCACGGATCATGGGATTGCTGTCATTGTGGCACAAGCCAACGATGCCAATGGAAGCTCGTCAACACCAGAACTCTACACGGAAGAATGGCCAAGCACAGAACCGACGGCGATCAGTGTGGGAGCCATCTCAAACACCCACTTCCCACTAGTGTACTCCGCTACAGACAATTTTGGCACGATCAAGTATGCATCAGTATACCCTCTCGACTTTCCAAATGGCGCAGATGTATACATCATTGACCAGGGGTGCGACCCAAATGCATGGAGTGATGCTCTAGCAGCCATCGGGAATGTCAATGAAACCATCGTCGCCTTCAAAGCAACGGATGGCTGCCCAGCAACTTCAGCGGGGCCAGCTAACGTCCCTCATATCATGGCTCTCAATTCAGACACTTCAAATCCTTATCTGTCGGAGTATGACACTCCCAGCCAAGGTTTCTTTGGGACAACTCAATTCATTAATCTCAATTCTCTGGATGGCGACACACTCCAGAAGAACTTTGCAGCTGTTGGTGGCTACTCAAAATACAAACTCTTCTTTCATGACAAGGATTTCACAAGTGTTCCTCAGAGGAGTGGTGGGATGGTTGATTACTATTCGAGCTTCGGCCCCACATGGCATCAGTACGATTTGAAGCCTCAAATCTCCGCTCCTGGAGGTCATGTCCTCTCCACCTGGCCATTAGGTCCACTTGGTGGATATGCCATTCTCTCCGGTACGTCAATGGCCACACCATACCTCGCTGGATGCTACGCTCTCGTCAAGTCTCAATTCCCTGCTGCCTCTATCTCCGAAATCCAGGCACGACTTCAAGTCAATTCCATCCCAGTCCCTTGGATCTTCAATAAATCCATGCTTTCGGCAACAGTCCAGCAAGGTGCTGGCCTGGTCAATGCCTACGATGCGATCTTTGCAGAAACAACAATCGCCCCCAGCCAGCTCAAGATTACCGACCAGAACAAAACAACTTATGGCCTTGCGAACATCACCATTGAAAACACTTCATCGAAACCAAAGATATATTCATTCTCTCATGAAGGCGCAGGATATATGGATTACTACATGTCGCACGATGAGAAAAACCAGGTTCCTTTGTTTGGCACTGCTCACTTTCCCAGTCCAACGACAATCCCGCCAAGAAGTTCAGCCACGATACAATTTTCTATCACACCCCCTCAAGGTGTCGTTCCATCAGCACTTCCAGTCTTCGGCGGATTCATCAAGATCAGCGACAGCAACGGCCAATCTTTCTCTGTCCCATATGTCGGCCCACCATACTCCCTTTTCAATACGCCATACATATTCATACAGAATACGTCAGACGGTATCTTACCGGAAGTATATGCTTACAATGCCGATCAGTCCGAGGTCACATATGACCTCAGCCTTCTCGACATCAACGCCACCAATGGATATGGAGCTTCAATCCCGACACTTCAATGGACACGTGCCTTTCGAGTAGATGTCCTACCAGCGAATACGAACATCACAGCCAATTATTACGGATTCGATGCAGCTATCAAACTTGAGTATATGCCCAGCAAACTCTCCCCAAATGAAAAAATATTTGGATTCCCATCGTTCGGCACAGCAATAAATTCCACAGGCTACGTCTGGCCAGGAGGGAATTCTGCTTTCGGCTCAGACGACACTGTGACGAGAAGCAATGGATCCAGATACAGTGTAGGGAATGGTGACTACAGATGGTTTGCGAGCGTTTTGAGAGCTGGTGGGAGTGACAGTGTTCAAAGCGACCATGATACTTGGTTGGGTCCCGTGATGCGGTTCAACGGCCAGGACATTTGAAGGAGTCGAAACGCGTTGAGGCTACTCGGACTTCATCATTTTTTATCACTCCGGAATGCACTCGATTCTCCAGAGCCTGAAGGTGAATTTGCAAGTGCAGGTTTATGTTTTGCAGCTGATACCGATTGGAATTCGCACAATGCCAGACGTTCGCCTTTTTTCTTTTTTCCTCTTTTTTCCTCTCTTTGATACCTTGGGTTATGAAGCTGGGGTTTTGGAAACGCTTTGGAATTCGTTGTTTGGCGTGTTGGTACAGGGTTGGAAGAACCGGGAGATACCCAATAATTGTCCGATCTTGGATCAGAGAATAGTTTGTTAGATTTCCAGCAAGTTCATGCAAGCAAGAGGCTCCAGTGATGCAACGTGCAAAATGCCTCCTGTTCTTTCGGCGATTATGCCTCAAGTCAGCACTCTCCTCCCCATCCAGCAAGACATAAACACTACTCACCCTACGAAAACCTTGACTGCGAGAGTTATTTTAAGATACGCATTAGCGTGGAGGCTGAAATGTCAGCTTCCAAGGCTGCGGGAGGCTTCCGCCCATGACTTTTGCGCCGCAAGCGAAGCACAGCCCTGTGTCAGATCGCCAAGCGACCGGCAGTAGAACGCCAACGAGGCTTTTTGACAGACAAGCTTATTTCTCGGGCTGCATGCTGCAGCCCTATTGGATACCTATGGAAGCTTTTCAGTCATCGTAAAATCGTGGAGAGCTGTACCGTCAACAAATTCTCAGCCTTGTAGAGCTAACGCCGGTGGATCGAATGACTTCTCTTCCTTCGTTCATGACCAACGTCAAAGCTTCAAGCAGGCTTCCTTTCGTTGACGATCTAAACATAGTTGAAGCCATGATTAAAGGAACATGTTCGCCTCTGCTGTTCACTTTCAACCCATCTCCTTTTCGCATTCTCATAGATACCCCCAGTCATCATGAAGACCATTTCCTTTGCTGTAGCCTGCTTGGCTTCTGTCGTTTCATGTAAATTTGGGCCTTCCCACGCACGAAACCCTGCTGTACCAGCCAGTGCAGCTGCTTCGGATTCCATCACTGAAGCAACTTTCGATCAATTGATCGATCACTCAAACCCATCATTGGGCACCTTCAAACAACGCTATTGGTACAGTACCGAGTACTGGAATGGAACTGGATCACCAGTAAGTATCCTTCCATCAACTGCCCGTGCCCCCTAACGTTTGTAGGTCATTGTTTTCAATCCTGGAGAAGAAGCCGCTGATGGCTTCACTGGTTATCTCGAAATTGGAACTCTCACAGGTCAATACATTCAGGCTGTTGGCGGCGCCGGTATTGTCATTGAGCATCGTTACTGGGGAGAATCATCACCATATACCGATCTAACTCCTGCGAATCTTACATACCACACTGTCGCACAATCCGTTCAAGACATGACAAACTTCGCCAACAATGTCCAATTACCCTTCGATAAGAGTGGCAACAGCAATGCAGCCAAAGCTCCATGGGTTCTCGTCGGTGGATCATACTCAGGCGCCCTCTCTGCTTGGACTGCCACGACCGCTCCCGGAACGTTTTGGGCTTACCACGCCTCAAGTGCACCCGTCGAAGCGATCGAGGATTATTGGGGCTACTTCTATCCAATCCAGCAAGGAATGCCTGCCAACTGTAGCAAGGACATATCGACAGTGATCAGTCATGTCGATAGCGTCTTGGCAAATGGTTCAAGCTCAGACAAATTGGCTCTGAAACAGATGTTTGGACTCGGTACGGTGGAGCACGATTCGGACTTCGCCAGAGAGCTAGTCAGCCCAATATATCTTTGGCAATCGTCGATCTCAGACTTCCTTCCATTCTGCGACTACCTTGAGGGCGTCACAGCTGGCCAAACAAATCTTCCTGGTCCAAATGGAGTCGGACTTGATGTTGCATTGTCCAACTATGCGTCGTACATCAACGGCACGTCTGGCTGCTCTGCATCTGATTGTTATGACTCGTATAACAAGGACGATTCCGAGTACACGAACACCGTTCTCGACCCCACTGGAGGTCCAGGAAGGCAGTGGCAGTGGCTCCTGTGCAATGAAGCTCTCGGATATTGGCAGACAGGTGCCCCAACCAACCAAACAACCTTGGTCTCGCGCTTTGTTACCGCAGAGTATTACCAACAAGAATGTAACTTCTACTTCCCTGGCGTCCAGTTCGGCCTCACTGAAGATAAGCACAATGCCGACTTTGAGGGGTGGGATGTTACCAAAACCGATCGATTGATGTTCTCCAATGGTGAATTTGACCCTTGGCGGTCAGCGGGCGTGTCTTCTGCCTTCAGACCTGGAGGTCCATTGGCCAGCACACCTGAGATCCCAGTTTTCATTGTTCCAGACGGAATCCATGTTCAAGATCTGTACATGAACGATGTTACGCCAGCGATCTTGGACCTCCGAAAGCAGGAACTCGCACAGATGGTCTCCTGGATTGAGAGTTACTATCAAGGAAGCAACTCCTCGACTACCAGCAAGGCTACGACATCGACTTCAAAAGCCACTTCAACTCAAAGCCCTACAATGACAACATCTACTCGAAGCAGCACCACATCGATGACCACTACCCAAGCTCCTCACAGTACAACGGTCACGGAAGTGATCTCATCGACTACCATAGTCGATTGTGAAAGTGAGACATCCAGTGCTATTCAGGCGCGATCAACTAAGATCGCCAGGTCATATCGTGCTTGATTTAGCGTTTCCTTCATTGCATTGGAAGGGGTCAGGAGTTATAGCATAGATAGCGGTTAGGGTTGATCTCGGATAGGGTATGGTATTACAGCATAAATGATAGCATTAAAAGGGTCTGAGCATTTTAGCGAGGAAATAAATAATATATCAAATGAAACGATTCGAGAACAAAATGCAAATCATTAGCAAAAGCTTTTAAAAAAATTTGTGTAGTCAAGCTGTCAAGGAGGAATGAAAGGTGGTACTTACTTCGTTCAAGGTCGAAATTTCTTCTGAGGTGAATATTACTATTCAATGTTGCGGGATCTCGAGTAGCTAGCTACTAGTTGACTGAGAGACCCCGTAATTCACTACTAGGTTCCTGTTAAGGGACCTGCTGTATACAAGACTTTTTAAGGTCAAGTACCAATTTTTTCGGATCTCGGTTAAGAGTTCCTGGATTTAAGAGATGAGAGAGTCAATTAAGTCCCTCTGTTGTACAAGACTTTTGAAGGTCAAGTACCGAAGTTTAGAAACTCAATTAAGAGCTCCTAGGTTTGAAAGACGCGAGAGATCAATTAAGACCCTCTGATGTACAAGACTTTTCAGGGTCATGTACCGAAAGGTTGAAGAGATGCGAGAGTCAATTAAGTCCCTCTGATGCACAAGACTTTTCAGGGTCATGTACCGAAAGGTTGAAGAGTTTGGTTTCCACTTAAGGTCCCGATGTACGAGACTTTTGAAGGTCAAGTACAGATTTTTATCGATGCCGAGACTTTTGAGGGTCACGTACTGATAGCCGCGATAAATTTTTTGGTTTTTCAACCATAGCTATAAACCTGTTAGTTACGATAATAATTTAAAGTGTAAATGCAAACAGCTTGACCACATATTTGTGACAAAACCATGCTTATTTAAATCTATAAAGGGTTTGCCTGATTCCCTACAAGGGCTAGAGCCGGGGCATGTCAATTGGGATTGGGATGATAAAGTTCGGATGTATTCCGTAAATTGACTTTTGATCTCTGAAAAAAGGGTCATCTCGATCATGTAACCTTCAATAGCTTCATTTTCATTATTTTTGCAACAGTGGAAAGCTATCTTATTCCTTTACAACGCGATCACCGACATCGGGAACCGCCTTCTCTCCACCTCCCTTCTTCCCCTCAGCTTCAAGACTCATCACACTCGTCCCCGCACTATGACCCTGCGTCCCAATCTTCAAGAAAGGCACAAACAATAAACTTGTCCCCGCACTCGCAACACAAAACCAAAACACCATCTTATACGGCCTCAGCGTCGTCTGTAAAGCCGCCGTCCCCGTTGATTCCGCGTTGTAAATGCTTGCCGAAATTCCCAGCCCTACAGCAGAGCATATCTTGATCACGGTATTGAAGATCCCTCCCGCGAGTGATTGCTGGTGAGGAGGCAGCGAAGACATGACGTACATCTGCTTCGGTCAGATTGTAAACCCAGAGGGGTGAAGACTTACATTCGCAACATTGAACTCGAGATCAGCTCCGATGACGGAGAGAAGAAGTGCTGGGAATATGAATGCCCAATATGAACTTCCCTCCTTGATGTTGGCCATGAGGAGAGCAGAGCCAAGGTACGACAAGGCTCCAATTCCCGTCAAGATTTTGCTGCTGACCTTATGGAGCACCAACCCCGCGATAATATTCACCAAAATCCCACCGATTGCTTGAGGGAGGAGATGTATGGCTACTTTGAGAGCTGAATACTTCAGGACGTTCTGCATGTAAAGGGACAACCAGAATGCGCTCGTGCTGAAGGACATGAAGCCAAGAAGGACGATAATATTGATCTAAGAAGTCAGCTTCATTGATACAGCAATGCTGTGCACTCACCAAGGAGAAGTCTCTGTCCCGCCAAGTCACGAGTGGCATCAATGGATGTTTGCAAAATCCTTCCCAGCCAATGAATCCTGCAATCAATGCAATACCAAGCAAGAGCAGAACCAGCACGTAGCTCGTTTTCCATCCTTGCGGTGCACCACCAGCGATGCTAAAATTTGTCAGATGATACCTCAGGAGTCGACAACACTTACGTCAAGCTAGAGCAGAACAATGCAATTCCAGTCATACTCAACAAAATACCAAACAGATCAAACCTCTTCAGCGTCTTCAATGTGAACTTCTCAGTGACTTGCTGCGTCCTCGGCACGGTCCAAACAGAAGCAACAAAGAAGACAACGTAGATGATAGACAGAAGATAGAAGCTCGCTCTCCAATTGAACAAATGAGCTGCAATTCCTGAAAAGATCGTCCCCATCACAAACCCCACAGGGTTCCCCGCACTGAAACAAGCAAATGCGTAATTCTTCCTCTTGCTTGGAACAATGTACGCTGCTCCAAGAATGCCGACAGCGGGCGGAACAACAGCAGCAGACCAAAGGCCAAGCAAACCACCAAAGACATCAAGGTACATTGGGTTGGTTGCGAAACCTGCGATCAAACTCGAAATTGAGAATGCTGCCATACTGAAAATAAGTAAGGAGCGACGACCAAAGGTATCAGCAACCTTCGCGAAGAAGAGGAGGAAAGCTCCTGATGTTAACCTGGGTCAGTTAGTCTACACAAAATCCCTCATCTTGAGTGGCACTCACGCAGATGATGCATTGATCCAAGTAATCTGAGCACTCGTCATGTTCAACGTCCTTCCAATTGATGCTGTGATCACTGTACATATTCCGTAAAGGAATGAACTCATTCCAATTGACATCGTTGCGGTGAGCACGAACAGACATTCTTGCAGCGTTGAAGAGAAGCATTCGGGTCTATCGCCTGAGGTGGAAGATTCGTTTGAAGGTGGCGGTGAAGGAACGTCGAGGTTCGGAATCGTTGTATCGTCAGCCATTTCTGTTACTCGAAGAATATGCAATTGCCTCCTTTCGGATTCTTGTACGACAAGAAAAAAAGGTCGAAGATCGGCTTGGGGTTAATCCGCTTTGTCAGTTCCGAGTGGGATGGATGGAAATCGAGAGTGGGATATCCCGCTTTCTCCCGCCCCGCCACTCCACTCCGGCTCCACCTCGGGAAGGAGAATATGGTATCGAACAAATATGCATTGTTCATCTACAGAAACGAGTTTCTTTTCGCGCTCAGCTTGCTATAGCTGGTAATACTCTTCAAATTCTGCGGCGACCTCCTCCGCAGCTCAAACTCGTTATCCTGTACCCCCTGCTGTCCCTCTCGAATGAAGAAGTGCCCAGAAGAATTTTCAGCCATCACATGCCAATCCACATCCAGTTGATGTCCTTCCGGTCCAGCACCGCAACTCCCATCCAAGCGGTGCGACGGAGGACTGTTTACAGCTAAAGCAAATAAATTCGAAGGCTCGGTATAATCTGTTACCAGCCCATGTCGAAGAATGAAGTAGACCAAGCAGAAGACATTGGTCACAAACACGAGTAACAACACCACGTAGAATATCCCTTGCCACTGCTGTTGAAGTCCAGAGGTATACTGCTGTGACGATATTGATGCATTGAAAGGTTCCCACTCTCCCGGATCCAAAATATTCGCCGGATACGTCCAGTAATGGTAAAAGGTTGAGTCCGAGGTACTATCCATGAGTGTACTTCCTGCCATTACAGCTAACAATTCGGAAATACTTGGTGTCAGAACAGGCAGCGTAGGAAGACCGCTGCTAGGAGCCGTGGGGATCAGTTGAGAGAGTAGTCTTGATGTAGACGAGTTAGCGTCGGACAATCCAGTATTGAGAGATAAAGACAATATCCATTCTTGAGCAACATTCCTCCAGTCCTTGTTCCAGGTCTCAGGGGCTGGTTGAACCGATCTATTGTATGCCATCAGATTGTTGGGATCATCGCAATGGGATTCTAATTGGCCGTCACTCAACCCAGAAACATTGTAGAAAGAGCTACAAGAAGTAGACTGGTACGATCGCAGTTGACACATGGTGTAATCAGCAGTGGACGCATCAGGAGCCTTGATCAACATATAGACGGAGTCGCTCATGTAAACCGAGATATTGGTGAGTGAGTTGTATTCAATTGGATACTGAAAAGAATTAGCAATTATACACTTGCACCGAACGAAACCTACCATCGGAAACACAGGAGGTTGGCGCTTGTATTTCTGGCCCCATTCGAAGACGTCGTCAGCCGCTGTGCTATTTAGGTACTGTTGGCCAGATAGTAGCTGGATATCATCTTGGTATCCAGGCCAAGCAAGGACTTGTCCAGGCATTGAGCTGGAATTCGTCACGGTAGCATGTGGCCAGGTCGTGTAAATCAATGGGGCAACCTCGGTTTTGTTCATGTTGGCACACAACACGTTCACCGTAGGACTGATCACAGAGGCTTCGATGTTGTATTCTCCGACTCCGGCAAGTTCTTCGGGTTGCAAGATGCCATTCTTTGACGCTCTGGCAGCAGCGAATAGTCCAGCATGAGGCATGGAAAGCGTGACGTTATTCACGATTCTGCTGTATTTCTCATAGGCCGATGTTATGTTGCTGTAATTTGCTGCAACCCAGCTCCCAACCACAGTGGTGTTGTCAAACAACATCCCAGGCGCAGCAGGGCGGTCCGCAATATTGGTAGATACGCCAGCTCCTTCGGCATTGATATCCCCCCAGGTACTCAGGAATGAGATGGCATTGTGGTACGCTGAGAGATATTAGACAGGTTAAAGTAGGAGGCAAGATACATACACTGTCCAGCATTTTCATATGCCAGACAAGTCAAGCCAGCATTGCCATCGGGGTCCACATCCTTGGAAATAGGCGTTTTGCAATTTCCTTCGATATAAATCGGATTCGCATAACTTGCCTGAACCAAACCATACATCACAGTGTTCTTCGTCTTGTCAAACCGGAGCTGAGGCGAGACAATGGCATCTGATGCGGTCGTATAAAACATGGAAACCAAAGCAGCAGTCAAGGAGATGACTCCGAGAAATGTAAGTCCTGCATGCTGAAGATTCTGGAAATGAGTGATCATAAATCCTGGCTGAATGACCCAAGTCCGCATTGTCATCTCCGCAATTGTCACTCCTCGAGATGACTTTACTAAAGATCTCCTACTCAACACTTGACCCAAAAATGTAATGAAGACGGTAACGAACGACAATTCAATCGTTTTCGCAAATAGTGCAAATACAATCGAAGCTGTAGAGGGCGACAATTTCCCTCCTGAATGTATCGCTCGGCCATATCGAGGTTGAGCAAGAGCCAAAACGAGCCATATGCCCGAAAAGATGGTCGAGTATATCGATAGCATCAAAATGGAAATAGATAGCCAGCTGTATCGGTGAGAGTGTATATCATGATTGGCCGGACATCCTGCTATCGATTGTGAAAGTCGTTCCGCATAAGGTTCTATACTCGTCAGCAACATCCCCGACTCCTCCTGCTTGCCATACTCAAGTTATCATTATCATTATCGTTCTCATTATTCATAGACATTGGCGTTCCCGTCAAAGGAGTCACCCTCGGCACTTCGTCAATTGTCACGAATGGTAATTCGGGACTGTCTGAAAATATGTTCTTTCCCTTCGTTATATCTTCTTCATCTTCCGACCTGGGTGTCCCTGAAGCATTCTGGATGTATGGATTTTCGAAAGGATTTGTCAAGCCAGGGGTTCCTGGTGTAGATCTGCTCGAGGAGGGTTCGAATGGGTTCGACAACGATATTCGACTTCCAACCGGCACCCGCTGTATCGATTGTGGTCGTATTCCCAATCCTGCTGTACCCGCCTCGAAGGTTTCGAAATTGCTCATGGCAGAGACCGGCGACGAGTATCGAGGTGCAGGATCATTGTACTCTGTGGGCCCTGACGAGTCCATTCTTTGGAATCTGCGTCTTGAATTCGGTGGTCGAAGTGTGGTTGAGCCTGGTGTCGGAGGAGTCTCTGGTGTATATCCCGCAGATCTGAGTAGACTCTGCTCGTCGTCTCCTGGGGTGTTCGACATTTTGGTCAATTGAGCTGGGGTCAGCTCGGTGATACTGAAGGATGTTTGCTTGAATTCGTGGCCGTGCCACCACAAACACACAGTCGACTAGACTTCGCCGTCAATTGACACTGCATCAATTGCTAATTGCTTAGATGGGATAAGATGACGTGGGAGAAACGAAAAGATTCAAAAGATGCCTAAAGAAAAGATAGCCAGCAAGGAACAGCCGAGATGAGAACATGAGACGACTGCCATGTGGATTGGGTACGTGCTGACACTCCTCGAGGAGAGAAGAGGAAGTGCGGAGGCTAATAAACCTTGCGCACAAGGCTGAGCCAGGGTTGGGATTTAGGGGACTTTTAGGTAAGCATGGCAAAATAAATTAAGCATGAACCAACGACAAACGCCAACGATACCAAAAATTCCAACACTCAATTGCATTTAGACGCATTTTCGGTGGAATTGGTGTTGGAATCATCGAAATGGTGGGAGGATTGCAACCACCACCTTCGAGAGCAGGCCGAGACGGGAGGGTTCGGGGTGTTCCGCAGTAGTGAAGGGCTTGATAGTGCATCATTGGCGAACGCTTAGGTCATGATGGTGGTGGCTGTAAGGAACGATAGCGTACTCATAGGGCTGGAAGAAGGATTGGTTGGCAGTACGAGCCTCACTGTCGCCTCACCAGGAGACGCTGTCATTCCTGCCTTAGTGCATTGTTCTTCTTCTGCAGGCTATTTTAAGCCCTACGTTACACGCCGCATGCTTGACGAAGGAAGTCTACCTTCAACACACCGAATGCGCTCACTCGCTTTTCTTCTGCTTTCTCTCCTTTTTCATCTTTCAACAAAATGAAGTTGGGATATGTATTTGATATGATCTTCATGGAGCAAGTCGCTCGTCGTCCATGAACTGTTTTACTCTTCGACGAAAACTTGATTTCTTGACTGAGACATGGCTTGAGTTTATTGGAATCCCGCATGCACTGCCTAAATGTCTTCTGATCTTGCTCTAATTCCATATCTCCTCCTCCCCAATGCCTCATAACTCTCAGGTTTGATGTGCAGCCACATTCACTCCAGCCTTTTCTGCACTAGCAGGACTTTCATCCATCTCTCCTCCCTGCTCCACCACCATTTCTCTCTTTCGCCCAAACGAGAATCTCGAGGCTCCCCATTTATCCCCAAATCCTATTCCGGGGTGCATGACTGTCAAGCAAAAGCAAGCAATAATCACCATCATCCCGTCCAACACCATGAATTGAACCTCGCTATTGGCCAAGTGACCACCGAATCCTCCACTCAATTCGACGGATCTGAAGACAGTCCTCACAAAGAGACATACTGTGGTAATTCCAAGAGCTTGATGTCATCAGCAAAGGTATTCCGCGTTAGATATGAACTTACAAATCAAGAACAATCTGAACTTCCTGCTGTTGTACAAGTCTGCATGTTCTAAGTTCCGATCGCCATGATGTTTGTGTACTCTCCAAAGAAATTCTGTACTACAGACAGAGAAAGCGAACAAGCTTGCTACTTGGAAAGATAATCCAGCGACGAGGATATGCGTTCCAAGGTTGATCTGCTTAATTAGCCACCGTTTTCAGATGGAAGTATTGGTACTGACAGTTTTCTGATTTGTCAACGGCACAGAAGTTGCAATTCCACCTCCGATAGCTTGAATCACCAGGCTTACGAAGTCACAGCCCATGAATAAGATGGTGTAGGTCCTTGGACGAATCCTGCTGATATGCTCTCCATACACCACCACGATCCGTCCTAGGCAGACATAGATGGCAGCAGCTAAGAACGCAGGCCCAATCGTCAAGCAGATCAGATACCAGAGGAAGTATGCCCTGTCGAATGGATCATAATGCATTAAGATCCTCGAAATGTATCCAAGAATCTCGCATGCCAGTCCAAGCAGCATCATCACGCACACAATTCGACTCTTGAACTTGATCCCGAGAACAAGCTGCCCAACTGCTAGCGCAGAGAGGATGATGAGGAAGAGGATATTTCCAGGCAGCGAAGGTTGGTAATGGATGAATCCCCATTTACTCACGGAGCATGTCGCAAGAGTGCAGACAAAGCCTGGGATGTATCCAACAGGGACGACCATTCTCGCGATTTGCTTGTTGAAGCTCAAGGAGGATGCGCATGTTCAAGAGTGCGAGGATGCTCCTTTAAAGACCGCGGCCAGACTGTATCGAGCCATTCTGGCAGGATGATATTGTCCCAAATACTGTCGCGATATGTACTTCGTGTTGGTTCGGGTGACCAACAATAAATTCAGACGGCTCGCGTATGCATGCGCAAGTGCGGCGTATGTGAAAACTCAGCGTTCAGTTGGAGAGTTCGGTTGACGAACCCAGGCATCCGAAAAGCCACTCTCGTCTGTTGCTCTCTTGGGCTCTGCGGATAAATCCTGAAAGGTTCTCGTCGGACATGGTTGACATGTACCGCCAATCACCGGGCCTCCCTTTGTCCATACGGGTATTCCAGCGAGCAACAAGTCAATATGTATCGTTGAAACTCGCTCGAATTGACAAGACGAAGGCAAATTGCGGGGAGACGATACGGTGGGACTTCGGACATATCCTTTGACATAATCTGGAGAACTTGAGGAATCCGGGGAGATCAAAACGACGAATAATCCAGCACGAGCTGCCTCATCTTCTTTAACTTTGGAGGATGGGAATAGATCAAAAGTTGGGTCTCATTATATGAGATTCGGTTCAGACCCTCCGGAGAATGCATGATTGTAAGTCTTCCATTAGCAGCTATTCATATCCAGTAACTTGCTTTATCCTCTATCCGCATTTGCCAAGTCCGTATGATTTTATGCCAGAAGCCTTCGTCCATCCTTCCTCACCAGAACTGCTTCGAAGGCAGCGCCTCAGTGGCATTCCTTCACATGAACGCACCTCGTAAGTTGCGTGCAAAGCCCTTACCAAAGTCTGTCTTCTCGTCCGCTACCTTCGACTTCTTCTCCTTGTTCTCCTTTATTGTTGGCAGCTTGATAGGATCTGCTTAATGTTAAACTTCTATCAACACGAAAAGGGATTCCACACACCTTTAGACTTGTCGCCCATCTTCTCGTCGCCAACAGCCTCCTGACGGTAGTAATCGGCCAGCAAGACATCGGCATCAGTCTCCTTGGCTATGAAACCAAGATCCTTCGACCTCGCGATTCTGTCTCTAACAAACTCCTCTGGGGCACCAGCAGGGATACCGTGAATTCCTCCTTTGGTCTCAGTCATGGTCTCTTTATCAGCGTTCATTGTCATGGTCTTTTCGACGGAGCCATCAGGGTTTATGACCTGAAAGCTGCTTGGAGGAACGTAGATACCCTGGTCCTTTGTATCCTTCTCGAACATTTCGAAGAGGGGTACGAAGGTCGTATGGAGAGTGAATACGTCAAGGAGATTGGGATTCTCGTCAGACCAACGCTTGTGAATACTGATAAAAGTCTTGCGACAGCTCTCGACCATTTCTTTCTCGGAAGGGGAGAGATGGGCGGATGCTAGGAGGATGTTGAGAGAGTTGATGACGCCGGTAGATTTATTGATAGAGTTTTTGAAGGCTCCGTTCTTGAAGTTTTGCTGATGAACTCCAATGAGGATACTGTCGCGATAGGCGTCGTACATCTTGGGGTTTGCCATGGCAATGGTTTGGTTCCATCTGCTGACTGTCTGTTAGCATGCTCTCTTCACAGATGGCATGGGAATAATCTCTCGCGATTGAAAATTTGATAGATGCACTTACTCTCTGGTGACACTTCGCAAAGGATCGACGTTTGATGGGAAGGTCAACTTCCAGAAGCGGGGTTGACGTTGTTGAGGAAGGTGGAACCTTTCGGTAAAAGAGAACTTGGAAACTGAAGGAGAAGCTCTCGGAGAGGTGAATGGACCAGAAGTTGTGGAAAGAGACAAATAGTCGAGTCGATGTTGAGAGTTACAGCTCACAATCTAGGAAGGCAGCTACTTCCCGAGACTTGCAAGTCTAACATGATATTCTTTCTGCCAGATTATGTACATTTGTTGATTTTTGACACTATCTGCTTGATATCTCTTGCATGCAGCCACCTGTTATACTCGCAATCTTTATTCTTGACTCGACCATTCCAAACACGCACTCGGGACCCCAACCTCCAGGTCTTTTCCTACAGCCTAGTCAGACATCCTACCCTGACCGGTATCGAGGGCGATAGCTATCAATTTCCCTGCCTTGAAAACGATGTCTCTCATCCAAGTCAGTCATATGATAGCCGTAATAGTCGCTCTCTTCATGTCTCGAACGCTCCATTCTCTCCCATCTGCCATCCACAGCATCCTGGCGACCTCTTCTGCTCCACTCCTCTCCAGCACCCTCTCCCATCTCCTCTGCTCGTTCTCTACGTATCTCTTCTCCATTCGACTCCTCCCCAATTCTTTGTTCGTGACGATCTGCCATTCCTTTGATCTTGATCATGCCTCCCTTACGAATGACTCGATCGTACTCGGAATCAAACCCCTCCGGAAACGGCAGCGGACCTCTTTCTTCCTCAGGTAACTCCAAGAACGCCTTATACGCCTTGAATACAGGAACTCCCTTCTGTGCTCCCGCCCACCTCGTCAAAAACGCCCTCAATCGATTGAACTCCTCCCAAACCTCCGGTTTCGAAAGATCTGCAGGATCTCTGAATTCAGGCCAAATGAGAATGCAGCTCTCGAATCTCTCGTACTTGACTACGAACTGAGGGATCTTCTTCTCGAAGCTCTTCATGTATCGATGATGGCTGCCTGACAGGGCTGGGTATGCGTCCGCGGCGTAGCAGCGGACTGTCATCCACGGCGCTCCAGTTGCGGGGTCCCAGCCTAGTTGTGGTTGATAGTCGATCCAGCCTGTGCGTGATCGCCATGTTCTTTCTAGGCATTCGCGCATCGAACCAGGCGTATCAGGTAGTGTGTTGATAGATTTATACGGGACATAATAAGAAGGGCTTCTGGGAGGACTCGCCGAGGAACGACGAGTGATGTACCTTGGATCGCGGGACTTCTCCTTCATCGAGGTAGTTGTCTCCGTATGAAGTGATGCTGGCGAAGTGTTCGCGGGATCTTTGCCCGGAAATCCAGCATCCTCTCCAACTGATGGGATTCGTTAGCAAGACTTCACGAACAGCTGCTGAACAACTTGCAGAAGTAAGCCCAGATATTGTATTCCGCTCTGTAGGTCTTGATTTCATGGGCTGCTTGATCTGATGATATCTGACAATTCTCTGCTTGGTAGAACGCGGCGCAGATGCGGTTGAAGTCAGCACGAGTAGGCGTTTGCTTACGACGAGGGCGATCTGTGTGGAGTTGCTCCCACACATCAGCGCGGATACTGTCGTACACCATCTTGTGTGTAGGGACTTTGGATCAGGAGCATGCCGTGTTGTTCGATGACGGGGTGTGAAGGGATCCGAAGCTTGATAACGCTGAATGAAAAGATGGAAAGAGCACGTCGCTCACGCGCGGGTTTGCGTTGGATCGCGAGATAGAATTTGGAGTAATGTTTGTTCAAAAACAATGACGACGAAACAGCTAACAAGCACACCTCGATATCTCAAGCTATGATTAAAAAGAGGGCGGGAACCGAGTACAATTAACAAGTCCAAGTTGCGACTCGTCACTTTGGAAACACAAAGAAGTTCTTTGGTATCCAGGATAATCCAGCTGTTGACAGAAATCCACACGGAGAACATTGTCTGGCCCTTGTAAAACCATCAAAGAGAATTAAATTACTCTGACCGGAGCACATGAGATGAATAGCGGCTGACTCTGTGCCTTCAAAATACTCCAGCCTTGGATTTGATGTTGTGCGGACAGACTGATGAACATCCAACACCTACCTCGACATTAGGAAAGTGGAGTCTTTATCTGGGACAATGAACACAACTCTACAAGACCTGCACAGCACACATTTTTAAAAGACACTCGTCTTCCCATCATAAATATCATCCATTTTCACAACTTCATACATATCATTCATTCGTATCTCCTCCACTCATCTTCCAACCTATTCATCTCCCTCACCGCATCCCAATCACCCTTTCGTCTCCTCAACTCAGCCATATTCGCCTTGTACGCAAGCTCCATCGTTTTCCTCTCCCTCGCCTTCGAAGCAAGCATCTTGTAATCTCCACTATCAGATGCCAACCTGAAGACTCCCCGCATCTTCGCCGAATAGAGCTGGCAACTCGCTTTTGGTAATCTCTGCAGGGTTTTGTTGAACATCATCGGTATGGCCTTCTCTTCTTCCAACTCTGGCCAGACGACTTCATCGAAGCATTCCTCGCAAACGGTGAATTCGGGCAATTGAGTGATGATATGCCATTTCTGATCGATGAGTTCTGTATCATGACGACATTCGTCAAAGAGAGCAAGGCGTTTGGCCAGACTTGCAAGATCTCGAGTGTCAGGAGGACCATTGTGGTAACCAGCCCGATCTGCGGCAGTCTCCAAGGCATCAAAATATTGAACGAACCGCTTGCTGTCGAATCTGAGATCGCATACTCGAGGGCCACCAGACGAGTTGTGGTTTTCGGTCATCATAAAAACGCCGCGAATGGCGGGCAACAGGGTTTCCACACTCTTGACACAGCTGTAACAGACATCAAAGCCACGAATAAGTCCACCAGTCTTTGGATCAACCACAGAATGCCAAGCTCTATATGCTTCGTGCTTCCCTAAGCATGGTTGAATGGTATTTGCAACGTGGGCCAGACCGTAGAAAAGTTGCAGGTCCCTCCTTCTCTCCTTCACGGTCAAGAGCCACGCTATCCGATACCAAGGTGAGCTACCGAAGTCGCATAGAACCTCCGTATTAGGTGAACGACGAGGTGCAGGCACGAAAAGATGTCTGTACTCGGTTGGAGCAATGGTGGAATTGAAGCAAGAGGGGCATATATCAAATGAAGGACATTGCGGAAGGGTCAACCAGTCATTGCGGCCACGACTAAATTGTGTTCTCGGGCATGAAGGCAATGGTGCAATGGCCCCTCTCTCGATTTCCTCGGAGTATCGACGGTAAGATCCAACTGGCTTGTCCAGATTCTGTGAAGGTGGTGAAAAAGGAGGAGGTTGCCAAGATGACGGCTGTGGTCGTGGGCCATGAGGTTTATTCTCGTCATATTGTGGAACGGACTTCCTCGAATCTGATGTGGACAGATCAATGCGTGATGGAATTGGAATAGGTAAAGACGCATGATGAGCAGCAGGCAATGGTACTGTATTTGACGGAGCATTTGATTGACGTGACGTCGGTCGCACTGCAGCATCAAATGGATTCAAGCGGTCTGGTCTTGGAGTCTCCCTATCTGCAGAATGTGGTGAAACAGGCCTTGAGCTTGGTCTCCTATCTCGCGGAAATGTTTCTCTTCTTTCAAACTCGTCTCCTCGAGGGATTTGGCTGGGCGAGACTTTTGGTGAAGGCAAGGGAGAGTTCCTTTTGGACGACGGCCTGAGGTCGAGAGGTCTACTATTTGTCCTTGAAGGAGATCTAAGATGTGAATGCTCTTCATGGTGATGTCGATGATGCTTCTTCCGATGCTTCTCAACATCACTCTCGGGAGCAATATCATCCTCGCTGCTACTGTAATAATTTCGATGAGTCGATGACCTTGATGAACGACCAGAATGATCTGAAGGTGCACGTCTGTCAGACTTAGTTCCATGCTCCTCAGATAATTGCTGATGTCTTGTCAATTTCTCGTTTGGGCGAGTTGAATCGAAGTTACCACTGTGTCTCTTCTCCGAGTTTGGAGTGCCAGGACGAGAAAGACTACCACTGTTTCGTTTCTCCTGTACTGGTGTACCAGTCTTGCCCCATAGAAGATCATGTACTTGTTGTCGTGGAGCAGAGGAAGATGGTGTCTCCTTGGCTCCTCTGACAACCTCCGGTGAGAGAAAGTACTCGGTAGCCGATCCACGCGGGGTCGAGGCCTTGGGAGTCTCGTCCTTATCCTTAGGCAAAGCTGCAAAGGCAGAAGCGCTTCTTCGAAATTGTGGAGGTATCTCTCTAGGAACTTTGGTCTCGAGAGCTGGTAAATCTTGCCTACTTCTCTGTCTCTGAATTGGTGGTCGGGCTGAGTCTCTCCTCTCTTCTTTTCTCTGTGGTTCTTGATGCAAAATGGGACGGGCAGACTCTGTTCGTTCGACCTTCTTTCGAGGCTCTTCTCTTCTACGGGTATCTTGGTGTATTACTGGCCGTGTATCTCTCTCTTCTCTTCGTGGATCCTCTCGTTTATCTTTCTTCTCTTCTCTTCGAGGTGACTCTCGACGAAGTGGTTCGTGTCGTGCTTGCCGTAGAGGCTCATGCTTCGCTGCCTTACTATTCCTAATCTCCTCTTTTCGTTGGACTATCTCGTCCTTATCATTTGGTTCATAAGTGTCGGACTTGGGTATCAAAACGAATCGTCTCTCTCCGCTATCATCCTTCTCTTTCAGTGGTGGTATGTCTTGTAGCCTTGCTGCCTCTGCTGCCGTAACTTCTGCCTCGAGCAGGATTGGATTCTGATCTACCTTACCCCGCAGTGGGGGATCGTAGGATGGTATGGGAGAGGCAGAAGATTCTCTAGCCAGGGAAACAAGCTCATCTTCTACGATAGGGCGAGGGGGTGGTGGTCCTCGAGGTCCTCGACTTCGACTTCGGGTTCGAGATGTGTCGTGTTCGTGTGATCGAAGGAAGGAGGGGCCATTGGTAGATGTTGGAGTCAAGCTATTCGTGTTAGCTGTTGCAAACCCTCATCCTCGCGATACATACCCAGCGGGACTCTTTGCCCTTGATGTCTTGAAGTAACCATTTGTCAACAGCTCATTGATATCCCGTCGCTGTGGTCCCTCCATGGTCGATCCTTGATTGAACCTAGCACAAAGCTTCAAGTCACTGCGTGGCCATAGACAAATCGAAGCAAGAGCAAAACAAATCAGAGTAGAAAGGCGTGTATCATTAAATCGTAGCTCATATTATCATGGTCGTCAAAGGTGGTTGAGCGGCTCTCGTATCGTGGCTTGCGTGTGATGATGGTGGCAGCGTGGGAGAAGTACGAGAGGCGTCAGCTTGTCGCAGTAGTAAAAGCCCCTCACTACAAAAATCACCACGACCACCACTACGATTATTCACGGAAACAGCGTCAAGAACCTTCACGAATCACTTCTCAATTACGGTCCACAAAAGAGCGGTGGAGAGTATCTTCATTCCACGATTTAGGGGATGCAGAGGCGCATTCGGGAAGTGTTGCAAGCTTTGATATCAGTGGTTGCGGTAATGTTCTAGCTGTATGAGTGCTTTTGCCCCCCAGATTTTGACGAATTAGTGCCCGAGTGTCCCTGGGATTGATGATGATCTGCACTGCCTTGAACCTTTTTAGTTTTTTCTGCTGCAGTTGATCGAGACCAACCATGACGACGACACACACTTGGAGGAGACTTGATGGAAGACGATAATGAAGAGAGTCGTACAGTGCTTTCACATGTGGTAATACAGACGTCTGCCGGTACTCGATATCCAGAGGCTCCGAAGCAACCACGTCTGCATCTTGACGAAGAACAGGTCGACAGTGCTGCCTGGGCGATTGATGCAAGTTCCCGGCCTACTTTGGCAGATGCCACAGCCCATTTCTCACAAGGCTTCCCTTGGACGGCAACGTGCTTGCTTTGCGGACCGGCCCTCAACAGTTATCCGGCTCTGTATTCATTGATTGCTAGCCATATCAAGTTTCAAAGTACCAGGCGCATGAGAATCGAAATATCGAATGACCAGACTCGCAGGTCACTTCCTTTCTCTGTATTACCAACTCGCGTCCAAAACTCCCAAACAGGAACAAGTATTTCGGAGAAACCATTCATTGACCTGTAACCGTACTATACACAAACCTACTACCAACCATCCTGACCAGGCTCGTAGTCAACCAGCAACTCCATGATATCCTTATCTTCCTCCTCGTCATCCTCTCGCAGCTTCTCCTCGTGCTTCTCCAACAATTTAGACACCACCTTCCTCTGCCTCTGCCTCGCCTTCTTGCCCCATTGAACACCAGTAGGCTCGGCGCTATCTTCTTCATCGCTATCCGCAAAAGTGACAGTCTTCCCACCGGCTCCTCTGAGCGCATTCGGCGTGATCTTCTTCTTATCGCCCTTTGTAGAGGCCTCGTATGCATCCTTGGCGGCACTTTGTTTCTCGTGCTCCTTGGCTTGGATCTTCTCTCCTATCTTGACGAAATAGGGTCGAAGGAGGAGGTATGCGCCGACGCAGGCGATGAGTCGGAGGTAGCGGGTTGTATTCATGTCGTCGAACATGTGGAAGAGGTTCCGGTGGAAGTTATTGCCCCAGTGGTAGAGCTGGGCCACAATGGCCTCGAAGATATCGTTGGCCTGCATTCTGTTGCTGTCTGCTCGAGAAATGTCTTCCAGGAGATTCGAGGATGTTTTGCTCGCGGCGATAAAGGAAACGGTATGTTGGATTACCGGCGAGGAGAAAGGAAGACGGAATTAAAAACTATCAAGAAGAAAGAAGCGCGAATTTAAGGAAAGGCGAAGTGGTCGTGGGAGAAAAGAATGGCGGCTTGCGGGAACTCTATCATAGGGCCCAAGATTTCTGTTCCTTCGGAAGCACCGCGAAAAAATAAAGTTCGGCACCGGCACTGACGGACAATCTTCGGCTTTGGCGCGTCTCCCAAACGCGCTCTTACTTGGACGGACTTCCATTGAATAACAACTACCAAATAACAACATGTCGCAACCTGATGAAGCTCTGCGAGAGCGCCTGAAGGCCTCATTATGGTTCTCGATTGGAAAGATTGTCGATGAAGAGACTTTGCGCCAAAACACGACGGCTACTCCTCAATTCATTGGTGCTTTAACAGAGATGGTGTGGACGCAAATTGGTATATCTGCCAACGGCTTCGTGAGAATCTGCAGGCTAACGTCTTGATAGAGAATGTGGCCATGGATCTCGAGTCCTTCTCACGCCATGCTGGCAGAACAATGGTTACGACAGATGATGTGCTCCTCATTACAAGACGGAACGACGCGCTTCATGGAATCATCAAGGACTTTATTGACAAGGAGAAGGCGAGAAACGCTAAAGGCAAAGGTCCTGCAAAGGCAAAGGGTAGAGCGAAGAAGTAAATGCGACTTGGTGGACAGGAATTGGGAATGGGAGAAGAAATGGGATACCCGGGCCGGCGTTTGGGCGCAATTGAGAAATATGGTGGCAGGAATCTGTGTTTCTTCGGCTTACTTGAACGTGATGCCGCTATTGTCCTCACATATATTGCAGACCATCAAGAGAGACATGTATGCTTGAAGAATATCACCGGATCGAGAAAGTTCATAAATGTCACAGCTTTTATTTCGTCAAGAACGAGGGTATATCAGCCAGTTGCCTCGAAGCCAACCCACAATCTATGTAAATCCCAAACTTCAAGCGCCGTTCAAAAACCGAATCCCATATGTAACTCATCCTCTTACTTCGACTTCATTATTCATCCCACTTACATTCACAAACATGTCCCCCTCGGGCACTGGTGTACCCATCCTTGACCACCTGATAGTCTGGTCACCCCAATCCATTCCCATATCCATCAACAAACCACCACTTTCCCCATGCCATCCTTCCTCGAAACAAACTTCATTTGTGTCAAAGTTGATAAAATCCGTCATGTTCAAATCCACGTTCTCGTACCCATTCATATTCATATCCACCAAGTTGACGTTAAGTTGGACGTCTTGTTTCAAATCGTTTGCATCGAAGTTGGTATGTGTGTCGCTGTCAGGTGGAGTATGCGCTGCAATAGCGTTCTGTACTTCATCCCTCTCAGTCGACACGATGTAACCCATGCCTGCGTCAGTCGATCCAGAAACCTCTTGGATCTCACTTGGAGGAGGCGTTCTTCTCATCGCAGCTTGCTTGGAGCGTTCTCTCAAATCCCTGAACTTGTCACTACTCAACGTAGCTTGCACATCTTCTTGTCGGATGCTCGATCTGCCGTTGTTTCCAATCACAACTTCAATTTCTGCTTTCCGTATCGCTGCTTCCAGGAATTGAGTTGCAAAATCAGCTGATGAGTAGTTGTCCCGCAATTTCTCGAGAACGAGCATGCATTGGCAAAACCCATCCATGGCCATCTGCCGCGCTTCATCGTTGCAGGATTTGATATCGAGCAGGTGAATGATGATTGCGGGAAGCAGCACCGTCACGCCTGTCGTAGGCAGATACTTCTCCAATCTACGAGTGTGAAGATCCTGCGAGATTCGAGTGATCTCCCTCGATGCTTCACGAACCTTCTTGCGCGAAAGATCCTGAAGTTCGCGCGACGAGTCCGGCTGGGAAGTCGTTGCCGAAGGAAGGACTTGTGGACGATGCAACGCCGAAAGAGTTGTGAAATAGACCATGTGAAGTAGCGAGCGCTGGACGAACAGAGGTGGGCCACTGTTTCCAACTACCATATCGTTGGAGTACTGACAGCACTCTGGAAGCTCGTCCAGCCATTTCACAAGTTCAACATCGCACTTTTTGACTTCATCAGTCTGATCCAGCTTCTTTGGAATCAACATCACGTTCGATCGTGTATTCCCTTCAATATTCTGCATTCCTTGATGCTTGACGAGGACCGAGTATTGTGCGCTCAAAACCTGGCTGATGCAGAGGCAAAGTTTCGCCTTTGCAATACACATCAGCGCCAGCTCCTTCTGGGCATCAACATCTCTAGCAACTGTACAATTCGCGGGTATGATGCTGTTGCTCTCAGAGAGGGCCCGGATCTCGAAGTCGTCCTCTGTAAGCATGGGAACGTCGTAGTCTTCCTCCTTGACTCTGGTCGGCCGACGCATTCCAAGTGCTACGAGACGATCTCGCATGAAACACGACCACCATATCCTTTTCCAGAGCTTCTTCTTATTTGGTTCCATGTTCGACTTTGAAGGATCTCGGTGCAGTCCAATTGTGTGTGCCAGCGATATCGCAACTCCCATCCAATGCCAAGTATCTTTCTGATCGTCTGGCGTTTCGTACCAATATGTCATGAGAAGCAGCGATTGAACGAGGAAGACGCGGTCGATTTCGTAGTCGAAATCGTAGAGAACCTATACAGATCAGCAAGTATCCTCATCATGGATGTAGGAAAGCTTACCCTCGCTTTCTGGAAGAACGCTTTCCTTGCAGCTTTTCGATTCGAGTACCCCGCAGCACGAAGGAAATCCATATCCACAAAGGCAGTTCCAGCAAACATGATCGCCTGGAACAGCAATAAGCTGATCTTTCCAGATTCCCCAGTCCCATCGTCAATAATCTGCAGAAGATCGTGTATCTCGATCAGTGGCATATACGGATGAACATATTCGAGGTAACTTCGCAAAAGAGCATTTCGGACTGTGATATCCGGTAGAGACAAGGCGCCTTTGGCAAACAAGTAGTCAATGTCGACGGAGGTCATACGTTGAGGCAGCGGTTTCAAGTATCCTGGCAACACATGCCTCAGCATAGGCATCTGCTGGATTGCTGGTACAGTTGGTGAATCTTCCACTCTTGACCGTGTTCTATCCCCACTCGGTGCAGCTGAAGTGAGTAGCGCATGGAAGGCTTCAGCATCGTATTGAGGATTTTGATGTATGTAACCAGCTCTTCGCAGAATCTCGCCTTTATCAATCTGTTTGCTCACGTTTTGGTCTTGGTCGGTTAGAATATGGGATTCACAGCAGAGGTTTACAGCTTACAGATGGCATGTGGAACATGGGAGGAATAATCTTCTCCGTCGTTTGACATTGCTGATCCACTCCATCTTCTTGCGTCAGGATTCACAATATCTGATGGATTAACAAGGCCGTTCCTCCACGCTTGCGTGACACCATTGGCATTGGGTTGAGGTTCTGTCGCTGCTGGCTGTCCATTGAGATTTTTCCTGCTTCTAGTCAGCACGACACCACAACACCGCAACTAGCATTCACACTCACTTCCGGCGCTTGCTCTCCTCAATAACACAGGTAATGCCATCCATTGTACAGTTTGAACACGTGACATTGCCTTCTGCATTTACATGATATCTCTGCATTACATCGCAACGTACTTTCCTCGCCCTACACGCAGCGCAAGCTTTCGCAGCACGCCGCTTGACCGGTTTCGGGTTGCCATTGCTATCCAGACCCGCGGACGACGTCCCACGTTTCTTGTTACCAGAATCCGTGAATGCGGGAGGAGATTGAGAACTGCTAGAGCCGTTTGGCTCAACGGATGACCCTTTCTCGGTATTCATACTGGCAGGCATTGACGGCGGCGAGTGCGAAGTCGAGCATGTGATGCTGCATACAACTCAATTACTGAACGAACAAAAGCGAATTTGTCGTTCCCAAACTAAAGAGGGAGTGGAGATTTGTTGATGTTGACATATGAGAAGAAAAATGCTGGATCGGCCGGAGAATCGTGGGCGGCGGGGTGATCTCATCTTAAGTAGAAGGGAAGGTTCCGTCAGAAAAGACATCTGGAGAAAACCGCAACAAGCGTTGTGTGGAGAAGGAAACTAATGGGAATGCTAAACAACCAGATACAGGGATGTCCAGGATTGTAGTGAACGAGCTAGGTTGCATGAGGCTCGAAAGGACAAATGATATCGGGCAGGTGGAGCTTTTCTGGGGCGTATTTACAATGGGTATTGACCAAAGGGGTCAAGTCCGAGGCGTTTTCGCATTTCACCATTTTATTTTCTGGTGCTCAGCAGACGCAAGCAAGCATGTGTGAGTTAGCTGAGTGTCGTTGTTGGTCCTTGCAAGACATGTGCATGTGCGTCTGCCACCGCCTCTGGGAGATACGCGCGGGATTATCAGACTCTACGGTATCTGTGTAAGATGAGATACAAAAAGTACAGCCGCCACGGCTTCCTTTAAGCCGATCCTTACGCAATAAGACCTGTATCTCAGATTTGTGTACCGCACTTGAAGTTTGGTAAGTAGACACGGCATTTATTTGATAAGCCATTCAAGAACCGTCTCGACGATATTCCAACCAACATCTCCAGAGCGTCCAGAAGAATTGAAGCCCCACCTAGTTATTAGCTTGGCCTCCGCAAATTCGACCATGGTTTCATTGGACGCTTCTCTCCAGACCGTTTTCCGCGCTTTGTAATGTGGCTCTTTTCGACCCCTCGATTTGCATCTCGATGCGCGCAAGACGGGTTTTGTACAGGGATGCAGCCCACTTCTCCAGAAGTCGGTATCAAAAAGCTGGAGCTCATGGGGATCGTTCCTCCTTGCGGGCTTGACCTGCGGCATAAAAAGTGACGACCGATCCAGTCGACGCGCAGCTGTCGGATATATTCGTCAGGAAAGAGGAAGTTCTCCGTGTTCGCAGCTTGGGAATCAGAAGTATTCGGTTGGATACGGGATCGTGGGAACGGGCACGGAGAAGACGGCTCAAGATTTTGCCCCGCCAGTTCAGGGATTGTACGGTCAACGGTGTCATGCTTTCCTAGCAGAGGTGACAGAGGTGTGCGTGAAGATGTGTACGGTACACATATAGCAGGTCGCAGGATGTGACTTTCCATGGAGATTGTTCACCGCTGCCGAGCACAGTGTAAAATATCAATGACTTCAGAAGGGTATTGAATTCAGGGTGGCAAAGAGATATCTTGAAGTCTCGCAGCTCCCGGAAAACTCCGCCAACAATTCTATTACACTTTGCGCGAGTCGTGCATCTCACAGGCTCTCAGATTAGCGTGACTCGGCAGCCTTGACGGCATTCCTAATACGGAGCGCATTGCCGAGCATAACCGGACAAAAGGGACGTGCATCGATGGCTTTCGTGTCAGAACCACTCCTCGTGATGCTCACCGCATGTGATTGCGGCCTTAAGAACGAGATGCTTGAAGGTCTGGAAGAGGAAGGGGAAGAGGCGAAGGTCAGATTTGTTGACTCATTTCATCTCATGATACGAAGTATCCGAAATGATCAGTCGAAGCCTACCTGCCTGCCTGCGTTGCACGATGAAATCGGTGAACTGTTCCACTGGTGCGGTGCGACGGGGGGCTGCTTATGAGCAACATCTTTGGCACAACCATCAAGGTCCTCATCTTTTGCAAGTATATCTATCAGCTCGAGCTGTCCAGTCGTCAGACATCTTGAACTTTTCAATCATACCACTACGGATTGGTTCCGTTGATTGTTGGAAATCCTTCAAAGGGTGGCTTACCCCTCAAAGCCTTCATCATGCAAGCCATCAAGCATTTCAAGGACATGACATGATGGAAGCATTCGGGATGCAACCCAAAGAACAGCAAAAGAAAAGAAACAAATGCTGGAGATGGCATCTTACTTTCACACACCTCCTCAGTGGAAGTTTTCATTGAGTAATCGAGTGTTCTTGTCCATCCAAAGCTCTTCTTCGCCTTCCCGATGCATATATACAATTTCTAGTTCCGTTTACACTTTCCACTTGCTATCGGAGTTAAGTCTTGTCATCTAGACTCTCGCATGTTGTTCTGAAATAAGCGAGATATCTCCTTTTCAACGTCACAGCTAATCCACTTTTGGATTTTACACTGATGTCATTTCGATATCAACTGCTGAGGGGACATTATCACTCGCTCAAAATACCATCAAAAAGGCCCAGACAGATGCAGATTTCTCAGCTGGACCCAGTCGCGGCGTTGAGAAATGTCACTTATTGGTTTTTGGCAGGTGGTCTGGAGCAAGTTGGCTGAGGATGGAAAAGTCTCCCGAACTTTGACGCTGAGGTCACAACCTTAAGCAAACGGCTCTCAGTTTAGCGGTCGTTGCTGCAAGATTCAATTGGATAATCTGCACGGAGAATTGGACTTTAAAAAGGAGCGATCCGGCTTGCCGATTGTCTAAGTGTCATTCGACTGTGGATGCTGCAGGAGGAAGGAGCCATGAGATCACATCAGAACATTTTCGGACCTTGCTCCTAACAAGCACCTCCTACCACTGAGTGACGAATTAGAGTCAATCCAAGCTACGTTTGTACACGTTTGTACACGTTTGTACAAAACTGCTCTACCCCGCTGTTGAAGAAAATGTCGTCCAACGAATCTCCAAACAAGAAGCGCAAGACAGATCAATCATCCAACATGGGAGCAGCTCCAGATCAATTCGAAGGATTCATGATCCATGATGCCAAGAAGTGGACCGAATTCAAGAAGGAAAAGGCAAGGCTCAATCGTTCACCACGATATGCATTTCACTGACCGTCTTTCCAGTTCACCCCTAAGCATTTCGAAGAATACGACGTCGATATCGAGAACGAATGTTGCGGTGTCTGCGGTTCCGACGTACACACAATCACGGGAGGCTGGGGTGACTTGGCAACTACACCACTCTGCGTTGGACACGAGATAATCGGCAAGGTTCTGCGAGTAGGATCGAAGGTGAAATCTTTCAAGCCAGGTCAACGTGTTGGTGTTGGAGCTCAGGTTCAATCATGTATGCGATGCAGGATGTGCAAGAGCAACAACGAAAACTACTGCCCTCATATGGTCGGTGAGTAACGAGTGTATCAAGCTGAGATCCCTTGCTGATTTGAATAGACACCTATATGGCACCATACAACGAGAAGGGAGGCAACGCCGATCTCTCCATGGACGACAGCCAGAAGCCGATGAAGGATAGCAAGGGCAACCAGATCTTCTCTCAAGGCGGCTACTCTTCTCACTCGCGTGTCCACGAACAATTCGTCTTCCCCATTCCAGACAACTTGCCTTCAGAGATCGTTGCACCCATGATGTGCGCCGGCCTCACTGTCTACTCTCCCCTGGTCCGTGCAGGTACTGGACCAGGAAAGAAAGTGGCTATTGTTGGAATTGGTGGTCTGGGACACTTTGCGCTCATCTGGGCAAAGGCCTTGGGAGCAGAGGTCACAGCTATTTCCCACAGCCCAAACAAGAAGGAGGATGCGCTAGCACTCGGTGCTGATCACTTCGTCTCATCTGGCGACAAGAACTGGGCTGAACCTCATGCTTTTGAGTATGATTTCGTTCTCAACGCCGCCGACATGACCAACGAATTCGACATTGCTCAATACCTAAGCATCATCAACATCAACGGAGAATTCCACAACGTTGGCCTTCCAGATCAGCCCCTTCCTCAATTCAAGGCTCAAGTCTTCGCTTCCAACGGCAGCAAGATGGGTGGATCTCACATTGGTAGCAAGAAGGAGGCACTCGAGATGTTGCAACTGGCGAGCAAAATCTATGAGAAGGGTGTTAAGCCAAAGATCGAAACAATTGATATCTCGGAGAAGGGTTGTTCTGATGCTGTTCAGAAGGTCAAGACCAACAAGGTCCGTTACCGTGTTACCTTAACTGGTTTCCACAAGGCTTTCGGTACCGGCAAGAACTGAGTAGAGAAAGAGGAGCGTGCAGACGGGTGTATAAATACAAAGCGTAGTTGATAGCCTTTGGGAGCCAGCATGATAGATAAAAGCTTCAATATCAAAACAATAATCTTCAAAGTTCTCGGATAATTGAAACTTGTTGAGGACAATGAGCATAGCCACCTCCATAATTGAAAGTGAGAGGCTCACTTCCTAGATAAGCACACAAGAACTATCCCACTTCAGCTGAGAATCATATTGCCGCAGATCAGACACCGTTGAGGAACTATTCAGAGTCTCAAACCTGATTGTAGGCCGCGCTCCAGAGTTCTCGACCTCTTCCAAATCATCAACCTCCTAGCACGTGTCAGTGGCTTGACCTTTCCACAGCCACAACGCAGATCCCCTCCGAATCAACCGTGCCAACCATGTCCACGCACACCATGACGTAGAACTTCAGGGCAAAATTTCATCATAAACTCGGATTGAGTTCGACTCTTCAGCAAAACTTAACACTTAAGAGAAAAGCTAGACCTGAACTACTCGACCTAGACCTCGAACTCACCAAATGAGGGCTTTGGGAAAGAGAGCCTAGAAGTGGTGGTTTCGTGATGGTTTGAAAAAGTGCCGACGACCATGCCAGGGCTTACATCATGCATCCGTGCCACGATCGGTGTGGTGGGCAGGAAAAGACCCTGATTTTGGAGGCGTGGACGAGTGAGGATGAGGCGGCCGGGAAGCATGATGCAGGAAGGCGTCGATATCCACGCAACAGTCAGGGGGATTACAGGTCTGGTACTTGCGCTGATTCGATTCGATTCGACTTTGGACAAGCTAAAAACCCTGTTGTTGGGTGGGCAGTGATGACATGCCATGCCATGCCATGCTCCCCGGTTAAGGGATCTGCTTTGCGCGAGGACCATCACCTCATATATCAACCCCTCGTATTGCTTCCCCCAGGTTTTCAAAATCTGGTGTATCAATTATATCTCTTGTCTCACTCCAATCTTACCCACCTACTTACTCCACGTAAGAACTCAAAATGGCACACGGTGGAGGTCTTGCTCTCAAGTCAGTCTCATGGTTCTTGCGAATCATCGAGTTCTGCTGCGCAGCTATCATTCTCGGAATCTTCTCTTACTTCCTCGCAACATTGCACAACCATGATCTCCACATCGACACCTACATTCGGGCCGTTGAGGGTATTTCCGGAGCAGCAGTCCTTTACACCATCTTTGCGCTCCTCCTCGTCTGCTGTCTAGGAGGTATCGCCTTCTTCAGCGTCATTGGCATGATTCTTGATCTTTGCTTCACAGGAGCTTTCATCTACATTGCGTGGGCTACTCGAGGAGGCGCCCATAGCTGCAGGGGATATGTCAACACTCCTCTCGGATCTGGAAACACATACACCACCAGTGTTGCCAACCAAGGAACCAGTGGCATCACTCACATTGCCAGCCTCCACACTTCATGCGAACTTGAGAAGGCTTGTTTTGCTGTTGCCATCGTCGGGCTGTAAGTTGATCCCATCCTCTTCGATCATTCCGCCACTAATTCAAAACAGTGTCTTCTTCTTCCTCTCCATCTTCGCCGAACTCGGCCTGATCCGCCACCGCCGCAAGGAGCGCGCATTCGGCCCATCACCCAACAACGGCTACACAGCCGGCTCACCAAAGCGCAAGTTCTGGCAACGCAAGCCCAAGAACTCTCGCGCTGCGGATCTCGAGAAGAACCCCGATGCTCTTCCCACGCACGCTACTCCTGCGGATGTGAGACACAGCTATGCCACTGATGCTACTGCTGTTGGGAACGAGCCTCCTATCAACAAGTACGGCAATGCTGGTGCGTATGGAAATCAGACTGGTGGTGTCGTGGGAACTGGAGCTGTCAATAATGGGACTGGGTATCAGACGACTACTACCACTCATATCCCGCATGATGGTTACACGAGGACTCACCAGCCATACAATGCCAATCCTACTGCCAACTTTTAAGTTGGTAGCTGATACGGCAAGATAGTTGAGATTGTGTAGAACATTCCTTTTGTCTTGAGGGTCGGTGGAGAACTGGTGGGGTTGGAGGGGCCAAGGAAAATGATTTGTATATATATGATGATACCACGAGCGAGATACTTAATACCTAATAACACTGTGCATTATACCTCAAAATCATCGTCTTGGGAATGCGTTTGCCTTATTCTTCGTGAAGTGAAAGTGTGGTGAGTCAAATGTGGAGTTTCAGACCTAAGCGAGCAATACCATCAAGAAAACTCTGCGCCAGGTTTCTATGACTGTCCCGCTCAACAAGATGTCTTCATCTCTTTCAATAAACAAATTTTGAATCAATCAATTATCAGATCGTTTAGCTCAGTTGGTTAGAGCGTGGTGCTAATAACGCCAAGATCGCGAGTTCGACCCTCGTAATGATCACTGATCATACCTTGATTTTTGCTTTTGTTCCCTCCCAAGCTTGAGGCAAATGGATAGCTTCGAAGCCTTTGAAACTCCAGGAAAAGCAAAAGAAACAAGTTTTGGTCCACTTGGACTTCTTTTTGTGTGCCGAGAGGTGGCACTTTGGCGAGACATTGCCGAGAGTTTATGGCCAGAGGAAAGGAATCATCGCGAACATCCTCCATCCTCATTCTTTTATACAATCAGAGCTAGGTATAGTACAATCATCTACATAATAAAGTTTACCGTTTTCCCTCCTTTAACAACAATCGCCCTTTTAGCCTTCCTAATATCAACTTGAGGTTTCCCCTTCTTCGAAACTCCCATTAGTCGACTCTTCCCATCCTTTGTCTTCAAGATCTCTTCCACCAACCACTTTTCCAGCTTCTCATTTGGAAGATCTCCAGGAGGATTCGGAATCTCAACGGCAACTCTCAATTTCCCATTGATTTGAACAGCACAAGTCTGTGTTGCCGGAGTCAACATCTCATACGTCCCATCGGTCGTGGGAAACGGTTGATCAAAGATAGACCCTGGTCTCGAACGCGTAACCAGATTTTTGAGTTCAGTACCAGGAGGCAGAACTCTTCTAGCGAATATAGTTCCGACCTTTGCCACCATGGATCCAACCCAGTAGTCGTAAGCGTTTGCTTGTGGAAGGTTCACCTTTTCCCAGCAGTATTCTGCGACTGCTGGAGTGACTGGAGCCATCATTCGGAGCAGGACAACGACTGCAAGATAAACCAATTGGGAATTTGCCTTGAATGTCAAGACCCCATTTTTCTCGGTCTGCTGATCAAGAATAGCATTGGTCAGGGACATCAAGTCTGAGACGACGGTATTCAGGGAATGTGTTGTGCTGTAAGCTTCGGTGACCGATGCGATACTCGCCTGTACAGCCCGCCATAAGGATTTATCTTGCTCGAAGCGTTCGGTTACCTGTGTTACAGCCTCGGGACGTACCTCAAGTTCGGCGACATCTTTTCCAATGAACTCTTTGAGCTGACTGGGAATCTTGAACTTCCTGCCTTTCTCGGTTTTCAAGCTTTCTATAATCTCGAAATTGAACAAAAAATATGCTTTTGCGTTCAGGAGACCGTGTAGTTCAGCAGCCCGGAGTCTGATGAAATGAGAATCTGCATACTTGTCCAAGAACTCCAGCAATCGTTTAAGCCAGCGAGTAACACCGGAGATCCTTTCTTCATCCCATTCCAGTACTTCGCTCACGGGTGCTTGGAACAAGATATGCGCCCTGGTGGCATCGGCGCCATACTTTGCTATGCACGTTCCCGGGTCAACTCCGTTGTACTTTGACTTTGACATTTTCTCAAAGCTCACATTGGCTTTTTGGCCGGACGCAATAGCAATCGGCTGGGATGGATCTCCGAGATCAAGCTCGTCTGGTTTCAAAAATCGACCATTCGAAGGATCCGAGTACGTCTTTCCGTGAACCATTCCTTGAGTCAAAACTTTCTTGAATGGTTCTCCAGCGTGATTGCTACCTTCTGGCCAGTACGGTGTCGTGCTCATAAACTTGGAAATGAACCTAGCATAAAGAAGGTGAAGAATCGCATGCTCGACTCCACCTATATAAATGTCCACTGGTAAATTCGTATTTGCTGCATCCGGCGAGAACATGAGCTCCTTGTTCTGCGAGTCCGGGAATCTCATGAAATACCAACTCGAATCCACGAATGTGTCCATAGTATCGGTATCTCTTTTGGCGGCACCACCACATGACGGACATCTCGTGTTCACCCAGTCGTGGGCATGGTCCAGTGGGTTGCCAGTTTTTCCGTTGCCCCAATGCTCCTGAACGGCGGGAAGTTCGACTGGAAGTTGGTCCTCGGGCACCGGTACTGGACCACAGCTTTCGCAGTGAATGATGGGGATGGGAGTTCCCCAGTATCTCTGTCTACTAACCAACCAGTCTCGAAGTCGCCAAGTCTCGGCAGCAGATCCCAATCCTTTTGCTTCCAGAAGATCGATGATCTTTTTCGTCGCTTGAGCAGTGCTCAAACCAGCATACGGTCCACTGTGCTTGGTAAGATGTCCGTGTCGTATGTAGGGCGCGTTTCTCAGCACGCCCGTAGACTCGTCTGGAGACTGAGAAATGACCATTCGTACAGGGTCATCGTACCGGTTATGCTTCCAGAAAGCATGATCACGAGTGTCATGACCAGGAACTCCCATCACGGCACCATCTCCGTAGTCTCCAAGGACATATGGAGCCACATAGATAGGCAATGACGCTTTCGTCGCATCTGGTGTAGACTCCTCATAGGCCAGGGGGTTCAGAGCCCGAACATGAGGTAATACGTATCCAACCTTCGAATCTGGTGGTAGAGCTGGAATAGTGTCCAGAAATGCTTGAAGCTCGGCATCCGTCTTCGCTAGGCTTTGAACAATTGGATGTGTTGATGCCAAAGCAACATACTGAACTCCAAACAATGTATCTGGCCTCGTCGTGAACACTTCGATATCGGAATGAGTCTGCTGATCATATGCCACCACAGGGAATTTAATCTTTGCACCAGTCGACTTTCCAAGCCAGTTCTTCTGCATTGCCAATACCCTCTCTGGCCAAGCTCCATTCTTCTCCAGTGTCTTCAAATCGTCCAATAGCTCCTGTCGAAACTGGGTGATTTTGAAAAACCATTGCTTCAGCATTTTCTGCTCTACTTTGGCACCGGATCTCCAAGAACAACCATTCGCGTCCACTTGCTCATTCGCCAACACTGTCTTATCCACAGGGTCATAATTCACTAATGACTCTGCTTGGTAGGCCAATCCAGCTTTGTGTAGGAGGAGAAATAGTTGCTGGGTGTGTTTGTAGAAACTCGGATCGCATGTAGCAAGCTCCTATCAAATATTAGTACTGTCTCTGTATCTCGCAGAGGATCCTACCTTGTCCCAATCCCAGTGACCATTCATTCCCTCCAACTGAGACTTCATTTTTTGGATATTCTTCTTGGTCCAGGTAGCTGGATCAATGCCTCTCTCAATAGCAGCATTCTCTGCTGGCAGACCAAAGGCATCCCAGCCAATTGGGTGCATGACATTGTAACCCTGCATTCGATAATACCGTGCTAGAACATCGGATATTGTGTAGACTCGTAGATGGCCAAGATGTAGATCGCCTGATGGGTAAGGAAACATTGGCAGGATGTACTTCTTCTGCTTGGCCTTCTCCAATTCCTCTCCTCCCTTCGCATGGAAAATTAACCACGGCCATGTCTCGCTCTTTAGTTTTTTTATTCGACGACCAGCTTCCCCTATTCGATACAAGTTGTCGATCTCCGTTAAATTCGAGGTGAGTGCGCGTTTCTCTGAGAGTTTAAACCGAAAGGAACGACTGAATTGGAGACTACCAGCAGAACCAAAATATTGCACAGGCCGAGCTCTGATTCGCCTTGCAGACTTGCAGATGACATGCCGCATGATTTGGGAGCCGCATGGTGTCCTACCGTGAGAGCTTCATGGTTGTGTTGTGTTGTGATGGTCGAGAATCACGAGAGCTTTCAATAGAAGCTCCAACTTTTGCATGGTCCGAGCTCCAACACTGCGAGACAGTTCTGTACACGTGCCACGCCGTGTGCAAGACAAAGGTCATACACCGCTGCAAGCATAACCACGTCTTTCCTTCATGTGTAAATCCTCTTTTCGAAGCTTATTCTTTCTGCGAGTTCGACTTCCTATGCATAGACCAACTGCATTGTATTATCACGGTTTTCACGACCCGCTATGACTGGCCCTGCACCAAGATATAGATAGATATACTATATAATTACCCTACGCTAATCGACCCCCGAGACGAGACGAGACGAACATTCCCATGCCGCCCATTCCCTCCTTACCGAAGCATGCAGAAGCCGACGAGAGTGCCAACATGTCAACATCATACACAAGCCTGCAACCGCCTGCAGACACTCGAGACTCCTTAGAGCTGGGAAGTCTGGCCTCCAGCGAACCCGGTGCCCGAACATCAACGGACTCGTCTTCGACTGCGGGCATCTCCTCTTCTCGAAAGCTTTCCTTAGAAGGAGACGACCCTCTCGATGTCAGAAATCCGGCTGCGCATGCGCGAGTCCCTCACAATCGATCCTACTCGATATCCTCCGCCTTCGATTTCACGTCGAGCCTCTTTCCCTTATCCTCGACGACCGGTAATGGCTATGCGCCAATCGGCGCCCCTATCTCCTCCTCCAGCGGGCAGCCGGGAATGGGAGGAGGATCATTAGAGAAACACAAGACGTTAACATATTTGAATGGACTGTCGCTGGTAGTGGGATTGATCATTGGGTCTGGGATTTTCTCATCACCAAGTCAAGTCAATATCAATGCCGGATCTCCTGGAGCATCTTTGGTCGTGTGGGTAATAGCTGGATTTCTAGCATGGACGGGGGGATCGAGTTTTGCGGAACTGGGAGGAGCAATACCATTGAATGGTGGAGCCCAGGTCTATTTGTCCAAGATATTCGGAGAACTGTTTGGGTTCTTGTACACATGGTGTGCGGTCACAGTATTGAAGCCTGGGTCAACGGCCATCATCACAATAATCATGGGAGAATATCTGGTACGGGCAGCGATTGGAGCTGAAGCAGAAAACATCAATCCTTGGATCAACAAGAGTATGGCTGTTCTCGGCTTGATTGCAGCGACTGCCATCAGTTGTACTTCGACAAGGCTAGGAACGAGAGTTGGGGACATGTTCATGTTCCTGAAGTTTATTGCTCTTTTGGCAATAACCGTAACGGGGATTGTGGTGGCAGCTGCAGGGTTCAGTCATGATGGACAACCAAATCAAGATTGGAAACATGGAAATTGGTTTGAAGGGACGAAAACGAGTGCTAGTTCTTGGGCCGTAGCTTTATATGCTGGGCTCTGGGCCTTTGACGGATGGGACAATGTAAGGAAGCCACTTTCCTCTTATGATAATTTACTGATGAGTCAGACGAGCTACGTTGTTGGAGAATTCGTCAACCCAAATCGTGATCTACCCAAGGTCATTCACACCGCCATGCCTCTCGTCATTTCATCTTACGTCCTTGCGAACCTGGCCTATATCCTTGTCCTTCCCATGAAGGTCATCAACGGCTCTAACACAGTAGCCGTAATGTTCGGCAGCAAAGTATTTGGACCCATTGGATCCCTCCTCCTTGCCCTGGTTGTATCAGCGTCATGCTTTGGTGCCCTTAATGCTACCACCTTCACCAGCGGGAGATTGGTCTATGCTGCCGGAAAGGAAGGATATCTTCCAGCGACCTTTGGGAAGATAGGAGTTGGACGAGAAGATGCAGCAACGACTCTTCATACCCGGAACTGGGCAGCCAAACGCCTTGCTCACATGCTTGGAGATGAAGAGACTGGTCTCTTCTTCACACCCGTCAACGCTATGCTGTTGAACTTTTGCTTGACGCTCTGCTACGTCGTAGTTGGCGAATTCGCAACCCTTGTCACATTTTATGGAGTCGCGGGCTACACATTCTATTTCCTAACTGTACTTGGTCTCATCATATTGCGAGTCCGAGAACCGAATCTGGAGCGTCCATACAAGACTTGGATCATCACGCCTATAATATTCTGCTGCGTGAGCTTGTTTTTACTTAGTAGAGCTGTATTTGCAGAACCGCTGCAGACACTCATTGTCGTTGCATTTATAGCGGCCGGTGTACCGATATATTTCTGGAGGGTGAAAGGACGGGATCGAAGCCAGCATACGATGAGAGAGCGGAGTAATAGCATTGGACACGGATGGAAGTTCTGGAAATGGTTCCAGAGATGAATTGCATTCAATGGTTAGAATTGGTATACCTAATAGACGGATTTTACGTTCATCTACTTCCGTCTCATCCTCAGAATTTTCGCTTCACTGCAAAGATCACAAGCTCTTCGGTGGCGGCGTGATCTTGGTCAAGTGATCCCCATTCAGCGTCTTGAACAGCTTCCCCAACCCCTCATGACTATAATCCTTCTCGTTCCACATATCTTTATGATAGACCACTTTCTCCAGCCCCTCAGCGTCTTTCTCCAATTTCAAGCTTACGAGACTGTTGACCGCTTTCGAAGCCGGGCTGAGCTTGGGCTTGTATTCCTGTCTTAGTTTGAAGATGATTTCATCCGAGGTTGAAGAAACCACTTCTGTAGCTAGCGTTTGAGATTTTGACACGATTTTTGGGATGCCTTGGTTTGTGAGCTCCGTTGACGAGGTGGGGTGCCTTGTTCCTTACCGTACCATTGCCCGGCGATCTTGTACCTGGTGTCGCAGTAAAACCAACGTCACGTGCGCAGACTTCGAATGCAATTGGAATGCAAAGAATGATTGAATATGCTCTTATGTATGCCATATTGGCTGAATTAAATCACTAGGCCAACCTTCTTCTCCATCTTGATGCTCCATGTAACCAGAAGCCAAACGCCTTCGCTATGCACCGAATCTTGACCCCATATTCACAAACTCCCCTACTGAAATTACCATTATCGCACAGGTATCTCCCATGCAGCAGCATCGTCTTCATCGTCACTGTCCAATTGATCTTCCTCGTCGTTCATCGCCATTTGTACGAACATCCGTACCCAACGTTGGTTTGCCTCTTCTTGCTCCGCTGCACCTTGAGCTTGAGCCTGAGCATCTCGGATTTGTTGTCTCTGATGAGGTTCGCGCCTACGATTCAGTCCTCCACGAACTGGTGCTGGATTGTTGACTCGTCGATTTGGTTGCTGCTGGCGTTGGGGACGATTTCGCACATTGGCAGCTGGCGGAGGATCAGGAACTGCAGGTGCGGGAGGTGGTAAAGGTTGATTGATCCGCAGGACTAAAGGACCTTCTCGTTGAATCTCTGGTCGTGGCTCTGGAGGCTCATCTTCATCACCTGGCTCGACTATCTCGGGAATGTCTCGAAGTTCGTTGTTGACAATATCAGCAGCAACCGCAACTTCGATCTCCCTCTCCTGTGGGTCAGGTGGAATCTCAACCGGACGAACTCCACCTGCATATCCAATACCTACATCATCACCGTCTCCTCCTTCAAGCTCCCACAACCGCATATAACAGGATGTCTTCTCTTCGTTGTAGTGCTTGTATGGATTCGAAGGTGACAACCAAGCCGAACAAAGGTAGCAAAAATGGGAATGACACTTGAAACAAATCATATGATTGCAGCCATGTGTCTTCTGGGCAGGAGCAGCACAAGTCGGACAAGGAGTCGTGTGAAGCTTCATGTATTCCAATGATGCTTTGTCTTCCTCTGTGAGCTCCCCGGTATTGGTCTTTGGTGCGCAACTGAAAAATTCGCCATGCCAACCTTGATAACACCTGCTGCAGAAAGCGTATGAGCAATCCTCGCAGACAGAGAGCAAGTCCCTGCCAGCAACAAATTGCTCAAGCTTTCCAGATTCTTCATTGTCCGAGTCGTCCTCCGATTCTGCTGTGTCTTCAAGTCCATCTGGCTTACGGTGTTTCTTCGATCGAGCGGCACCTTGGCACCATTTTCTTGGGCAGTAGATTGTGTTCTTGTCCGATTCCAGTTCCGCTTTATGCTTCAACTTGACGTATCGTGCAACAATTTCGTGTTCAAGAGGTATCTGAAGCAATTCGCTGGGGCTGAGCTGTATCTTGGATTTGCGGACCTTCTTTCCACCTCGGGCTTCGGCGCGCTTTTTGGCACAATCAGGAGCCAGACATCGAACCGTAGCCAGGTCGCCCTCGGTGATAGCATTGTTGTAGAACTCCTGCAGGCATTGCACACAGAAGACGTGACCGCAATCAATCATTCGGTGGCAAACGGTTCCCTTCTTTGGATCGAGGCATATACCGCAATCAAATGTCTCCTTCTCAAACGCAGCCTGTGTTTCCTTGATGTCGTAGTCGAGTAGAGATATCTTGAAGTCTTGTGGGATTTCCAATGTCCTCCCTTTCTCTGCAAAACCAAACGCATTTTCAGCTGCTTGTTGCAGATAGTCCATGTAGCCATAGACAACCAGACTGCGACCAGCTTCCTCCCACATATGATTCCCGTGCTCCTGAAGCTCGTCAAGATAAGAACGTGACAGCCATGCGGGGTTCGTAGAGAGTTGAAATTGAGCCGGTTTCTCCTCTGGGTATCCTTCTGGGAGGGTTATGCGAAGTTCCAGCGACGGCAGATACGAGAGATTATGGGATTCGACATTGTTCGCAGGTTCCGTAATGGACTGATCGCCTTCTTGACCAGAGGTAACTGAGAGTGGCGGGGTAAGTAGAAGACCATCGGCAGAAGCTGGAAAGTTGACTTTGACAGAGGATGTTGGGTGAACTGGCAGCTCAATCGTGGCAGAGAATGGATTATCGGAGTCGAAGACGATTTCAGGAAAGATTGCAGCAATGCATTCCATCTCAACTCCCCGTTCATCCTCCATCTTGGGCAGATTGTCACCGGTCGATCCGTGATAGAGGAACGACTTCTGCTTTGGACAGAGGGAGAGGCATACACTTCATAAGTGCAGGTACGTGGTTGTGCTGAAGGGGCGCAGGAGTTTTCGGTCTGATTGTTATATGTGGCGAGGAGTCATTAGAAATGTTGTGTGAAGTCGACTTTCCCAAATAAATTTTGGAGAGCCGCTTTGAGGCTTAGTGTTGCCGCCTTTACCAACTTTTGATGCCGAAGAAAGTCCCACAGTTTTCAAGGTTTTGAACTCTGACCACGAGAATTACCTATGAAAGCGACGGCGTTCGCTTTGGATAGGATTGACTCGTGTATGTGACTGGAGACATCTGCTTCAAACTACGATTCGCAGCTTTTCCTTTATACGCAGTGGGAACAATCATGGAAGAGCTGGCGCCTCTCGCGTCTCTCTCCTTGACACATGTACACTATGTAGGTGCTACAAGACCATCTGCTGAGCCTAGCTAATACCTCTAGGACCCTACCGACCCGGTGTCGTACTTCTGTGCCTGGCTGGCTCTCGTTCCCCAAGGCTTATGCGTCATGTATGCTACTTTGATCTGGTCTACACGGGAAGCGGAAATCATCCTTATGTTTGCTGGGCAGTTGGCATGTGAAGTTCTGAATTTTGGTTTGAAGAGGATATTGAAAGAGGAACGGCCGAAGCAGATGCACGGGAAGGGATACGGGATGCCTTCGTCCCATGCACAATTCGTTGCTTTCTTCTCCCTCAGCCTAACGATGTTCCTCCTATTTCGACACGTTCCAAAGAAACCTACTCCTTCACACACGCCGTTGAGCTTAGCTGCCAGAGTTGGACTTTCGATATTGGCATTGATGAATGCCGGATTGGTGGCGTGGAGCAGGATATATTTGAGCTATCATACCCCGTGGCAAGTCTTGGTGGGTTGCGCTGCTGGAGCTGTCACTGCTGTATCGTGGTTCTTGATTACGACAGTCGTAAGGCAGATTGGGCTACTGAGCTGGGCTCTCGAGCAATACCCGACAAGACTATTCAGGATACGAGACCTGGTAGTTGAGGAAGACCTATGCCAGTCTGGCTGGGAAAAGTGGGAGGCGAAGAGGATATCAGAGCAGAAAGCCACAACGAAGAAGAAAAGGTGATCGTTAGAGAGGGTATTTTAGGATACAATTTATTTCCCTGTATAGTCAACTTGTGGCTTGATCCTATTCAGGGCGAGACCTTGCCAATTGTCAGCCGTGATCCTAAGTGGGATCGCCAGAGTCTACCACTTACTCGTTTGGCTCCAGCCCCTCACATCGAGTACATTTCTTGCCATTTTGACAGACTCGTGCTACTTTGACTTTACTCGTTCGTGTTCTACTTGACACCAACCACAAATCATTTCTATTTCTATCATGCTGCTGTTGCAAAAGTATCATTTCTGGGTTTTTTTTTTTTTGGCACCGACCAACTATTATTCTAATGTACAATTGTTGCCATGTTACCTCCATCCACTTGCAAACCCTCGTCAACGCTAGCACGTCCTCCAAAGGAAAGCAAGATCCATGATACCAGAATCATACAGACTTCCAGTTCCTGTTTGCGTGACACTAAGCTCATTGACGACATTCAGCGGCGAGGGTGCACCACAGGGAGACCAAACATCTGTTGTTTCGAGGTGCGTCAACTTGTAGACGGTAAACTTTTCGTCGAGTGTTCCTTGCAAAGTATCCGGGAAGGCCTTTTGCTCACCTTTATGAAATTTAGCGGATCGTCTCTACAAGTAGGATGGGGGGACCTACTTGAGCCACTGAAATACATGCTCAGATTGTGTGTTCCATTCACCCCATATCCCAAATTCGCGTATCCACTGTACGTACTATTCACAAGTGTGAATTGGAGGCCCGCTGGATAGTTCAAGGAGATGTTGATCTGGCATGCTTTGCGCTGATCAGTGACAGAAGCATTGGATCCCACGGCAGCCGTGAATCCGTCTGTAATTGACACAAATCTACCATTAAGGTTAGCATTATTGCAAAATATAGTTGATTAGGGCTTCTGACCTCCACGGAGTGATCAATTCGGCAAATTTCAACGATCCTTGGGGACACCCACTTCCACCGTAAGCCAGTTGCGCAAGGGAGACACCGCTCAAGTCTTGCGTTGCAGGCGCTTGTGCTGTCGAAAGACTTAGACAGGCCAACAATGCAAACAGTCCAGAAGCGTACATCTCGTCTCAGAATCCGCACTCGAAGGAGGTAGGATAGAAGGTTTCCAGGAAGCCATATTTTGGCTCGGCATATATGTTTCTCGGACGGAAGAAGTCGTCCCCGCGGGATCAGGTTTTGGCCAATATGGAGTTTAGCTACGATACGCGTGGTAAATGACTTAGGCTAACCGGTTGTACCCTTGTGGGATGTCGACATGCGGGTAGGAGATTTTATGATGATAATTCTCCGTGATAAGAATAGAGTTGATCTCGGATGTCCGGAATCAGGTACGGTGTTTGTAGATGTGGTGTGTTGGTGACGTGGTGTTGACATTCAGGTCAAAGGGGGCGTCCCACGTGATAAGGAGATGTTGTTGCCGAACAATGAAGCACGACCTAGGAGGTTATAGAGTAACGGGAGGACAGAGATCCCGCGTTGTGGTTGCCAATATCTGGTGATGGTTAATGAGAGGATGAAGTGCTGGAATGGTGGTGCTTCCTTTCCGCTCGCCAGGCCGAATTTTCATTTGATGCAGCTGATACGTGCAGCCATCATCCCCTCTGTCCAGCTAGACTTCAGCTCGCTCAGTAGAGGAGGTATTTTAAGGCATCAAAAGAGGAGAAGACAGAGAACGAGTAATCAAACATGAAGATGAGAATGATGGACATTTGCTGAAAGTGAAGAACACAACGCAAGTATCCCTTGTAATATGCTCATAACGCCACGCTTGAAGTGCATCAATCCCCAACCAGATCAAAGGCATATTCAATCTTCATCTTCCAACAAAACACAATGGACGTTCTCACCATCATCGTCCAATACAACAGTTTCATCGGCATCCACCTCACCCCCATCAACATCCCTCGTAACCAACCCTACCAGCTCTGCCACACTCTCAACCTCCTGCACCTCCTCCTGTTTTTTCTTCTGCCCATGACCCATCAAATCACCCTTCGTATATTCTTTTTGCTCTTCCACTGCTTTCTTCCTATACTTGATCTCCCTCAACCGATACGCAAACACGAACTCTCCGGCATGCTTCTCTTTCGCACTCTGTCCATGACCCCGACTCCCTTCCAGATCAGGACCAACCTTGATCGGGACACTGACTGGCGTCAGATCAGCACCAAAATGCAGGTTTCCGCCCCGCTCTCTCATTTTCCCAATCACGACATCGGCACCTCGTGCAATTTTGACTCCTGTAATCATATATAGATTGGCTCTGAATCTACTATCCTTGATACTTGTTTGGATAGGAGGATCGGTGAAGATGGAAGCGATTTCTCCTTGCGATGGAAAGATTGATCGAGTAATTAGCTCTCTGAACTTGAATTGAGTAAAGTCTCCATTGTCCCAATTCGTACCAACACTTGCATCAAGACCAAGGGGCAATCCGCTTAGGAATTCGGCCCATATGCCGACTTTGCCTTTGCTGTCTCGGTAGAGCTGACGAGTTGTGTCTGTGGTGCTCGTTTCGTGGATCTCCAAAGGCTTCAGCAGAAGCGAGGTTTTGGAGTTTAGGGAAAGCTCTGGGGAACGAGGAGATTTGATGATGGCTCCGAGGAAGATTGGCCCAGAAGGCGGAGAGTCGCGAGTGGGGGCCAGGAAGTATGTCTTGGGTGGCATTTTGTGATTGGATGGAGGTAAGTCTTGTGACTGAGCGGATCGAGATGAGATATTCCAGATTTCGAGATGTAGGGCTGGAAGTCGTCACGACAGCCGACGTTGTGCAGGAAAATATATACAAGAAATATCGGAATACACAATGATCGTCTGTTTGTGCAACACACCTCACATCATCGTCATGAGCTCTGTGAGCTGGCAGATGTATCAGAATACTCGGTACTGACAGGAGGAGCAGAATGGCTTCTTTGCGATTCCCTCTCGAAATAGAATTGTCGCTTCTCTCGATTGAAGCCTAGCCTTGTCGTCGCTGTAGGGTCGTCGACATGTGCTTGTGTGGGCACAGCGTTTGGATTGTGCACGTAAACGGACGAAAAGGAACTTCGATCAGAGAAGTACGGAGCCCAGTCTGGTGTTCTTCGTACACAATATGATATGAGCATCAAGATGAGAATGAAGCCAAAGATAGACCCAATCACTGCTCCTATGACGGTGCCGTTGGATGGAGTATCTGATGAGGAGCTTGGAGCTGCTGTCGCCGCGGGGCTGTCTCCGAGTAGAATGGTGGTAATGATCGTAGTCGAAGGAAGAACTTGCGTCAAAGTCCTATATACCGGTGTCGGATCTGCTCTCGCAGTTATGGGAAAGTTTGGCATTGAAGACGCGCAACCGCCTTAGCAATTGGGCTTTGGAGGATTGATCGGGTCTTAAGAGGACCTCGACTTTCGGTATGACGCTGCGGGGAGTCAGCCTGCATTTGTAGGGCGGTGCTCAGATAACAAGGGGTGCATTTCGATAATGTTGATTCGCAGGGATGACATGCAGTGGACCTGTGTTTCCCCAGTGACCGTCTGAGGTTGAGCCTTTTTCCTTTCCGAAAAACAAATATCTGCAGAGGTCAGGAGGCGTGGGATGAGGTGGACGAATGAATCTTGCAGATGAAGTGAGATACCTTGAACGTGAAGAAATCCAACATTTGGCAGGACTTTGAAGAATCACAATCTCCCGCCCAACTTGGTCAGCCCTGGAAACTTAAGGTTAGACTCAAAGTGGCATCCCGTCCCGCATGCTAGCCGAGATGTTTACAGGGGGAGAGACAGCCTGCATCTTCGTTGTTGCTGACACTCCTCTCCACCATGAGGCAAAAAATATGGGTGCACTCAATAAAGTGATCGCGGTGTCCAAGCTGAAGGAATTTGAAGCTCGCAAGCAGAGACATGACACTGCGCAAACATACGTCGACGAAGGGAAGCTTTATCGAGCCGTCAAATTGTTCAGAGAGAACCTCAGCTGGAGCCTTGCCAACTTTGAACAGGATCATGCGACGACCGTCTATGATCAAGAAACGTTGGCCTTCGCCGTGAGTGAGTTGGGTCATCTCAATGAAACGAAGAATCGCGCGGTACATGACAAGGAAGCGAAGAAGAAAATCCAGGCTTTGTACGAAGAAGCACGAGATCTGGATCAGAAAGCTCTTGAGACACGGACTCGAGTCGAAGGAACCTCTCCTCCATCCAAGGACCTCCTCGAAACTCAACGCAACTTGGCCAACGATTATGTAAGTCTAGAAGATTACAAGAAAGCTGCTGAGCTTTTCCTGAAGAATTTTGAGGCTCGGAGAGTCCATCCAGAGCTCGGAGAAGATGACGATATGACGCTACGTACTGGTCATGATCTTGCTGGATGCTGGCATAGGCAGGGCAATTATCAAAAAGCCAAAGCGCTCAATACAAAGATCCTGGAGGCTCGCATTCGCTTACAGAAGCCCGAGGCAGATATTGGTAAGAGTCGCAATGCTTTGTTCTGGAATGAGAAGGAGATGGAGGAGAAGAAGAAACGACGAGAGGAGGAGAAGAAGAAGGAATTGCAAAACGAGAAGAAACCGGATAATGGTAAAGAGCAAGATGTTCCCCAGGCTCGAGGCAGAGGAGGAAAGAGTAGCCCAGATACTCGAAAGCCTACTCCTTCCACGTCAAAGGCCAATGAAGCAGGAAAAGCAGACGGTGCGTCGACGACTTCACTTCCAGAGATCACCTTCAAGTACGTGGATCCCAGAGCATCTGGTATCAGTCAAACGGGTTCCGATACTTCATCGGTCAGTTCTAGCCCCTCGAATAATACAAATGTACCCTTCCGTCCAGGTTCAGGCCAAGGAAGTCGTCCACCGACTCCAGGACAGCGGAGGAATAGGCCAAGACCAAATTCTTGGGTCCCAGGATCTCAGAACTCAAATGATGCGAATGACACAGCTCCGTCAAGCAATCTCAAGCCCACGGATAACATTCCAAAGAAAACAGAACCGATTCGATCACGTTCGCTTTCAAATAGAGACATAGGCAATAAATCCAACATCCCCCCACGAGCTAGATCGAACTCGCCAGCAGCCGTCAACCTGAAATATTATCGCCAGCTTAGCGATGCTGGACCAGGCAATGAAGACCCCAGCAGCGCTCGAGACGTTGATATGTGGTTCCACAACCTGAATACGGAGACTCAAGCTCTCCTTCAGCCCCTCCGTCGGTCTGGTGGTAAGAGAGTCAAGATCGCGATTCTCGACACCGGAATCGACATTGGACATCCCTACTTCGCTGCAGACCAAGCTGGGAAACCAAGTGAGCGCCGCATCAAATCCTGCGAGGATTTCCTCGATCCCAAAGGAGCGGCACAAGATGTCTGTGGACACGGGACTCATTGTGTTGGACTGCTGAGGAAAGTTGCTCCTGAAGCAGACATCTACGTTGCGCGAGTCGCGAAAGATTTCGATGAATCTCTGGATCCAGAAGTTGTGGCGAGAGCCATATTGCGAGCTTGTAGGGACAAGAAAGACGAGAATGGAATCAGGAATTGGAATGTTGACATCATCACTTTGAGTTTTGGGTTCTATGAGATGTCGAAAGTGGTACAGAAGGCAATCCAAGAAGCGTTGTGGAAACCTGTTCTAATCTTCGCCGCTGCGAGCAATAATGGGACGCAGAAAAGAGTCACGTTCCCAGCTTGGCTGACTGGGGTGATTTGCGTACACAGTGCTATGGCGAACGGGGCTGCTTCTCTTTTCAACCCTGATGCTTCTCCGCCTAGGAATTTCAGCATTCTGGGGGAGAATCTCAAATCTGCTTGGATTCGAAGTCCCGGTAATCCCAATGCCGAGAAGGTCATGTCTGGCACATCAATGGCTACACCGATTGCTGCTGGAGTTGCTGCGTTAGTGCTTGAATTTGTGCTGCAGAACGATCCAGAAAGTGTACTCATTGAGCAGTTGGATGATCTGAAAGACCCGGAGGGCATGCGTCAAGTGCTAGAAAAGATGATTGGAGGGCAAGGAAAATATAGGAATTTGGTTCCTTGGGAATTGCTGAGCGTGAAGAATGGGAGGATGATGGTTACAGGCTTCATCATGCATGCTCTACGGGATTTTAGAGTGGAGTGAAAAGGGTGATTGTCCGACAAAGGCACAGATCACAGAGAGTACTGAAGATGCATGTCATGACTTGGCATAGCACGGAGATGAAGGACTTAAAGCTTGATGCATTGACAAATACTACTTCAGAGTCCCATTATCTGTCTCCAACACAGGAATATCATCATGACAGTGAAGATGTCGAACATTTTCGCTACTATAATCAATTAAAAGCACCGCTCATGTTCCCCGCAAAAGCTTTGCCAAAGTCCGATCCAGCATCCACATCTGTTATTTTCAAAATGTCAGACAGCATTTCCGTGCCTTTTCCCGGAGAAATGCTTCAATACCATGATTCTGCTTCCCCTCACCTTCGCCCAACACTCTCCTCCCCAGCGGGATTCTCCGCTCTCATGCCATATACTTCTCACTTTTCACTTCTCACTTCTCACTTCTCATTTCTCACTTCTCACTTCTCACTTCTCACTTCCCACTTCTCGCTAAGAGCTCCGCTGTTGCATTTTCAGGATAGTCCTCGACATTAGACAAGAACTAAGCAGTCCGGCCTGATTGACAGACGCAAAGACATCAACAGCATCATCCTCAATGTCCTTTCTCTCCCACAGTCCTCTGCTTCGAGCATCTGTCTCCATGTGTTCGACGACTTCCTGGAAATGGCGCGGGCGAAGATCAGGACGGCGGAGGCGGGAAGTGTCATCAGCAAGGGCCTCCACCATCTCCAGCGACTACGACCCTCGAGCAAGGGACGTTGGCTGTCTCCAGAGACGCAAGTGAAGCCTGAGGAGCGTGCCAACAGCCCATGGGCACAAGCCGAAGAAGGAGTTGCGGAGCCGTGGGCACACAGTCAAGACTTCCCAAACAACCGAGCCTTTTGGTGTAGTGCGCGTAGACTTCGATGGTTTCGCGGCGGTAGCGGAGAAGGGTGGGTTTAACGCGGGCGGGGACGGAAGGTGAGTCGACCGATGAGGGTGGTGTAGATGTCGATCATGTGTGTGCTGATGGTGATGATGTCTGTGAAGAGGCCATTGAGGTAGGAATCTCGTTTGATGGGTCCGACGATAGATTCGCGGATTACTTTGAAGAAGTTCCCGAAAGGGACGGGGTTTTCGGACTTTGAGGCAGCCGAAGATATGACTGTGAACGTGAGTGTGCTGTAAGAAGGAGGGCCGCGAGGCTCCGCGGCGGGGAAGAGATAGAGAGTCGGGAGAAGGCGGAAGTGCTGAGAGCCTGTGACTCGAGTGAGAGAAAGAAATGAACTTCAATACGTACTTCTTGATTAGAAACTTAATTGTCGAAACAGGAGGAAGAACGGAAAAGGTGAAGGCTAGAGAAGTCCAGATAGAATAGCTGATTTTGCTGTAGCGTGGAAGGACGCTACTCCCCCTCGTTGTGCATCAGGGGCTCGCTTCGCTCACCCATGGTGAATGTGCAGTAATGCACGAGAAACACCTCTGAGTGTGCCAAACTCCAAAAGACACAGAATTCTGGTAAAGTACTTGACTTGGTGTAGATATCGTCGATTGCAATGCATGTTGCAAACTCAATGAGGGATTCTGAGGAAGCACGATGCATAATTTTATATCCATTCCTTTGACCTGTGCGATGTCCCAAGATCTGAGAGTACATGCGAATTGTTCAAAGTGCTGCACGCTTGGTCAAGTGAAAATCATTGAGAGTCTCACAAACAACATCCTGGGAAGCATTGTGCAACACCTTCAGATTAGTGTGTCTATTTATAATGTCCCAGGATCTAGACGCACATTGGAGGATTGTAAGTCGGGAACATAATCCAAAGAATGTGGTTCAATCAAGTACTGCTGATAGATTCATTGTAGCGTTGCATACCTTTGTGTAGTGCTTGTTTACACAGTATATCGATAAAACGTGGCATTATCACCATCCCCCCTCTCAGCACTCCGCTGATCCTCAGTATAGCTCCCCAGCATTGGTCCATTCTTATCCCTCCTCGCATTCTCCAATCGGAGATAAACAGACATGAAGATTGTCAAAAGCGCTGACATCGCAACCATACAAGCGAGTATGATATAACCAGAAATGAATCTATTATAATCAGCATTTTTCACCTTCCCAAGAATAATAGCATACCTCGGCGATATTGCGGCAGGAAACAAAAAGCGCTGATAGAACCTCCCAGATTTCTAAAACTGACATGCATAGCGATGCCCACAGCCCTCTTCAAGCTACCTCCAATGTTGTTGCCGTTCCATGCAACGCCCATGGGTACGAGTGGATATATGCCTGAAGCTGCGAAGAACGTCCCAGCGTATTGGACGTGGGGTTTGTTTGATGAGGCAAGCATTGCGAATCCTGTGATAGCGACAACCTCGAATGCCAGCATGAAGATTCCACGTTGTCTGAGTCTGTCTGTTATGAAGCCAGCTGCAATTATGAGGCAGCAAGCAACTGTGGTTCATCAGCATTGAAGCATTTGCTGAAAGAGGGAGGTCCCTCACCAGCATAAACTGGGATTGTCATCAGTTGACTCTTTTCATTTGCGTATCCCATATTCTTTATGATAGTGGGTAGGAACAAAGAGATCGAGTAGAGAGGAGTGTAGATGCCAATTGTGATGAACATATGTATGTAGATCTTCCAATATTTCAAAGCGTCGTATGCGTATTTGAAGTCGAAGTCGTCTGCAAGAGAACCTCGATCAGCTTTCAGGCGACGCTCAACTTCGGTTCGTTCTTCTCCTGTGAGAAATCTGGCTCTATAAATTGTCGGTAGAGGCTAAGGAAGCTGCGGTAAATGGCTTACGTGCGAGGATAGTCATTGATGAGCCAGTATGCTGCAAGAGCAACGATAAAGGTAAGAATGCCTTCGAGGATGAAGATCCAAGACCATGCTTCCCGTCGACCAACCCCATTCATTTTATCGATTGCGAAGGCAAGTAGTCCACCGACTGCTCCTGCTGCTGTTGCTGCCGAGAAGAACAATGCCATTCTCAGACCGCATTCATGACGAGCATACCTTTCACAAATTAATTCAGGCTCTCGTTATATCTAGAGGACTCACCACATCGTGATATAGTATGTGACACCAGGAAACAAACCACCCTCGCAAACTCCTAGGAATGCACGAACAACTAGGAGACCAGAGTAATTCTTGACGAATCCCAGACCAATTGTGCAAATGCTCCATGCGCTTGATTTGGTCAGCTATCTCATCTCCTCATTCGAGCGACTTACAGCATGATTGTTAACCAGAGACTGGGACGAAGACGCTTCATCATCATGTTGGATGGAATCTCGGCAGCGACATAGAAGGGAAAGAAGATTGCCAAGGCTGCATTGTATTGGATCGCCCGGGGACCTTCAGTTGGCATCCCCAAAGACTTCTGCAGACCGAATAGCTTGGCATTTCCGATGTTGCTTCGATCCAAGAAGGAAAGTCTGCTTAGGTTAGCAGAACTTTTTGGCGGAGGTGGATATCATACAAGTAAAGAAGAGATAGGAATGGCATGATATTCCAATCTAGCTTTGCAAGAAGAGACCTACTTCTCGAAGGAGAGAATGGCGGAGGAGGGATGACCGTGCAAATCTTTTCGATGTTAACATCGACGGCTTTGGACTTAGAGGATTCGTGGATTTTCTCCATGGCTGGTGAAGGTCAAAAAGTCCAAAATGCAAGGCTCTGATAGGAATTGGGATCAGAAAAGGGGGGTGTGGATGTTCGAAGGTTTATAGGAGATTTCGATGAGGAAATGCTTGGAGATGTTTTGGGGGCCTTGGATAAAACAATGTGGTAATGTCTCATCTATCGAGTCTGAGTTGTGACCATGTAAATGACGAGGCTTTGAGTAATGACAAAAATCATCATTCAACACACCGATGATTGAATTTTGCTTTCGATGGCGCTTTGCACCAACCATTGATCGGAGAATAATATGCATTGGCTTAGCCATGCTTGAATTGCAAGGGATTCGAAAGGTTTCATTGATGGAATGGATCTTTTGGAATGCTGAGAATGGTCATTTTCGAAAAGCATCTGCCGATGACTGCACTTCACTCCGTGGAGAACAGAGCTGGAGGTTTGGGATCCTTTTCACGGTATGAAGCGCATCAAGCAAGACTTTGCTTGGCGGTTTCCATTCTCAAATTCTCATTAAAGAATGTGATCAAAAATCTGAAGCTACAATAACGCACTCGCAACTGTGTTCATTGACACATCTGAAGTTGAAAAGCCCCAGTGATGATCTTTTTGAGAGAAGTCTTGTATCAATGTGTCCATGTCTGTTGCTCTTGAAAAGTACAGCACTGCTTGGCTGCATAATCATGTCCGTTAGCTTGCATGATGGTAGAAGACAAGCTGAATCGATGACAGAAAAAGAAGCTTGAGTACAAACTCAAGATCAATCAGCTGCCATATTTGTTGGGTGATCTTGATCTGGCGCTGGATCTCATTATGTTCCTTGGGATGAAATCGTACATCACCGTGTGGACTTGGGTTGAAATCGAACTGCCGTCTACATTTTCCGATGGAAAGCGTGAGTCTGAAAAAGCTGACCAGCTGTACTTCCGTCTTCCCAAGAAGAAGAAAGCCGGATGTCTGGGCTATATATAGACTACCAAAGTATAGATTTGAAGATTTGACCAGACAGCGACAACTCTTGCCAATGCAGAGCGGAAAGAGAAAACTGGACGATATGCAGCTCGTCTTAGGGATTGCTACTTGCGGAAGTTGTATCAGTAATTACAGTGGCTTCTTAGATAACTGGCCTTGGGGAAAGGGTATATCAAGATGGAAAGTCTAACCACGACGAAAAGAGTAGCAATGGCAAACAGTCAATCTCCAGAAGCAAGTACCGTCTCTTTCATTGTGCAAGCGAGCTCCAAAGTCAAGTCACACCATTTTTGAGGGACTTTTCCGAGTACAGGTCGTGCATGCAGTACGCAGGAGGCTGCATCCTCCCCGAAAGCTTTTGCCGCTTGACAGCCACCCCACCCGGAATACAAAAGCATGAAGACATGTGGAGGATGAAGAAGAAATGTGCAGATCCTGCTATTAGAAAAGAAGAAGGAATTCTCTCAATACAAAGGGACGGTGATGATTAGTGATACTTAAGGTTGGCGCTGCAGGTGGTGGTGATTCAGGAAAGGAGTTTCACCTTCCTGTTTAGATCAGCAATTCGGGCTTCGGACCAGATTTCCCCGCACCCCAGATGTCGCGTCGAAACCCCACACGCTTCACTTCAGCAGCAGAGCACGAGCTCACGCCAGACGCCAAACCCCCTCACCAGCCCCGGACGCTCCTCTCTCCACCCGCCGCCGTCCACAGTACAGTACAGTACAGTACCGTACAGTACCAAGCAGAAGCAGCCGCAGCCGGTGCATCCATCATCCATCCCATCCTATGGCATCTCCCCTCGCCGTCCTCCCTCCCCCCTTCCATCTCGCCCCCATCCCCCTCAAGGCAGCCAAAACCAGCCCATGGAAACGGCACGAGGTCAGGGCAAGCTGCTGGCAAAACACCACCCGCACACACTTCCATCCATTGTCCAGCCGCCGGCTGTACTTCAAGCTCCGCCTCAGTACCTCTCCTCCATACATACATACATACATTCACGCACACTAGTTCTCGACCTCGACCTCGACCTCGCATGTACGACTCCAAGGACTCGGACCTTCTCGTCTTGAGTAACAGGTGAATCGACTTGGGTACACGAGATATATCTGCCAAGCAGATGCCAAACACTAAACACCAACACCTCGTAGTCGCGAGAGATCGTCCCGAGCGCGATATTCGACCACGACCATGATAACCTCGACGACAATGCGGCCGGCATTGGGGCAATGTCGTGCTGGCATGCCCTCTGCTGCACACCTGCAACGGTCTGGTCTTGGTCTCATAGGTATGCGATTCCGGTCCGCTTTCATTACAATACTGACAAATTCCAGCCCGCCATATCCGACCTTTCTACCAACCCACGCAGAAATGGAACGAGCGTAAACAGTTCCGCCCTCGAGTCTCGAGAATCATTCCTGCACGGCATGCCACCGTCGAGTCCTCCCCTTCGCCTGCCTCCGAACCTGTTCCTCCTGTCAAATTGACTCCATACTCAGACCTCACTATTGGAGTTGTCCGTGAGATATATCCCAATGAGCGACGCGTGGCTATCACTCCACAAAATGCTGCTCTCCTACTCAAGAAGGGGTTCAAGCGTGTTCTGGTTGAGCGAGGTGCAGGAGCTGAGGCACAATTCCCGGATCAGGCATACGAGAAGGCAGGAGTGACATTGGGAGACAGCAAATCTGTTTTTGCAGAGAGTGATATCTTGCTCAAAGTTCGAGCTCCGAGCATTGATGATGCATTGAGTGAGGTAGACCAGCTCAGAGATGGATCTATTGTCATTTCGTTCCTCTACCCTGCTCAGAATAAGAAAGTGGTGGAGAGTCTGGCTACTCGTGGAACCACCAGCTTTGCCATGGATATGATACCTAGAATATCAAGAGCTCAGGTCTTTGATGCTCTAAGCTCGATGGCCAATATTGCAGGGTTAGTCTCCAGCATGTTCTCTGTTGTGGGGCAATTTAAGAATACTGATTCGAGATGTTTAATGCAGGTACCGAGCTGTTTTGGAAGCTTCGAATAATTTTGGACGATTCATGACTGGTCAGGTTACTGCAGCTGGGTAAGTGATTTTCGTCCGATGTTTGGTTACTTGCTAACGAGGTACAGGAAGGTAAGCGAGTCTCGGTCATACTAGACTTTGTACTCATGTGTCCAATTAGATTCCTCCTTGTAAAGTTCTTGTTATTGGTGCTGGTGTTGCCGGATTGAGTGCTATTGCTACAGTGAGTCCTTTGACGTTGACTGAAGGATTATCTCTAATTCTTTTAGGCACGCCGTCTTGGAGCTATTGTTCGAGGATTCGACACTCGATCAGCTGCACGTGAACAAGTCCAGTCTCTTGGTGCCGAATTCATCGAAGTGGAACTTGAAGAAGATGGTTCTGGAGCTGGAGGTTACGCCAAAGAGATGTCGAAGGAGTTCATTGAGGCCGAAATGAAGCTATTCCTAGAGCAATGCCGCGAGGTAGACATTGTCATTACTACAGCACTTATTCCTGGTAGACCTGCACCCAAATTGATCACAGAAGAGGTAAGTCTGGGCTCAAGGTTGTGATTTCTTGCACTAACATGCTTCAGATGCTTGCTGCCATGAAGCCAGGAAGCGTAGTCGTGGATTTGGCCGCTGAAAATGGTGGAAACTGTGTAGCTACTATCCCAGGGCAGCTGGTTCATCATCATGGAGTTACTGTCATCGGTATGTCTCTGTCCCGATTGGAGTATTCAACTTTCTCCTACATCGACTGACTAACCCCATTCAGGATATACTGATCTCCCATCACGTCTACCAACACAGTCTTCAACCCTGTACTCCAACAACATCACCAAGTTTCTCCTTTCAATGGCACCTGACGAAAAGTCTTTCGGTATCGATTTCAAGGATGAAGTTGTAAGAGGCTCAGTTGTCACTTACAAGGGTGATATCATCCCTACGGCTCCAAGACCGGCACCTCCACCACCCAAGCCAGTTAATCCAGTAGCCGATTCAAAGCAACCAGAAGAACTTGCCATTACACCTTTCCAAAAGACATCACGTGAAGTTGCTACGGTCACTGGTGGAATGGGTCTCGCTCTTGCATTAGGCAAGGCCACCGGACCGTTATTCATGACGAACTTCTTTACTTTCGCTCTTGCTGGACTTATTGGCTATAGGACAGTTTGGGGTGTTGCTCCTGCGTTGCATTCCCCATTGATGAGCGTTACAAATGCTATTTCTGGTAAGTGACACACGCTCTCTGATGCGTTGAGCGGTCCTTATTCACATGTCAACATATGCTGATGGCTCCCAGGCATGGTTGGTGTTGGCGGCTTCTTCATCATGGGAGGTGGACTCGTTCCTCACACATTCCCACAAGTACTAGGCGCTCTTTCAGTCCTGCTTGCTTTCGTCAACGTGTCTGGTGGCTTCGTAATCACCAAGCGCATGTTAGACATGTTTAGACGACCTACCGATCCTCCCGAGTATCCTTGGCTATATGGTATTCCAGCTGTTCTTTTCGGTGGAGGTTACATTGCTGCTGCAAGCACCGGCATGGCTGGTCTTGTCCAAGCTGGCTATCTTGTTAGCTCTCTCATGTGCATAGGATCACTTTCTGGACTTGCTTCTCAAGCAACTGCGAGACAAGGTAATATTCTTGGTATGATGGGTGTCAGCTCCGGTATCCTGGCTTCACTTGCAGCTGTCGGCTTCTCTCCTGAAGTTCTGATGCAGTTTGGTGGAGTCGCTGCTATCGGAAGTATAGTAGGTTTGATGATTGGTCGTCGGACTACTGCGACAGATCTTCCTCAGACTGTTGCTGCATTGCATTCAGTAGTCGGTTTAGCTGCTGTCCTCACCAGCTTTGGAAGCGTCATGGCACATATTGGAGATATTTCCATGCTGCACCTGGTTGCTGGCTACCTGGGTGTTCTTATCGGTGAGTCAATTTACACTTTACAGCTGCATCAAACGGCTAATTATATAAGGTGGTGTCACATTTACTGGCTCGGTTGTAGCTTTTATGAAGCTTGCTGGCAAGATGTCGTCCAAGCCAATCAAGATTCCCGGTCCACGTCATGCCCTGAACACCTCACTTCTTGGACTCAACGCCGCCACTATGGCTACATTCATTGCTGCAGCTCCAGGTTCACCAATTATCGCAGCTGCTTGTCTTACTGGAAATGCCGTCCTCAGTTTTACGAAAGGCTATACCACGACAGCGGCAATTGGTGGTGCAGATATGCCTGTCGTCATCACTGTTTTGAATGCATATTCAGGGTTTGCATTAGTAGCCGAAGGATTCATGTTGGACAATCCGCTACTCACTACTGTTGGTGCTCTGATTGGTGTTAGTGGTTCGATTCTCTCCTACATTATGTGCGTTGCGATGAATCGGGGAATAGCCAACGTTCTCTTTGGCGGTATACCACAGACCGACAATTCCGAGTACAAGATGGAGGGATCTATCACCAAGACGACGGTCGACGAAACAGCCGATGCGCTTGCAACAGCTGAGAGTGTCATCATTATAGTGGGATATGGCATGGCTGTTGCGAAGGCACAGTATGCGATTAGTGATATTACGAGAATGTTGAAGCACAGAGGTGTCAATGTCCGATTCGCTATCCATCCAGTTGCTGGCCGTATGCCAGGACAATGTAACGTCCTTCTCGCAGAAGCCAGTGTCCCATACGACAGTAAGTTTACATGACTCCTTTCCAAGACACCAGCTAACAGACCTAGTTGTCCTTGAGATGGACGAAATCAACGATGACTTCCCCGAGACTGATCTCACCCTCGTTATTGGCGCCAACGACACCGTGAACCCTATTGCTCTCGAACCAGGTTCTTCCATTGCTGGCATGCCAGTCCTACATGCGTGGAAGAGTAAGCAGGTTATCGTCATGAAGAGAGGAATGAGTAGTGGATATGCAGATGTACCGAACCCGATGTTCTTCATGCCTGGGACGAAGATGTTGTTTGGTGATGCAAAGGATAGCTGTGATGCTATCAAGGCGGCATTGGAGAGTAAGGGAAAGATGTTTGATGTTTAATTAGTGAACATCACAATGGAGAGTGGGGCTGAGTCGGGATGAGAACTTTGCTTTGGAATTGGAAGTCGTCTGAGACACGGAGTTGGCGCAATGCATTTGCTTACATATCTTCTTGCCTTCATTTCTGCATACCGCTTGCGTGCATCAAGACATCGGAGATGAGATAGCTGCTAGTCGGTAGATATTCATTGCTTGCATGAGCACTTTGACTTGAGCTACATCTTTGAAGCGTAGGTAGAATTGATTCTGCTTCCGGACCCTAATCCTCTAGAACTGTGAGTGTTGCAGGATCGATTATCATATGTTGATGCGCTACTCTAGACAACGTGCGAAAACCAGTGTATCTCCTCACTGTCAACCTCAGCCTCTTCCTCGCCAAAATTGCACCCCTCCTCTTGTCTAGCATCCATACATCCAATAAAAAAAAAACCTTTACCATCATCCTCTGAGACCACCAGCTAGCCTCCTCTCTTCCGGGATGCTAGATGCCTGCCATAGCGATCGTGCCTCTTTGGAATTATCCTTCGAGAGGATTGGCTATGATTCATGATTGTCCCTTCGAACCTCACATCTAGTTGGATATGGTGTTGCACACTCTCTTGACAAAGAAGCGTCGAGTTCTTTGAGTTTGGCTTTGGGGAAGGAAAGGGGGAAAGCGGAGAGGCAAAAGGGGGACTTTTAAGCGAGGCCTGAGTGATGTTTTGGAAGTTGATTTGGGGATTGGGACTGGAAGGTTCCAGGGAGAATTCCCCGTTTGGAGGGGCTTGAAGTGGGGTGCTAGAGTTATAGAGTTCTGATTTTCGGATGGATAGCCCTCAAAGCCATGGACATAGACCACGAAGCTTGACCCTGTGTACCGCCCTTCGTCTATCTATAACCAACAAACTCCCTTCGATCACCTTCACTCCCACCCTCTCCCTCACCCCCACCACCACCAACCCCCTTCATAGCCCTCTCCTTCATCTTCCTCTTAACCTTCTTCTCCCTATTCCTCCTCGTCCTCTTCTCCCTCTCCGCCACCTCCCTCTCCTCCTCCCTCCTCCTCCTCCCCTCCTCCGCAACCTCCTTCTTCCTCCTCTTCTCCCGCAACAAAATCCTCCTCTTCTTCCCCGCTTTCGTCTTCTTCCCCTTTTCAACCTCCTCCTCTCCACCCTCTATCCTCGCCCCATCCCCCACACCCATGCCTTTCGATTGCCTCGATCGAAGAACACTAACCCGCCAAGGGACTTCCAGCCCCCAATTCCGCCCCCCAGCTAACCGCAGCACATCCTCCCCCTCCAGCGCAGCGCTCGCATAGTGCGCCCTAACCTCGTCACTCGGACCGGAGGAGATATAATACTCCCTTGGGCGCGGACGTAGGAATCCTCCTCTGCTGCTTCCGCTAGCTGCTTGGTTGTTGGTCTCTGCTTCGTCGTTGTCGGTTTCGAGGATGATTTTCTGCGGTGTGGCGCCGGTGGTGGTGGTGGTGGTGGTGGTGGTGGAGAAGAGGCAGAATTCGAATTCGAATTCGACGGAGGGTTCGAATGAGGGGGTTTGTTTTTGTGATGAGGGGTGTTGGGGCTGGGGATGCTGAGTTGGTGAGGGAGGGGAAGAAGAGATGGGGCCGTAGAGGGACGCGAGGTGCGCGTTCAGGGCTTTTTGAAGCTCCGGGGAGGGTGATGGTGAGGGGGATGCGGAGCGGGAATGCATTGTTAGGTCTGCGCGGCGGATTCTGCGGGTTTTGGGGTTAGTATTTGTTTGCTGTATCATTGGGATCGAGGGGAATACATACCTCTTCGCATCGGGGATATCGAACATGTTGTCTTCGTTTTCGTTGTCGTTGTTAAGAAGAAAGCCAGCCTCGGCCATCAATTGAAACGGAATCGAATGAAGAAATTGGGCTCATGACTAAGCTAGAAGAGAGCTAGCGCTCCAGCGGAAAACTCCCACTTCCCTTCTCCCGCCCCCGCTTACTCCCGCCCGCTTTAGTGGCTGTACAGTATACTGTACTTCCTTCCTTCTGCACACAGACTTGCGCCGCCGCTTGCTGCCGCTCTGCGTTCGTACTCGGACTCGGACTCGCATGCATGCTCAATTAATCACAGAAACGAGAGAAAGCCACGATCTAGAAGAAGCGCTACGGTACTTACGATTAATTTGCGATCTTTCAGATTTCAAAAAACTATACTTTGGTGGAGAAACAGATTGGCTACCCGTTCGGGTGGCGTTTATGGGGCGTCAAAAAGGAAATATTGAGGAGATTAAAAGTATGTGGGCGGATGGATGCTTCCGCCGCGGTGGTGGAGGTGGAGCTTGAATTAAGCATTTTGGTGATCAAACGAGGACGGGGTAGGGTGATTTGTGTTTTTGGGTTTAAGCGTACAGTACTGGTGATCTTGGGCCATCAAACGGATGGAACTGGGAGCCGCATTGGTGATCTTTGGAGCATCAAACGGATGGGACTTTGGAGCTGCATTGAACACTGCCTGGTGATCGTGAGGGTATCAAACAGGTACAATACGGTATTTTGTGGACTGCATCAGCCTCATTTTCATCACTTGCCTTGATGCGAGGTTTGAATTCCTCGAGATCGCCGAGTTCACATCATAGCCTCAGGGGCAACTCATGCAGAGATGTCGGAGAAGAAGTCGATCTCTTTATTTCCATTTCCTCTCTCCTCTCCTGTATAGGGATTTGCGCGGTTACGCTGCTGCTGAATGCTGGAGAAAAAACGATTGCAGTAGGGTATCGTACTTTTTTGCTTGCTTCTTGCTCTTTGCTGTGCTGTCTGTGCCTGCCTGCCTGCCTGCGCCCGCTTCGATTCATCTTTGTGTCAAATGTATGTATGTATGTGCTTGCTATCCCGATTGATTCCCAAACCAACCCCAAATCCTATCCTAGCCCGGTCCTATCTTAACAATATCTTTGTTCATGCTCTTAAGCTTGCTTTCTTGCTTTTCCCCGGTCTCCAATGTGGGTTTCCAATCAATGCTGGATCTAATGTTACAGAAATGAAGTGAAGTTGTGTAAGTGTAGGGGGCCTGGTCGTGCTGTCGTGAGTGGTGTCGTTCAGTCTTTTCGTTCGTTCGTATTGTGTTGGTGGTGTTGGGTCGTAGGCTTGTGTTGCAAATTATTACCATCTCATAGTGCACGGACTATGAAGATGCTTCTCTTTTTATGGTGCGGAAACTTTCATGTCGGATTCCAGGTGTAGTGAGGTGGTCCCGAATTACCTTCCTCTTTCACGTACTGGTGATCATTCGGAAACTCGTAATGCTGGACCCCGGGAGCTTGGCTTGTCGTTCCATACACAACGCCTGTCCCTGGTCCACTGGTCCATGATTGCAAAGGTAATGCGGGTGGGAAGTAATCTGGTCCCCTTGTCGGCAAAGGATCGTTGTTCGCCGTGCTGTAAGGAGGCGCGAATCTGGTTCCATACTCTCCATAATTTGATGGCACCTCGGGAGGCGCAACATGTCTTGGGGACTTTGCTGGCCTTGGATTACTATCCACAAATCGTAATGGGTCGCTTCCAGTCGGTGCTCCTGGAGGGTGATAGGAGTACTGCCGAGTAGGAGGTGGAATGATCGTTGTCGGCGAGTGGGTATTTGCGTGGAGATCTGGAGTCGAGTTATTGACCTGGAGGTAATTGTCCAACCCTACCGGCGGTACCGAGTAGTTTGGTGTATTAGGAGAGGTGGTATGATCTGAAGTTTGTGCCGCATTCCAACTCGAGTAGGTCCTAGCTTCTGTCAGACTTGTTTCAAGATACTCCACTCAAATTAAGGTTCAGCTAAGGATCGCAAGGACCCGTCCCACAGTTGTAGGATCTCGGAGAAATTGTTTGTCAGACTGATGACGAGCATGGGGATGACTTACGGCTGGCGGATCATGGATGGTGATCCGGCGATGTTATTCGAGTCAAAGGTAAATGGAGATCGTGATAACTCGATTCCATGAGGTTTCCCCATCATCTTCTTCCCGTCTAGAGAACTGTTGAGGTTTGTTGCAACATGCAATTCTGGTGGTTGACCTCGAGAAGACGACGATCCGACAAGAGGGATCTCCTTCCGTGCTTGAAAATTCCTCGGACTTCGTCCCCTCACCACGATCGGTGCTGTTGAAGTCTCACAAACATTAAGCTTCGTCCCATTTGCCAAGGTTCCAACCACGTTCAAGTGAAGAGTGAAGTGTTGCTGCAACTCTCGTCGTCGACCGTTGTTCGCCGTTGCGATTCTAAATTGCAACCTTCGATAGGCAATCGGGAACACAGTGAAATCGTTGTTCGCATCAGGACCTTCATCGAAAGGTAACAAAGGTATTGGCGCTGGTTCATGTTCCTGCCCTGTTGGAATCTCCGGAGAGTTTGGCGGTGGAGTCTTCCAAGGAATAACGATGAGCTTCACGACGTGACCATCAACAGACTCGGTCGCTCCTATTGTGACCTCCATCGACACGATGGGCACCCTTTCCCCACGATCAGTCAAGATGGAGTTACTGCCTCTTGGTGCAGTAACGCTTCCGGAGATCTGGAAGAGATTTCGTCGATAGCAAGTCAGTTCTGGCTGGACAAGGAGACTTTCTCCCGACGGCGTTGCGAGTTCTGATAGGAAGAACATCCCGTGAATCTGTGCTACAAGCTCCACATGTTGTACTCGTCCTTGACTATCCAGTAACGTATGCTTCTCCGGTAAGCGTCCAAAAGAAAGAAGTCGATGATCCTGGTTGATACTTGGTTTTGGCGCCTCTGGGAGATCCTCTCTAAAACTCTGGATATTTTCCCCGTACGGTGAATCATCGCTAGTATGGAATGGTCTCTTCAACGATGGATAGCTATGATGAGAACTAAGCGTCGGTGGTGATGCTGTTAATACTCCGGTACTCTCTCTCGGTGGTCCCCGCGACTGATTTGAAGGCAAATCCAAGGAGCGATAGGAACCTTTCTGAGGTCGTCCATGGTACGGAATAGCCATAGCAGGGGACTGGTAACTCGAGTCGTAGGCAGGGGGTTGTGACACGGTTGAGGAGTGAGGAGGATGGACGCTGTAGCCTTGCCAGAGAGAAGAGTCACCATCTTCTGGCTTCACATTCGCCATCGTTAGGGAATGCGTACGGGACATCGACACATTTCTTCCCTGCACAGCAACGGGCCGTTCGAACGCTTTATTACAAAAAAAGAACGATCAAGATAATGGTGCAAGTGTTTTCCCCAGCGCATAGAATGATGATGATCTGGTCGGCATCAAATCAGGCAAGGGAAGAATGGGTAGATGAAGACCGGAGCACGAGCTTATGCCAGGTATGGTGCTAAGCATTGATTCGTGAAGCAGAACAAGGGCTGCTCGCTCGTCAAAGGGGCCAAAGTTTCCTGGAGGGGCCGCAAGCCTCATGGCTTTAACGTCCTTCCGCTTTCTCTGCTGGAGCCAGCCAAGTTGGGGAGAGCATGGCCCCGTCACTTGGGCTTAGCTTGCCCCTCCTCGACCTCGTCCTCGTCCTCGTCCTCGAACGGCGGCAATGCGTCGTTCGTTCGTTGACTCCCTTCTGCTTGCTTCCAGCGACGACACCAGCAAGCAACTGGCACTACGGGACTGGGACTGGGACTGGGACGGGGAAACTACAGCACGTCTAGAACGAGTCAAAGTGGCTGGCGCGTGATCTGCATTAGTGATAGCCCTCACTCTCTGCTGGAGACCAGCGGGTTTGCCATTGGCAGGACGTCGGCAAGAGCAGGCGTTGACCCCAGTGCCTAAATTCGTATCTGAGGGCGATCATCAAGAAGGGCTTAGGGATCAGGTATCCGAAGGAGATTATCAGAAAAAAGACGTTGAGAGCCAAAAGTGCCAGAGTGCTGGTGCTGGTGCTGGCTGGCTTGCTTGGTTGCTTGGTTGCTGGCTGGCTTGTTTGCCCATGACTGACATGGCAGGCATGGCTAGCCCGCAAGTAGTGGTGGTGGTGGTGGTGGTGGTGGTGAAGCGTGGATGCCACGGTCCACTTCTAGCCAGTATCAGTAGTGAAGTGGTCTGGTGGGTGGAGTGGAGAGATGCAGAACGGGACTAGATGCAGAGTGAAAGTAGTGTCCGGAGTCGAGAAGGTGAGAAGGTGCCAGGGTAAATCTCAAAAGAGTGCAGAGGCATGGGGGAGGCCCATGTGCCGCTCCCGGGCTGCGTCCCGAAAGGGGAGAGACCCGGGGCAGGCATCATGTATATGGTTTAGTCTATGGAAACTTATCCCCCCTCGCTCCTGGTGCCTCCACTACTTCCCCCCCTTCATCCAACGGCCGCCCCCTGAGGAGTGCCAATAAAACGGATTCGCAGCAATTCCCAATCACTCGGCCAGTTGTACGCTGCCGTTTTGAGCGGCAACGCCCCCAAGCATGGAAAGGAGCCTCGCTACGTACGAGCACGATATGAATGAATACCTGCTGGTGGCCTGGCCCCAAAGAATATTTATTGCCAGATGGATGGCAGTGGCAATCGCGCCTGTCAGGCTGTCAGTTCTTAATCAGCGTCTGTTCAACAGTGGTAACCATCCTTGAAGAGCCCCCTTCGGACCAGTAGGACGATTTCCTGAACGCCCTGGTCATCGAAATGGCCCAATCCGGCTGGCCCCAGCGGGTGCAATTGCCCTGATTGCCAGAAAAGCAGGAACTACGAAGTACGAGGAAATAAATGATTTGAGGCCTCAGGAGAGGAAGTCTGACGGTGAGGAAGAGTGACGGCAAGTCCAAGTCCATGACTGAAAGCCAGCAGCATTCAGCATTCAGCATTCAGCAGCCAGCAGCCAGCATCCAGCTCGTTTAAATTTTGCAGCTGTCATCTTCCCTTCTGGAATCGAATCTGGACCTGCTTGGACTCGTCTGGTCTTACAGTACTGGTCCAGGCAAAGTCTGCGTGCGAGTCTGTGATGCTATCCATATCGCCCCCCTGCTGTCGGTCGAGGCATGATGACGACCTTCCCGGGTCTTTCCATCGACAGATGGGCAGCACCCGAGTCGATGGGACGCTTTCCAGTACAGTAGTGATGGTTTTGGGGCCGTTCGGGACCTTTCACAAGTGTGCTCTGTAGTGTCTGTAGTGTCTGTAGTGAGGGATAGTGCTTGGTGTAGCGTAAGATGAACACCGTTCTGGTTGCCGAAAGAGTGGTGATGGCGTCGATCATCTCGTCGTTTTGGGGGTGGTCTGGTCTGGTCTGGCCGTCTGGGGCCGTTTAGGGCACGAGATGACGCTAGAACATCATTTCTAAATTCTATCGGGGGCGTGCATGGCGCTGTGGGCGCTACCCGCACGAGCTTAAATGCCAATTCGTGCTCTAAATTGGAGCATCATGGGCCTTTTCAGCTGCAACTTGGCCGTCTAAGTTCAGCCTCCGACGACATCTGTGTCTCCCGGAGAATTTTCATCATGGGAGGACAGAGACGACGGTGGGACAGCGGCGGGTGGAATTGTGGAATACGGATCATTACTTATTATTATCGATAATAGGGGATCTCTCAGGGTAGGTAACCGGTTACAGTACTGTAGCCGCCGCGTGCGCAGCCTTGACCTCCATCCAGCCTTATGAGTCCCGATACGATGCGACTCTGGCAGTGACAAGTTCAGCTCCTCATCAGCAGCGGTCTCTAATTTTCTGCGCTCGTCGTGACGACATCGAAGCATTCTGGAATGACCATCTCGGTCCGTTCATTGGACCGAGCTGGTTCTGGCGTCGAAGGTTGTCCGCTGACCCTGCATCACCTATCTATCCTCCAGACTGCAGCCGATGTATGTACAGTATGTCCGAAGTATGTATGTGTATGTATGGCGATGCTGGCTGTCGGGAGCTCCGCCTTCACCCATTTCCACCCCGGACTCCCAAGAGAAGAATCATATATCGACTCGGCACGAGAAGCGCGCAAAAGAGTAACGTTGCATGGGTGTGTCGGATACGAAGATTAAAATAGAAATCGAGATATGGGATGAATATGGGATGGGATGGGATATCCGTCTCAATTCAATCAATGTGCGGAGAAGGACCGATTAAATGGTCGATATCAAAAAAGAGAGACATCCAGGACCACTCACGACGGGAGCAGGGCAGCGCAGGGAAGGGGGACAACGTGGGGAATAAATTAAACGGTGATGCCGCCTGTCACGCCTGTCTGTCACTTTCATGTCAGGTCAGGTCTCGAGTCTTGACCGTTCAAACCACGTCTGGTAGCGAACCTCAGCATGACGAGCCTGGCCTTGAACCTGAATATAGCCCTGGATTCATTACTTAATTGATCCTGGCCTTCCTCATTCGGCCACTCCCGCCACATCTTGTTCCTCGGAACCCGCTGCGCCGTTGGGGAGTTGTGCAACACACCGATGCTTTGGTGGTGGGTAAGAAGGAAATAGGGGATATCTGAAGATATTGCGGATGAGCTGAATTGATGCATGGAAAGCCACGAAATGCCATTGACTTCAGGTCCTAGATGCTTATCGAGGACATCGTATTCTCTTTTCTTTTTTTTCGATGCTTTGCACTGCCTCGATTCCAGTTCTAGACTGATAGTTCATGCAATATAGAAGATGGAATATGTTTCATATCACGTGGATATATGTAATAGGGAACCTGGAAGTTGGAAGTTCAAGAAAACCTTGCCGCGCGGTAAAGTCGGACCTGGGCAAAACGAGTTTAATGATCTCTGATCCCATGATTCAGAGTAGGGAGGGGCACAAGAGATATCGGTTCTCGGCTCACATCGTAATTTCATGCATCCTGGTTGACTTCTTCCTGCTCACTAGGGTACCACTCCTTCTCTTACTTCAGATCGAGGAACCGAAACCACCAAATTGGACAGCTTTTCCCAATTTCCATTGACGTGATTCAGTCTGAGTCCTCTCTTTTTAATTTGGACGTCGCTTAATCGTCGGCTTGCAATTAATCACCTCAGCTTCCGAGTCCAAATCTCAATGTGGATGTCCTTCTCATCGAATGCCTCCTGGATATTCTCCGGGATAGGCGATTTGTACCCCGTGAAAGGATATACATTGACCCTCCGCAACTCTCTCAGTTTGACTCGAGAAAGCAAAGGCAGGTACACCGCTTTATTCAAAGCCAATTCCAAAATCCATTTCTCCTTTGCTGCAGCCGCGGCTTCCTCGTCTTCTTCGATGACGGTATCGGATTGGAAGATCCAGGGTGGTTCGGAGAAACAGATCTGAGCAGAACAAAAAGTTACCATCCATGAATTGAGTAACACTCGAAAGAGCATCTTACCTCGAGGGTTTCTAGTGATCGCGGCAAAAGTCGATACACCCCATCACGTGGCCTACTCGACTTGAAAAACAAGATCGAGGGCACAGATATATGCGTCAACTTCTCAAAAGCGCTAATATCCAGTCTCGATCCATCATGTCGATGTATCGACCTACTCCCAACCGTCAAATTAACCAACGAATGCCTGACCGGCGCCAGCGCATCCCCAATCTTCCTCGGCGAGAAATCCCTCGTTGACGTTGAGGTCTGGAATTGCTCGGCAAACGGAGGGACCGTGAAACTGAGCGTCTCCAGAGCAGCAGGACACTGGAGGAAGGTCCTCAGAACAACTTCTCGCGGCGTGCAGGTGCCAAAGCGGAGGGTTTCGACGGGTGAAGTGCCGGGCTGACAATCCAGTGGGATGGTGGGGTCTGATAAGCTTTTGAAGAACATGATATCCATTTGTTTGATCTTGGGCAGGAACATGAACTTCATGATCGTCGCGTTGGTGAGGTCGGGATAGTCGAAGTTGACATATTGCAGTTCTTTGTATTCTGCAAATTCGAGGACGGAGAGCGTGGATCTTTGGTCGTGGGGGACTCGGACGCAGAGGTGTCGGAGCGAGGTCAGCTTGTGGAGGAGCTCTTGGATCTTGACTTTGTCGTAGGCGGGGACGTGGCCGCCGCTTGGCCAGGTGAGGTGGAGGCGATGGATTAAAGGTGCGAGGTCTTTGTCTGAATCGAGGGATTGGGTGAGTTGGATGATTGGTTCATGGGGTGGGAGGATGAGGAATATGCTTTTATATAATATCGGTCGCGCAAGGCTGTTGAGTCGAGATGAAGTCCGACAGATGGAGGATAATGTGAGATTGTCTAGCTCGAGATGCTCCAAGATCTCGAGGACTATCTCGTCTGCTAAGTCCTCGAGTGAAGTCATGGTTGTGGCGGAGGATCATCCAGATTGCAAACGGAGATGTAGTGAGACGCGATGTGACGCGGGGTCGAATGTGAATTTAAGGGGTTCGCTTAGATATTTAGGGGTTGCTGCCTAGCGATGCTCGGCTAACATGAGGTCAGACTTTGAGGAAAACAAAGAACAATTGTGACTGCCTGATACTCTCGAAGTGTCAATGAATTTAACTGTGATGAACAGTTGACTACTGCTGTAAAAGCCACTTCTCTTCAACTTATCACTTTCAACACCACATGCAATCTTCTTCCTCCTCGCACGCTGATGCTCCGCGTTCTGACTCTTCACAGCACTGAATCCTATCACAGGAATGATGCACATGAGGTGAGATAGGATGAGAAGCAGACATCTTACACATGTGTGTGTGTCCGAAGATATATAATCCCCTCAGCCGTTTTCAAGTAAACACTACCAAAGATCCACTACTTTTCCCTAAATACAATCAAGAACAAAAAATCCCAACCAAAGTTATATACGAGAAGAGAAACCCCACTCAAAGATTCATCACCTATGGATACGCCCTCGCAGTAGCAGGTGTCACACCCGGAAAGAACGTAGTCGGCACGGTCGGAATAGGAATACTAGCCGTGATAGCAAACCCACTAGCCAGATCATTCGGCATCTTTGCAGCAGAGTATCCACTCGGAGCAGCAGTAATCGTCTGCGTCGTAATAGCATATGCCGTATGTGCGCTACCTCCAACAAGGCATCCTCCGCTACCCCAAGCATTCTCACATTTGTAGTACTCGGAGCTCCCAGTGTCTGTCCACATCGCGAAGTCTTCGATGGTGATTCCGTCACAGGGCTGACCGGTGGGGCAGATGGCCATGATTGGTGCTCGAACAGCTCCATCTGCACATGTTCCCTTCCAATTGCTGAAGGTGAGATCGGTATAGAGCACTCCGTCCCCAGCTTGTAGAGTTTCTGAAGTCCAGTATGCGTCGATGTACAGCGAGTAGGCGTTCGAGTGTCCAATGAAGTTTGAGAAGACGCAATCCGATACCGTTCCGTTGCCGCCATTTGATTTGAGCATCATCATCTGGTTCGAGGACCAGGTGTAGATGTTGTTGTATGTAATCTTGGAGATGTCGGTGTCCAGGCCGAGAGAGCCGATCGCGGAACCGCCGGACCAGTTGCAGTAAATGTTCTCGATCAGAATGTGGTTGCTGGGATTCTGGATTTCTTAGCATGCGACAGACAAGTCGTTGTAAAGGAATGACTCACCTTCACAGTAACGCACTCATCTTTGTTTGTAACCTCAACGTCATGTATATAGATGTTGAAGCCCCAAACGTCGATGCCATCCAGTCCACCCTCATTGCCTCCTCGAATGATCATATTGTATACTTCTCCTCCAGTGCAGGTATCGAGGATAAGATGGAAAGCGGGAGCTATTATCGGTTAGCATTGGGAAGGCGATCTGGAGGAAGTACTTGCAGTCAACAAGGGCGATATCATGGACAGAGAAGTATTCAACATTAATGAGTCTGATAAGACGAGGTCTTTGAAAATTAGTTTTCCAGTTCTCCTCAGTTGCTGAAGGCTCTGCTTACCCGTATTCTCCTTGCGAGTGAAACTCGTATCCGTAGCCTTGTATAGCACCACTTGATCTGCTACTGTAAAGTTCGAAGTCGCTAGAGTTTTCGACTGCAGGATATCAGAACGCGTTGCACCGTACTTGTGGCACTACTTACTGACGATCATATGGCCGCCGGCAGTGCTTTGAATGACGTTAGTCAAATTCTAAGAACAAACAATAAGATTGTTCTACCCAGTCCTGACAATTGTACCCTCAAAATTGATACCCCACGCAACACCATCGTCCAGAGTGACCCATGTGGCCATTGCGAATGTTCCAAGAGGAATATTTACTTCAAACCATCAGGACAAGTAGCATCAAAAGAGCTCAAAACTCACCAATGCCACCCGATTTGCAGGCAGTGAAGGCCGCTAGTAGTGGGGGTCCAATGTCAGTAACACCATCTGCCACTGCTCCATAATCAGTAACATCGCAGACCTTGACAGCCCACTTGGCAGATGAAGATGTCGGAGGCCCCAATTGGTAACCAGTGGCAAGCTGAGCTGCAGCAGGTACTGCGAGACTGCATGCTACAGCGAAAATTGAGTTGAACAACATCTTGAATTGGACCAGAAAGTAAAGCAGGTGAGAAAAGAAATCAGGACGAGGGGTTCATCTGATCTATACCATCAAGAAGAGCTCTGGGAAATATACTCTCCAGTATTGATTGAATATCCACATTTTCTTGCGGAACAACATTTCAAGCTTTGCAAACTTTCCTATCTCAGACCAAAGACCGACAGAAGCACAGACTTTGTCCCGAGACGCAAAATTATAAAAGCTCCACTCGAAGACTACCCTCATGGATTAGGCTACCCTCTGAAAGAGCTCAGGGCGTGGAAAATCTCTAAATCTGATAAAATTCTCCGAGTGAAGTCATTCGTGGATTTTCTCAGCACAAAAAGGGGCCGAGGATGAGATCGTCCCTGGGATGCTGACAGACATTGATGAAGGGTCGGCGCGGATACAATATCAACGGGAAGAAGTCAACTTTCGGCCAGCACACCCGATCTGACAATGTGGGTACATTTCCCTTTTCCAAAACTCAACTTCGCTAAGTAGGAAACACATGTCCGGATTTCGGTCAGACTTCTTTTGGTACCCGTCTCATATCAACAGCACGCCTCACACTCGCTTTCGCACATGTCCATTTGCATCGCATGGTAGTCCAAATCGGGACAATAACCTTGTCAATATCTCTTTACGGTGCTGTCATGGAATCTCTCTCATGGTTGCCATGCAGAGACCAGGTTCGAAGTTGAAACAAAGTCATCGGACGAACGGACCGAAATGCGTCTGTCGTAAACGAGTCACCGCATAAACAATAATGCGTCTATTATACTCTCGCTATCACCGGCAGATACCACATCTCCACGTGTGTGGAGCAGCATGTCGACCCTTGGACCTGCATTAATTGCCCTGGATTTATTGCGGGGAAGGCGGGGAGAGACCTTGAACCGCAACCTTATTGTGTGGTCTGGGATGGCATTTCGTTGAGAGATGCACCGATGGACGTCGAGTGACCATGTTGATACTGATGGGAGGGAAAATTGTTCTAGCCACAAACTGGGATGCATGTCCGTATTGCGAATTGAGGGATCCAGTCTTCTTCCGACAGGTCTTCTTGGGACTCGGTTGGAGGAAGTATGTAGGGCTAGCAAAGAGTATTCTATTTTTATACCATGGCCCCAAGGAACATTCAAGCTCAGATGAATGTTCGTCAAGACTGAGCTGTCCTCTTCGCTAAAACAAGAGACAAGTCTGATTGGCAACCGGGAGTACTGCTTGGCCATCATCAGATAGTCATCATCAAATGGCATTTAACCAGTCTTTAAAGCTTTATCTCAGTGAATGGGTGAGACTGTGTAGGGGATGAATGATCTGCAAGGAGTTTGTCGAAGAGGATAAGCATTGGTGCTGCACCGTGAGGAGATTATCATGAAGCTCAGCTCTAACTCTGAGGGAACTAGACGTGTTTCAATGAACACGAGGTTTAAGCTCGGAGGCAATTGTGGAACCCTCCGGATTGTGAGGGGGTTGGCTTAGCATTTCGCGAAGTCGGAGGGGCGCCTGAAAACAATCGCTCAAAAGATTCACCCCTGAGCGTGTTGGGATTGTTGGCTGACTCATTTGGCTGTGGCAGAATTCGCAATGTATAGGAGCTCCGATTGAGCTCGCGCTTGATTGTCGAACTGAAGTGAAAACTAAGCAGTATGCTCCAGTGAAGCGAGAGAACTTGACATTAGGACCGAAAGAACAGGCAACAGATCAAGCGTATGAGATCAAATTGAAGGTGATGGAATGGTTTGATTGTTTTGTAGACAGAAACTCCTCCAATACAATGTTCATGCATCATGACAGCAGTCGTTACGAACTCTCAGCAAGTGAGCAATATTGCAACAGACAAGAACAAGTTGAGAAAACACAATTACCAATAAACACAGAATATCAGTTACACCTCCTTCATTCCATCAAGCGCCCTAAGAGTCGAGCTCTCCCTCCTCAAGTTCACGTTTAAAGTTGCGAGAAGTGGATCGTTTTCTCGAATCAAGCGAGCCATCGTGAATGTGATCTTCGTTCAATCGACCATGTCGAATCTCTCTTTGGCTTGAGCGGAAAGGCGAAGGAGAACGTCGTGGCTACAAGATCAGCAAGTCAGCGATATTCTCCGAAGGACGTTGGTTGGAAGGGAGACCACTTACTCTATCCGAGCGATGCTTTTGTTCTCTCTGGGCTAGAGGACTGCGACTTCTTCGTCGTTCGTGGGCGGAGTCTCCTTGATGCTTCTCAGATGTTCGTGATTGTCTGCAGGATGACGACTGATTCTCTGTATTTCTTCTGGCATCCTCATCGGCAAGCATACCGGGCTTGAAAAACGAGCGGTTTTCCCGATGGAAGATTCCGAGGGGCATCCTGATCTCCACCCCGGCACGGTCCATCAAGTGGTATTGTCTCAATCCTCTCATGACAGCATTGGCATCGGATTGATATTGGCGTAATGGAGGTTGACCACGCATCGAAGTAGATACGAGAACCACGTTCTCTCTACCTCCCTTACCGTCAGCCCTGGAAAGACGATCGAGGTTAATGCCAACGGATGGGAAAGGATAAAGAATATCTTTGATGTATAAACCCACCAGGTCCTAGGAGTGCAGCATACGCGTTGGATGCCTCAAACAAGACTCCGTCTTTTGGAAATTCCTTAACCGAGAGATCCGGGAAGGTTGATCGCATGGGCACCGGGGATGTCTCGGGACGGCTTACAAGAGTAAGACCAGGCGACTTTGTAGGGCCTTGATTGTCTTGCTGGTGAGAGGACATCAACGAGTAGTTCTGTTCATTGTGCAGCTCAGCTCGTTCGCGCCGAGATGGACGTACGGTGTCGCGATCTGACATATGGCTTGCGGGGCTGCTGATGCTGAGGGTCACTGAGACCTCAGACTTGTGCGAGGGTGTGCTTGCTGTTCTTTGCTCATTCACTTTCGATGAAGTTTCGGCACTGGCGCTAAGAAGCTGGTCGGCTGGTGGAGATGCAGCAGTGTCTAGCTCGGGAAGTCGCATTTGAATTCTTCTCGCGGGGTGCACTTGGTCTGGGCTTGTCTCGTTGGTTTGTTCATGATTGATTGGGGTGACGTTGACTTTTGGCTTTTTGTCACTGTCTTGCTGGTCGTCGAGGACTGCATTGCTCTCTACTTTCGGCTGCTTGAGTGGAGTTTTGATGGAGTCTGGCCGGGCTTTTGGTAGCTAATTGTCAGTCGAAGTAGGGTTGAGGAAGGACTTGATATCCTTGTCGCCCCCTGTACCAGATCAGTGTTGTGTTCCGAAGGTTTTATGGTTTGAAGGAGAACTCACAGCAGTCTTCGAAAGTCTTCGCTTCTGCCAAGGCGCGCTGAATATCGGGAGGAGCATCAGGCATGCTCTTGCTGATCACGGACATGTTTGCGTAGACCAGGCGCCACATCTCCATTGCGCTGATGGATTCACCAGCGCGATCGGCTGGATGAGTTCTCTTGGTCTGCTTTGCGCGCTCCAGAAGGCGATCCATCTGGGAACTAGGCTGGGTAGACATGATTGATCTGCTCAGCTTTGATTTGGAGAGCGGCGGGAGTCTTGCGAAAGTGAGGAAGAGGATGGTTGTGAGGATGGAGAGTTGAAGTTGGTGGAGGAGAAGAACAGATCGACAGGGTTCAAAGGGAAGAATTGAAAGTGTGAAGTGGAGAGGGATTCGGTTGCGTGGTGTTATTGTGGAAGAGAGGTTGAGGGAGGAAGGTTGAGGAAGAAAGGTTTGGGGAAGAAAGGTTGGGGAAGGGTCGAGGAAGGTTTGTTTATATCTTTTTTTTTTGCAGCCTTGCGATTCTCTTTTGGGAAGGCACGTCTTGACTTCACCTGCACAATAGAACACGTCAACTTTAAGGAGGCGACAAAATCTGATCAAGGAATTCAAGAACGAAAGGAATCATGGACCTCCATGAGCAGCTTGGATTTCTACAGAAAGATACAACATGAGGTTGAGTCACGTGATACCTCCATACACTTCGCTGCGCAGAGATACCTAGGTACATAACATAGAATGGGACTACGACTCACTGCTGTATCATGCCTCAGAGATAGCTAGATCCAAGATAGTGTCAGGACCCAAACCTTTGACAAGAACCTTCGCGGAGAAATGCACTCCGCAGCGAATCCCAGCCACTTGAATGCTCCCATCGAGATTCACTGAATACCCCAGTCTCTGCTGCCTCGCACGATCATCCAGAAAGAAGGCCGTCGGCCGCTAGTAATGAAGGTTTTTGGTGGCGCTGCAAGATCAGATCCAACAGAGCAGGCATCAGCTTCAGAGGCCCACCGCAAACATCGTGAAAGGCAAGAGCCTGTCAATGAGCAGACAAAACTCCAGCGTATACGGACTCGATAATTGGAATCCCTTATGGGTGATACCTAGCCTGAAGAATGACTGAGCCAAGGTAGCTTCTTCCGAGAATGGGGTTGAAACTCAGGCTCCTCCTTAATCTCTCCTTTCGTTCATTGCAGCCTGGTAATTGCCATGGAATTGTCCCTACTTTCCGCCGGCTGTGGTTGCCAGCTAGCCAACAATTCTCGGGTTCGTGGAAGGTACGTATGAATGTTAAGTTTCAGGGCCCGTTCATTCTCTATCTCTAATCTTTGGTGATATGAGGAAGAATGGGCTTTGAAGGAAGGATCTTGCTGATCCATGAGTGGAGCCAGTTCTATGAGAAGATCGTCAATCGGTCCGTCTGCCGAACGAATATTGGGGTCCTCGCGGCGGACTTCATCTTCGACATAGAAGATTGATGGAATGGTCTTCGTACTCAAGAGGATACCTAATCCGAAAGCCTCCTTCGAATTGTGGGACATATGCGCGAGACGCCAAATATCTGGCACATAGGAATGCATGCTCTCGCTAAGCCTTGAGGAAGCAGTTTCGAGACAAAGTTCCATGCATTCTACTTCCCGAATAACGTGGGTTTAATCTTGTCGTATTCGATGCTCGATTTGTACAGCGTATTCAGCAACCTTGCTTTCACCAGCACGATAGCCCCACAGGAGTTGGTGAGACGTCGGGAAGTTTGTGTCTTCTGACGCGAACGCCCGGCTATCATCGTACTCGTGCATGAAAAGTCCCAGTTCAGCTCCGTCGACAAAGGCCTTCCTCTGAAAGCACAAGTCATCATACATCATAGGTCGAGAGTCGATGCTTAGGTCTCAGCTTTCGTAGAAGTTTGGAAAGCAAGGTATCCGCAGGTTTATTGAATGAACAGTCATCACAGAGCCAAACCGAAAACATGGACACCGCATGCTTTTCAAGACCGACATGTCTTCATTCCCAAATCTAAAAGCAGGTCCACAGCAAGTTGCAGGCCGCCCAGCATTTGTGATAGCGTCTCCACGTCAGGCACAAAACTTGCCATAGCCTTGCATCTTTGTTGTTGTAGAAGGGTCTCGACTCCTCGGGATCCTCTTCGCATGCCAAGTCGGCACATAGGTCGTCGTATATGCGGGTGGCGCGAGTAGTAACTTCGAAAGCAAGCTTGGTAGCAGGATACTCGTTGAGTTGTTGCAAAACAAAAGGAGGGGCTGGAGTAGCTCAATCAGCTCTGTTAATAGTAGACGAGTAGGAATACAACCGTCACCCACTCCTTTTCTCTCCAAATATACAAGAAGCTCTAGTCTCTTTTCCTCGGAAAAGTTTGCGCGGTCTTCGCGTGCTTTAAAGTTTCTCTCGACACGGCGTTCTGCAACTCGACCTTCTTCCTCCAATCGGCCATGCGAGCACGGAGGGCTGCATTTTGTGCTAGACTTTCCTTCAAACGAGCTTTCAAATTTTCTTCTGGGGTTAGCTTCCGGATTTTGTTGGATCGAGAGTCTCCGGGCGGACGAGAATCATTGGGTCGTTTGCTGGGCGGCATATTGGCTTTTGTGATATTCAAGATGGATTGCAGTTAGAAAGAAACAAAAGACTGAAGAGAGACGCGTCGTAGTAAACAACCTCGGCACTAAATGTTAGCGTGTTTTGGACCGTCTCAGCGCCATTGGCTCAAGCTTCAGGGGCTTTTCGCCAAATTTAGGGGTTCGTTTATTTCACTTCACTGCTTCTCAGACTGCAGCAACTGTGTGAAGTCTTTCAGGGCCTTTCTTGCCCAACACTTTTCGTTCGGGAGAGAATCACTGTCCTAATCATCCCTGCACCTTTGATAGGTATGTGTGTATCCTCAACACGAACCCCTTTTCCATCAATTGTTTCTCGTAACCTGGTATCAGACTCTCCATCTGCACTCTTCTTCTCAACATCCGGAAACCCAGCAGCTATGGATCTGCCATCGATACGCATCACTGTATCTTCTCCAGGCTGTGGCTCTTGTTCCGGCCAATCTCTCCAGATCTCCACCCCATTTGACCCAGAAACCTGTGCAGTGGAAAGCGCCATCTGTACAACCCGACGTGCTTGTTCTTCGTCTCCAATTTCCATGACCAGCATCGAACTCTTATTCGTTTGATAAAGTTCGAGCAAGCGGTGGTAGAAGATATCCTCTGGCTTGCAAAGCAAGACGCCAGGGATAAATGTAGGCACCAAAGCTAGTCTTGGCTCATAATTACGAACCGATCTTGTAGTCTCTGTAGCAAAATGTGAGTTTGAGATATAGGGCGGATTGGATAAGATGACATCGAAGTGGCCAAACCCGATGGGAGTCGGGCTCAGAACATCATGAATGCGAAATTGAACTTGTGGATGTCCCTGCCTTGGTTGTTGAACGAAGTTTTTCGCCTTGATGTACGCTCTCAGATTATCCCTCGCGATATTGACTGCAGTTTTGGAGATATCAAGACCCAATATCGAAATGTCCTTGAACTTTTCGACAAGAAGGGAATGGAGAAGTAGTGAGATGCATCCGCTTCCGGAACAGACGTCAAGAATCTTTGGTGCACGCCGCCTATGCAACTGATCCTCGCTGTCTATCGAATCTCTAGTTGGCCCTGAAAGTACATCTAAGCTGTCTTCGAGCAGCAGCTTCGCGACATGAGCCGTATACGCCTCTGTTTCTGGTCTGCGAAGAATCAGCACTGATCACTTGAGAAAGCAATACACCCACCTTGGGATGAGGACTTTTGGCCGACATTTGATGTCCAAGTCACCAAACGGTTGGGAGCCAAGGATATATTGTAAAGGCTCAGCTCGTGAGCGTCTTATGCAGAGCTGGAGTAGCTGCTTTTGGTGCGCTTTAGGACAATCTGTCTTGGAAGTCTCGAAGACGTGTTCTTTGAGCCATCCGAGCTCATTGATTGCTGAGTCAAGGGCTCTGGTACCGCGAAGGACAAGGGGCAGGAATGAGGATATACTGTAGGCTTTGCGGATGAGATCATGAGAGAGTCGAGGCATGAGAGTGAGGGAAGGAGTGAGAGCAGCCCAATTCCATCAACAGTTGCTGATTCGCTACTACAAAGCGATTGATCAGACGACAGCTAGATCACGATCCGACCTCAGTCAATAAACGTCAATAAACCTCAAAAGGCTGATTGTATTGCCCCTGATTCCGGAGTACGGCGTTGAGATTTTCTCCTCGGGCTCGGATTTAAGTGCGGTGGCCTGAGTCTGCCGAAAGCGCAATTCACTGATCAGATTATCGTTCCCAAATATTTACATTTATGAAGCAACAATTTGGAAGCTCACCAACTCCTCATGATTTTGCGACCCATAGCAAGGTCAACATGGCGCGTTCGTCGTCTTTCTCCATTGTTTGCGTCTCGATACAGCTCTACCCACCATAATCCACCATTCCCGACAATCCAGACATGTCCGTCACCAACCTGTACGTGCTCGCAATTGCCTACTATGCCCGAGGGACTCGAGATTGATCACTCGAAATCCTTGAACGGAACGATGGCAGCATATGCAGAACAAGTCTTGATATGCACTGGGAAGGATGATTGGATGTCGAGGATAGAAGAAGAGAACTCGGGAGACAATCTGGCTGCGGACATAAAGGAATTGCTCGGACGAGGTGGGATGTATTCGGATGTATGACTTCTTTATCTTCCCTTAGCAAGTTAATGCTAACATATTCTTCAAATAGCCATACCACAATGTATCCGTCACCAACGCTTCCTTCCCTTCATCTGTCCCAGCACGATCCGAAATCCAGACTACATCTGCGTACCTCCTGCCAAGCTTTAAATATATCCCGTTTCTTCCACGGGTTTCCTTCGACTCAGTCCAAGCACTCGTGAAGGGTTATCTGCTGCCGAAGAAGCTACATCCTGCCCATGCCAGCCTCTCGCCAATACACAGAGACAGGCTGACCCGAAGTGAGAATCAAGGGAAATTTTTGCCAGCTGTTCAGGATGTGAAAGACATTCTCGTGCTTATCTGCGGGCACGGTGGAAGAGATATGCGCTGTGGTGTTCTTGGACCAGTGTTAAGGAACGAGTTCGAGCAGCAGATGCCCAAGGATAATATACGAGTGATGAATGGGCCTGTGAATATTGGAGATGGACAAAACAGAGATGTGATTGAAAGCTCAGCAACATCAGACACCTCTCAATCAGCCAGAGTAGGATTGATCAGCCATATTGGAGGACACAAATTCGCTGGAAATGTGATTTTGTACATTCCCCCAGGTACCAAAACAGCCGATGGGAAGGAAAATGCCTTGGCAGGCTGTGGGATTTGGTATGGAAGGGTAGAACCAAAACATGTCGAAGGGATCATCAAGGAAACAATACTTGGTGGCAGAGTCATTGAAGATCTCTTTCGAGGTGGTATCAGGCAAGGAGGAGAAATCTTGAGGCTTTGAACTTTCAGCATCTAAATGGCGTTTGGCTTTCGGGGCTCTGCATAAACTTGTACTGTACGATACATTGGGGGAAACCTGTACAAAACTCGACTCGAGAAAGATACAACTCAACACCGTTCCATACATCTGCAAGATTCTGCACACAGCTCACCAACATCACTTTCCAGCCTATCTCGGACTATTGCGTGCTACTCATACAAAAAGTAAAGATTGGACAACACACTGCCGAGGTACAGTGGGATTGAATTCCGGTGTCCTCTCTGTCTTTAATTTTATGTGAGCCACACTCCAGTAATCACTAAGCTCAATATACCTGTCATCTGTTTAGCCTCAGGTTTTAAGTCGCTGCTTTTGGCATATCCTGACCTTTGTCAACTTCGACAACACTTCGCGTAGGGAAAAATGAACGAAATAAACAGAAAAATATCTTTTCATTAATATTAAAGAGTTTCAGTTGTGGCTACGAAGGACGTTATGCCGTTTGACTAGCTCATTCGTCCTCCCTGACTTGGATTTCTGGAGAAAGCCTGCTGTGCAATGCACTGCATGCTTTGTTACTTATCATTTGCTCTCCTTGACATTGCTTGGATGTAGACTGGAGACGTATGCCACAACCGACTGACAATGATCCAGGGTGTAGAACAATGGCAAATAGGTTGATCAGGACCGAAACAAAATACATATCATGTTTATGACTTATTTAAGTGCTTTTGAGTCTTTCATACGGTACATATCTTAGATTTAACGCATGACTTCTGGAGTATGGTGCTATTCGAGAACGAGGCAGATCACGGTCACATGCAACCGGCCGGTGGTGGCTGAGAGCTGAAAAAGTATGCCCTGCAACTCAGCCCCGAGGGGCAGCCTTATCCCATCCCCTAATTCATTCGCCTTTAAGGCTGTTGATTCTTGACTCTTGGCAGGTGTAAATCTCATTTATCTAGCTCTTTGTGTTGTGCTGCATTGATCTACTGTGGAGCTTTTCTCCTACATCAACGCCGCTGCCAACCTGCATCGTCAATTAGTTGACTCCCGGACTACTCGCACGGTTTTTCACGACAGATTGCATTCGCTGACGATGTCTCTTGTCGCTCTCGGTCGCACACCTCGGACAGGTAATGCCGACGGATCAGTGACGAAGTCGCTCGAAGTTGCGCTCTCAGACTTTGGCAGCGTCCTCACTGACGATGAGAGGAAGCAGCTGCAGCAGATTAAAGAAGTGCCCGATGCATCCGCGGCACTCGTCTTCACTGCCAAGCTCGGTGCATCGAATATGACCAGGCGAGGAAGAAGCATCGGCGCGCGGGCGTTCTCAATGCTGCAGTCAGTTCAGCAATTCTCGGCATTCGTTGAAACCTTCGTTTCAAGCCATCCGGACGTTGCTGCACTTGTATGGGGGAGTGTCAAGCTTACAGTACTCGTAAGGCATTTGTCAAGATTTTCATGGAAGCACAACGTTGTTTGAGCTGAACCTAACGATACTTTTAGATAGCAGCCAACATTACCTCGTACTACGAGTCTCTCGCGGATTTGTTTATGGGTCTCAATAAACTTTTCCCCCAACTCGAGGAATACCAGCTTCTCTTTCCTCGCTCTTCTACACTTCAGGAATCAATATGTACATTCCATGCCTCTATTGTTCAAATGTGTAAGGAGAGTATCCGGCTAACACGGCAACCATGCAAGTGACCATAAGTCCATAACCCCTATTAGCGAGCTTTGCTAACCTGGAGACTGAAGGGATAAAGAAAGTCACAACTGAGTTGCGAGACAAACTTCGTCCTCAGCTTGAGAACATCCAGATTTGTGGCAAAGATGTTAAGAAGGCTATTGCTCTAGCTAAAGCAACGTCTGATCGACAAGAACAAGAACTCCAGGAACAAGAACGAAAACTTGCGGACAAACACAGGAAGCATTTGTCAATTTTCACGTCACAAGCTCAAAGAGAGCTTGAAGATGCCAGAGAATGGCAAAGACGAAGAGACCGGGATCTCTTGAGTAAGTTCGAATGGCTCTTTTTGGCGATTTTAATCTAAATTGGAATAGGGGAGAAGAGAATGAAATTGCTTGACGCTTTGTCAACGTACGAACACCAAAAGAACTTCTATCAGGCTCGTAAAAAGCGATATCTTAATACGGCAATGTGGTTGTTCTCTACCTCAGAATTCACCAAGTGGAAGGATGATGAAAAGCCCTCGGTATTCTTCTTGACCGGGAAGAGTAAGTTCTGTGGCTTGCTCTTACGGTAAGACTATACTAACTGCTCGTAGTCGGTTCGGGAAAGACGGTGCTTACGCTAGTACTCCTTCTATTTTCTACGTGTAATCTGCTAACGAGTACCTTTATTGTGAAAGAAAAAGGACTGATAAGCTTACCGCTTTCGTTCTCTCTCGCTATGACGACTCTGCATCACTTAGTGCTATCTCCGTACTAAGATCTATTATCCGCCAGTGCCTTAAGTCTGACGATGTAACCGAGGAAATCGAGAGACAGCTAAGCGAACTTAAGACTGATGACAAAGTTATGGAAACAACCAAGACCTTACTTCGTTACTGTACCAGCAGATTTGCTACCTTGTACATTGTCATTGATTCTTTGGACGAATTCGAAAATGAAGAGCGCAATATCCTTCTACGAGTTTTATCATCTGTTATATCACGTCCGGATTCTAGAGCCAAGCTTTTTCTTGTCGGCCGAGGCAGTACGTTAGTAACTATTCGAAATTGGTTCCCAGGTTCTCACGAGATGACTACCGACGGTGTTGAAGTAGGAGTCGATATTGAGATATACATCCGAGAGAATATAGCCTTGAGACAGGAGGAACGAACACCCATCCACGAACGACTCATGTTAGATGACCCTGCTATGGCTCAGGAAATTATCAAAGCATTGATTAATGGTGCAAACGGCATGTGAGTGGTCGCTCTTAACAATCAAATTGCTTTGCTAACGTGGCAGGTTCCTTTGGGTTGACTTTCAAATTGCCGACATATGCGGATGTACTTGCGACAATGAAATCCGCAAAGCGCTCTTAACTCTTCCTAAAAGCATAGGAGAAACGTTTGATCGCGCTAAGAGACGGATCTCAAAGCGTCCCTCTGCGAAAACCGCGATTAATATTTTTCGATGGGTTGCAGCAACTAAACGAGCACCCACTCTTGACGAGCTAAGGGAGGCTCTCTCATACGAGCCCGGCACGCCTTATTCCATTGCAGAAAAGAGAATAACGGGTTTAGATCGCATGACTTTCTGGTGCGAGAACCTAGTCCAGCTTGACGAGGAGTTCCAAACTATTCAATTCACACATCGTAGTGTCCTTCAGCATCTCCTCGAACCATCATCTGATTCGAGTCTCCTCGGCTTTCATATCAATTTGGAAGAAGCTGATCACTTCATTGGAGAGATATGTGTAACCTATCTCAACTCAAATGAATTCAAGACGGCATTAGCCCGGAGACCTGCAGCATTGCCAACACGACTTCCGGACTATGTTATCGAGAAAAGTTTAGAAGGAAAGGATGTCATCACGCGTATGATGCGTGCGAAGCAGAAACTAAATGCTCAAGTTGATCGTTATACTAAGAGTGATAAGAAAGAGACGATGATAATCGATGATTGTCCTCAAGACTTAATGACTACCCTACAGCTAGGACACCCGTTTCTCGAGTACGCTCAAAGCTACTGGCTATCTCACACCCGTACCTTTGAAGAAGGCAAATCTAGAAGCTGGACTCTTTGGAAGAAAATGATACGCAGCCCGCAAGGTCTGGTGACAACCCCATGGGCACCGGAGGAGTTCTTCAAGCCAAGCCATGTCATTTATGAATGGCTAAGCAAGCACGATCATTTGGCTGTCTTTCTACAATTTGTTCGTTCTGCTAGACTTGATTCTGCTGGAAGAATGGAATTGATCCGTACTTATGCAAGACTTGGTCGCCTGAACTATATAAACATCTTGATTGGCTTAGTTCAAGACAAGGAAGAGCTCTTGGATGGGCTTGAATCTGCTGCCGAGGGCGGCCACCTCAATGTTGTTCAGATGCTCCTCGATGCCAAGGCTGATGTTAATGCTAGTATGGCGTTGAACGCAGCTGCTGAGGGCGGCCACCTCGGCATCGTTCAGATGCTTCTCGATGCCGGGGCCCATGTTAATATTAAGGGATATGGGGACTATACGGCGCTGCAAGCAGCTGCCGTGGGTGGCCACCTCGATATCGTTCAGATGCTTCTCGATGCCGGGGCTCATGTTAATATTAAGGGATATGGGGATTATACGGCGTTGCAAGCAGCTGCCGAGGGTGGCCACCTCGACATCGTTCAGATGCTTCTCGATGCCGGGGCTGATGTTAATGCTACTGATTCTTCTGAAGGTACGGCCTTGCAAGGAGCTACCAAGGGTGGCCACTCGCAGATTGTAAAATTGTTGAAATCGTATGGTGCTACTAAGTAGTTCAATACCTCATGTTTGCTAGGAGAGAATAGGCTTTTCTCTTCCAGAGAGCGAAGAAGAAACAACTAGATTGCATTGGACGGAATTTTATGGAATGGCTGGTTTACTTGGACTCGGCAAAGCAGCGTACTTGGGCGAGGTTCTTTTGTACTAAGACTATGTGTTCTGGCAAGTTCGTGCTTCAAAGCAAAGGCATTACGAATTTTATCCAGTCTTCTGTTTCAGGTAGATAAAGTTCTCAAAGCAATATTTTCGCATTTTTCTATGCCTGATCACAATACTATACTGTTTCGCAATCGATTTCGTTTTTAAAGCTGAAATTTTCTGCAACCATATTCCTATCATTCTATAATACTTGCAATTAAAATCAATAAGATTTTTCTTACACTTTGTCTTTAAGCTTCTATTCTTGGTTCGGACTTCAAAAGGGCAGCTGGTGCTTTCCTGCTTTTATCGTAGGCCAGGAGAGCGGATAAGTAGAGGGGTTGTCGAGAAAATAATCAATCGCTATATTATTGGAATCAAAGGAGGTGGTTCAAATAATTGATTCCATTACCAATTTGCTAAATAGAGACTTTCTGACTATATACAACTGCAGTAAAGCTTTACGGTTCATATTCCACTTTCGACATGCGTAAATCAAATAGCGCATCTGGGACTGGATAATAAGCTGTCATTCCCAAAACGTTTAAAGGAAGGAAGAAGTTCGTCATATCTACACCAGATAGTCTCGAGGGGTTTGAAAATGTCCACTTGGAATAAATTGACGAGAGGCAGTAATTGCTTGGGACATCAGTAGAGTATATTATCCTCGTGAACCTCGATGTATGTGCTAGGCGTAATACTCCACTGCTATATCACCGAGTTCGTGCCAATGATTCTGTGCCTTCGTAAGATTTGGTGCCAATTGGACCAGAAGCACTGTCATCGGCAACAATGGACCCGACCGATATAGATCAGCACAGATAAAATCACACGAAGTAAAATCGGCGACTTTTATATAACCTGAGGCTACGAAGATGGCAGGATTATACCAACCATATCTAATCCAGTGCTGACTAAGTGTGGCTTCTTTAAAACTCGAGAGCAGTGTGCAGCGAAGACACCGGGATATACCGTGCCGTCTGTCCTGTAAGGGTCCGAACAGGCTAAACAAGCTATCAAATCTAGATGGGCCTATATGTGAGAACTGCAGCTCGTGACCTGTCCCAGATGTATGTGGACCTGGGTCGATGGGGAAGTATGATGTAGGTGTTGAGATCGGGATCAGAAGAATGCAGATTCAAGAAAGCGGACTCTGCAAACCCTGCACATGCACGATGCGATGGATATCATTGCGCAATACTCTGAGCATCACATGGGAGTATCCGAGGGCCAAGTTCGGACCTTTTTGCCCCTGAAGCCAGATATGCTTGCTCGATGTGACCAGTGCCATTCGTGCAACAGGAAGAGCTTCTTCTCCACAGCGCGGGTAGGGACGGCGCTCTGTTTGCAAACCCTAGGTATTACCTCGGGATCAAGATGCGCTCCAGCTCTAGATCCTGCGGACAGAGCTCCGTCGCCGAGCCATCAATGTATGTACTGTACGTCGTGACACATGAAAAGGGGGATCCTTCGTGGAAGTTGGCTCAGCCACAGGATGTCCCACGCGAATGGTTTCGAGGTTAAACTCTTTGGGTCGTAGTTTTGTTGCCTTTTTGTTGCAGCTGATGCACTTTGGGAAGAGGTGAGGGACTAGATTCCCATGACGTCGAAGGTTTGGAGGGGTAAACTTTGAAGCGAACCAATGGGGCAAGTGGGGCCAACCCCGCTGACGTCGAACCTCCTTCGCGCTGGTGGTGGCTGTTTTGTGCCACAGCTCGCCAGATTCGCGCTTACCCGTTTCGTACGGGTGAATGCCTTACTTCTTATTCTGCTCCTGCTTTATACGATACTGGCGACGTCATTGAACTAAGATGACGAGGCTGGGAAATTGGAAGCTACGGTAGCGGGAGGGGTCTTTATAAACCCCTCTTCGACCCCTCTACATTCTCTTCTTCTGTTTCCATCAACAACCACAACTTCCAAACCTCAACTCAAACAATCCAACACTCAAACCTTCAACTCAAACAACAAACCTCTTCAAATCAAAATGGAGTCCATCAAGGTAAGCTCTTCTTCCTCTTCCTCATCAGCTCCATCTCCTTGACCTTTGACCTTTGACCTTGACCTTTCCCTTCCTCTCCCTCTACAATATTGTACTAACAACTCGGCCTCAGAACGCCGCCAACTACGTTGCCGAGTCCGTCCAAGGCACCGGTGCTCAAGCTTCCAAGGAGGCCAACAAGCAAGTCGCCAAGGACTCTGATGCAACCCTCACCAGCCGTGCTTCCGCCGCCAAGGATGCCGTTGGAGACAAGTTCGACCAAACCTCCCACGAGACCAAGGCTGATGTCCACAAGGGTAAGTTTTCTCCTTCATACCCCGCTCCAAAGTTGATCATATATATGCTAATGAATCAACAGAGGCTGCTAAGCACTAGATTGTGACAACCTACACATCAACCAACACCTCGTTCGTACGATGATGGATGGATGGATGACTGGCATGGAATTTTATTTGGCGTCTGGGACCGGTGGCTAGCTGCCGATGAGCTGAGCATGGATTTGTGATTCGATCACACCAAATACCCTTAGGCATAGCAATATCAACGCTGTTGTCAAACTTGGTTCTCTCCTTGCTGTGACTTGTGACCTACGTATCTCTGTTAGATCTTGATGGTGATTAGTTCCTTGTCTCATATGAAGCAGTTTGTTGAGTAGCTAGGTATGTCTTATTAGACTGACAACCTTGCGCAGTCCCAATTCGACACTTATGGCTCCTCCTTCCCTGCAGTATCTCAATCTCTGCGAATGCTTGCTGTGAGATCTAGGTACGGCATCAACGTCAAACACCCCAACCACTTCTCCCGCCTGCAAAATTCCAAATCCAGAAACAATTTTTGTGTCAACAGCCCCATTTCCAGCTCGGACAAACGTGAAAGTACAAGGAACTTCCAAACCCAATGCTTATGACGTCCTTTTGCAATCACATCAAGCTGTTCTATACTATGCCTTGCTAATCTCAGAACGAAGATAGTGATTGATATGACGACTTTGCGTGAATGTAGATCCGACTTTGCTGTTCTGCGTGTGCAAGCTCTCAATTTGGGAGCTTAGCTTGGTGATGGGATGATTTGAACATTGCTGCCCTTGGGTTGGAGTTCACGAGTAACAATACCTAGGTACATATCCACAATTGACTGATTTGTGTCCCGCGTTCAAAAGCTGAATCTATACCCATGCAGTTTTCAAAGTCGAGGTCAAATGAATTATCTCTTGGAAACATGCACTCGTTTCACCGGAAAGACAATAACTTATGCCCATTATTTCACAACCGTCCATCCAGGACTTTTATATATCAGCGCCAATATCAATCGACCTCCATCCCCAGTCCGTCCCATTAGCCATTTTTCCATATGCACAATGATAAACACTTGTAGCCCATTTGATACACCTGCCAAGCGTCTACTTGGACTTCTGCTCCTTCTGCTTCTCCACCTCCAGCCTGTGCATCTCCAACCTCGCAGCCACAACCCCATTCCGGACCATAAAAGCATTATACATATCCCCAAACGCATACCACATCGCATACAACGGCAAGAAAACCCAAAGCATATTGAAGAACACCAAATACACCCATTTAAACATAAAATTACTCGCATCGAGATTCTGGTTTCCCGTCAACCACTCGGGGCAGAAGGTCATGAAACCTGTCATCAAAACACATTAGTCTTCCTTCTTCCTAAACCGGAACAAAGAGGAACAAAACACAAACCTCCATAAAGTTCCCCAGTAGCCAACACCACCATCCAAAACCCCGCCATCGGATCCCTCTTACTAATCTTATAACAAATCCACAACGCCAACGGGCCCGCCCCAAACACAGTCAACAACTCCAAGCTAATGACCGTCAGATCCGCCTGTCCCCACCTCCAATCCGCCTTCGCGTACACCATCCACAGTTTACTGGCCCAGTTATTCGCATACGCGCTGCCGAACACTCGATCTGGCTGATTGAGAAAGTTCGTGATGAGGGCTGGGTGCATGGAGCCGGAATCGAAGGGCGCGGAGGCGAAGAAGCAGTTGTAGAGGAAGGATCCTTCGAAGAGGGTGTGAATCAGGAAATCGAAGGCGTGCCAGATGAAGAGGACGCGCAGGGTCGAGGGGGTGGAGGGGTGGAGGACGCGGAGGGAGAGGACGAAGGCGCTGTTTAGGAGGAGGAGGACGGAGAGGAGGGAGACGATTGTTGTTGTGTCTAGTTGGTCCATGATTGTGGAAGACATTTTGGGCGGGATGGAGGGAGCTGGAGGGGATTGTTAGTGAAGGGTGAGCAGAGAGGGGATTGAAGGGTAATGTACCTCGAAGGCTCCGAGGGATTTGCGGTTGAGGCGTGTTGATTTGGAAACAATGGCTGACGGGAAGCTCGAGTCCTCCAGTGACGGTTGGAGCTGGATGTTGGTGATCGTTGGCTGCAGTGGAGACGATCGACGGGAAACTCCGCTAGCCTGAACCCCTGAACTTGGCTCTCGGGCCCTTCTTGTCTGGAATTGGCAATTCGACGAACATAATAAGTACCACAGATCCTGAGGATTGAGGAGCAGGATATCTTCACATTCTGGGACAGGATTGGCACAGGCTATCCAATCACTTTCGGGTTGCTGCGAGCTGCGGGCTTTCTTTCATGTTGCGACGAGATTGTGCTGCTTTCTTCGATTCATTCTGCGAGTTTTATTCCACTGTTTTTACCTTGTAACCTTACCATCGATCCTTGTCTATTAGCGACCTGGGAAAGGCAGAGTTGCGGAGTCCAAAACCTAGGCCGAATGCATGTGCCTATGCCGATGAGAGTTTTATATTTGTTCACATCTTTTGAAGCGAAGCAAAAAGTCCGATATCATTTTTGATTTCATTTCTTTTCTGTCTTGTGTGGAGATTGTTATCTTTCTACCTAAACGGTATAATACATATTTCTATTCATGCCCCTCGCCTTTCTTCCTCGATTTGTCACGTTCAGCGAAACTTCTGAAATACAACAGGTCGTCCCTGTGTGTATCCATTGCCATAACCAGCTCCACCGCCGTATCTTCTCCGCCTACCCTGCTCAACCTCAAGAGCATGTTTTGGGCACCAGCCACGCCTCCAAAGCGGCTCTTCCATGTACAGCACCCAGGTAGCACACTGCTGGTGTACCCTATTTGCCAAATTGCACCAGATGATCCGAGGGTCCGCTTCATCACTATTGTCATGGCAGCCGCAATATAGAAAGCCAACGAATGGTCTGAAGCACATTGTATATTGCTTAGTTGTTGATAGCCTGTTGATATTCCGTTTGTGCTAATACTCTTTGTCGCGAGAGAATGATGGATATGAGAAGAGATTCATGAGTTACAATTCATACTCTGCAGTTATGACTACGGGTTTACATCTGGGTGATTCAAGACTCAGTCCTTGTGACTGCTCCTGACAGTCGTCACCAAAGAAAAGCCAACACTCTGATCTCATAACTTTTGGAGAGTCATACCTCACTGTCTCTTCCTTCGCTGAATCTTGATATCAATTCCAGATTGGCGCACGAACCACGAGTTTTGAACATGCCATTCCTTAGCAGGATCCACAAAGGCCATCTACGCTCTCGTCAGCGGGCGGACTCAATGCTAGGAAGATTCACATACATCATATTTCAGGAAGAAAGTGGAAATCACTTTGTATACCTCCAATATGCTTATGTTCTTTCCGAGACAGATACGATTTCCTGCGCCGAAAGTGAGATCGGTCGTTTTCATCAACGAAAGTCGAGCTTGGAAGTCATCCTCTGTTTCTCCCGCACCAAGATCCCGAAGCCAGCGCTCCGGCTTGAAACATGCTGCGTCTTGCCCGTAAATCTCCTTGTTCTGATGGATTACCCAGCCATTCATACCAACAATTGTCCCGGGAGGGATGACTGTTCCATCCGAGAGAGTAAGACAACTTTCTGGCACCACACGCTCTAGCAACAGGCCAACACTAGGATGAATACGCATGCTCTCTTTGATCACCGCATCCAGGTACGGTAGAAAACTTGCTGCAGCATACGTGACAGGATGGACAAGGTCCGCGTTGTCGAGTTCTTCTCGGAGTTTCTGATACACTTTCGGGTTCTTGAGAGTGTAGTAAATAATCGATCTTAGAAGGATAGCGCTAGTGTCCGATCCAGCCAGTACGTTCACCAGCAGAGCGCCTATGACGACTTGATTGTTCATTATCTCCGGATTCGATTTCTTGACCTCAAGAAAGCCATCTAGCATATCTGGCTTATCTTCTCTCTTTTCGTTGGATTCTTGTCTCTCCAGGGCTTGTTGGGCACAATAAATAGCCGCCAAGTCGAAACTTGGCGGACCAATGGGTCGAATAGGATTCTTCGCAAGCCAATGATCAAATGATGGCATTTGCCCAACAGTCGCGAAATAGTCCAGAGCTCTGTCGGCAGTAGCAAGGAGACCTGAGTAATCTTTGCCTTGGTCCATGAATCCCATTGGTCGGCTGAAGGTCATTTGGGCAATCACATCCCATGCAAAGAACAGAAGCCACTCGTCCATCTTGCATGCCTTCCCAGTCTCTACGAATTCCTCGTCGAGACGTTTACAGAATGCTGCAATTGTGTCGTCAACGAGAGGCTCATGCGTGAGCACACTGGACATCTTGTAGAATTTCTGGATGGGCCGCATGGCGCTAGCGTGAAATTCGTTGCTCAGAGTACTGAACACATTGTGTATGATCTGGCTACCGACTTTGGTGTCATTCAAGGTGTAGAATTTGCTCTTGGATGCTGTCAGTCTTGTTTTGTGTTTCGCGAACGAGTTCTTGCCTTCAGAAAGTCCCCTCGAGTATTGTACAATGTTCGTAGAAGCTTTGGGTCACTGATGCTGACAATGTTTGGTCCTAGCCTGACTGCATTTCCGTACTTCTCGTGAAGCATTTGTTGCGTGAGCTCTGGTCGACCTCCATACGTATCAAAGAAGCGCCAAAGATTGGTGAACTTGGCGAAGAATGGTCCTGGAATGCTTTTGATTGGAGAAGTGAAGTAAATCCATACACTGTATACCAGTGTAAGGAGCAAAGTACTCCCCAGGCTTTGGAGGAAAACCGACACTAGGAACATTCTGCAATCTTTCAGTTACAGAGACAAGCTGAAGAAAAATGGAGGAGAGCGTGCCAGAATCGTGGGGGAATCAAATGATTATTGGGGCAGCTTTCTCCATTTAACAAGCAACCCATCCATGAGGCTGGCAACGGGCTCCTCCCTGAACGTACGGCACTGCTTTCAGTTTTCCATGACACTTACCATTGGTGTTATCATGGTTGCACTGCATATTGGATGGTATTGAGATAAGGGGTTATTGGAGTTGCATTTTGATTTTTACGCCCTGCCCCGCACCTTGGGTGCATCAAGAACATCTCTCTCTGAGCAGTTCTAGCACGAGAGTGTTGAGAAGAACCAGTCACTCACGATTCAAGTGCATGATGAGATCATCCATACTCATAAATGATGATAGTCAACCTAGATGAGGCAATTAGAAGATGTGCTCAGCACTGACTAATATTCGTTGACTTGCGCGAAAGTCTTGACGCGAGTCTACTTTGTGGTGGTTTACCCATGCGAATCAGCACCTAAATCGCACCTTGCAGATCCCGCTTATCGATATCAAGATTGCGGCCGACAGCTTGACTGAAAAGGGACATGGTTCGCATCTTTTGCCTATATCAGCTCCTGCTGTGTAACTACATCCCACCCTGTCCTGTGTCTAGATTTTCCCTCCAAGCTGGCAACCCACGATAATGATTGGCAAAGGAATGGACACCCTCTCAGACTCTGTTATGGTCTTGTCTTCAGCATACGATAAAAGGGGTTTTTGAACGCACTGGCATTCCATCCGACACCAAGCTTCGCTTGTTGGAGAGTCTGAAGATCCCAACGGTGATAGCATGGCATCTGATGAATCTGCAGATCTGTACTGGACTACTCACTAAATGATCTACTGGCCAACAGATCGCCCTAGTCACCAAATTCAGGGCAGATTTTCGTCCGAACTTCTCGCTTAAAGTAATAATTTAAAAATATATAAAATAAATTATAAACTTTTTAATATTTTTATATAAATTAATTTTAATATAATAAATACGTATTATTAGAAATATATAATAGTAAAATAATTTATTAAATACAATTATTAAATTTTAATTAAATTATTCTTATATAAATGTAATTTATAAAAATTTATATAATATTCTTAAAATATTTAGCGAGTGGATCATTTGGCGAGCAGTTTAGTACAGATCCAGAGATCTCTGATGTGAGCAATGCCGATATTCAATCACCCATCAATATCCAAGACATCACACTGGAAGAAAGTGAAAGTCCCTAGGAGTGACTACACCAACTAGTAGCTGACTTCGAGAAGGCGGAAATATCGGATGGGCTGGATCACAATATATGTCGAGGAGCGCCATAAGTTCTTCCTCCTCTATCTGATTCATATCGGCCCCCATCTCTCGGACTCTCTGATACTCTTCATTTTCAACGATGATACCAATCGTCCGCATCCAACCAAGGTTGAATGATATTGTCTTCTCGCCATGAAAGATCCAGTATTGCGCCATGGCGTCCTGAAAAGTATTGCCGGCCGCATAGTTCGATTGGGAAACGCTACCATAAATTCCAGAGAGAGAAGATAGAAAAATGAAAAAGTCGAGATTGCGAGGAAGGAGGTCATGAAGAACCCATGATATGTGAGCGAACACTAAGCAAGCTATGCACAGCTGATATCAAGGAAGAATATGTTCATCAGCTTGGGCATACAATCCCTGGAGCATAATCAGATGAAGGGGTTCTGGGGGCTACACGCGCCATCCGACGAACGGTTGAAAGAGCTACAGAAATGATCCAGCTTGAAAGTTGGCTGACGACCCGAGGTCGGCTCATCTTGTGAAGCCAGCTCCATAGGAGAAATGAATGTCAAATTGCAAGTAGTGATTGGAGATGCAGGTGAAGAATAGAATTTAACTCTGATTGACAAATACTCGACATCTTCAGAGTGAAGCAACTTAAACATTTTTCAATCACACCCTTTTTCAAGTACAGTAGACGATGAAAAGGTCAAAGCAAAGCGACACGAGTTGAAGATGGCCCTTCTGGCATTACCACCAGATTAGGCTGCGCAAAATACCCCCATGGGGTGGAGGATTAGATTTATCCCCCAACCCGTGGGTCCCCCACCCCATGAGCGGGGAAATGTAAAGAGAATTGAGATTGTGGCAATGGTTACTGTTAAGCACTGATAAGCAAGGTTGGATGTTGGAAAATCCAAAACAATGCAATTCATTCCATTTTGGGATTTCAATGTTGGATTTCGACGCGATATAAGGCATCGGTTGGTGGGAATCGCCAAAGCCACACTTGGTTATATCTGGTTGATTCGGGTAAATTACGGATCGGGCCTGATTCCAACTGTTGGTAATTGCTATCTCGTAGCAGGAAATGGCTGGGGCGAAGGAGGAGTTGCTACCTAGCTGCCCCTCCTTGTTTCGGCTCGTTCATATCGCTCCTGTTCTGAAGAGAGTTCTGGGGCTTTGTCAAACTTCAATCATTGTATCGTGCTCGAGGATCCCATCCGCTATGGAAGTTCCATAATCGTCAACACTTTCAAGCACCATGTCTTTCAAAAATATTGCGTTGGTTGTTGCCCGCTACTTGCTCTATGCTTTCGTCGTGCGCGTGAGGCTCCCTCAACATAAAGGTGAAGCTAAACACTAAATCCACATCTAGTGCGTTTTAATCTATAGCTATCGTCTTATATATCATCCATGTCATTCATATCCTGGACCATTCACTGCCAAGTTCACAGACTGGTACGGAGCATTCCACGCTTTCTTCCGACGGCTTCACTTGGTCACGTACCGTGATCATCAGAAATATGGTATGGTCTCTGGAAACTAGTCGACCCTCTGGCATTCTAATGAAGTGAGCGTTCAAGGCACAGCCATTCGCCATGGGCCAAACAAACTTGTGTTCAACTCTGTCACAGCACTACACGGTATGCATGAAGTCTTTGCCATTTGCATAAGCTAGCGCTGATCGAAAGCAGATATCTATCAGAGCGAGCGACTTTACAAGTCTCGATCCTATCTTGTGACACAACCAGTTGCGGGGGTTTACAATTTATTCAATGTTCTAGACAAGCGCTCGCATCGGATCAAGAGAAGGATTATCGGGCAAGGTATCAACGATCGATCGGCACGACAATTCGAACCTGATATGATCAAGCATGTTGATATTTTCATACAGCAGTTGCTGAACTCCTCCGGTAAGACAGGCGCAGCAGTGAATATGACGAAAAGGTGTAAATATCTTGGCATCGATGTCATTGGACAGCTTGGATTTGGGAGTACTCTCGATTTACAAACTGACTCCAAGAACCACTTTGTCCTGAAAGGTTTGGAGACTTCAAACTTTCGGAGCAATCTGTACATCCAGTTCCCGCTATTGAAAAAGGTTGGTATGGAGCTTCTGCTCTATCCATTCATCTTGACTCGACAAATGAAATACTACACGCTCATCAGGGACTTGGTACTTGCTCGTCGATCACAAGGCAAACATGCGCGAAAAGACCTCTATTCCTTCATTGCCGACCTGAAAGACCCTGAGACAGGAGAAGGAATGCGTCTGCGGAATCTATGGTCCGAAGCTGCCTTCTTCATACCAGCTGATCAGTGCCACCAAATTCTCTCGCCGATGGGACTGGCGACCACAAGAAATAGACGGACTAACACATCAACAGGGGGCGACACGACCTCGACTGCACTATCTGCCACGTTCTTCTACCTTTCAAGATACCCTGAATGCTACAAAAAGCTTGCAAAAGAGATCCGCTCAACGTTCTCAGATGGCACAGATATCAAGAGTAGTCCAGCACTAGCTGGATGTTCATACCTTCGTGCGTGTATCGACGAAAGCCTACGAATGACGCCACCTATTTCTACCACGCTGTGGAGAGAACTACCCGCTGATGACAAGGAGCCATTCTTGGTGGATGGTCACGTCATTCCTCCAGGGACACAATTAGGAGTCAACATGTATGCTATCCATCACAACGAAGCGTACTTTCCAAACCTGTTCACCTTCCAACCCGAGAGATGGCTTTTTCCAGATGAGTCACATATGGATGAAGAAGCCAAACTCGCGAAGAGGCGCATGTATGATGCATTCAGCCCATTCTCGATAGGATCGAGGGGCTGTGCTGGTAAAGCCATGGCCTACATGGAGATCAGTCTTGCGCTGGCTAAAACACTCTGGTATCTTGACTTTGAGCGTCCTAGCGGTAAAGAGGACAAGGTTGGCGAAGGAATTCCAGGAAATAGGCATGGAAGGGGAAGAAAGCTTGAGTTTCAAGGGAAGGATCAATTCGGGTCACTTCATGATGGACCCTTTTTGGTTTTTCGGCCCAGGGCGGATGTCCAGAAGGAATTGGATGATTTAAGCAGACTCGAGAGTCTCGTGGATGGCTAGGTTGTGGGATGTGTTAGGGGATATTGTTTCATGGCGATCATTGGGATGTATTGCTATCATGATGATTTGAACAAAAGTGAGTTTGTAAGCCATAGTCCAAGGTGATTTTGTATTCTGAAATGAATCTAATCCAATAGTCGATGAAATACTCCCACCTCCACAGTGCACATCGCCCTGAGACACCGAATATATTGCTCATCCACCTCCACAATAACCTGTCCGACTAGGCTGATGCACTCATAATTATCGCTTTCAAAGGTCCCAAATCCTGATAGACCGTCATCTCTTTGATCTTCCCAGCCTCGGCCTCTCCAGGTGGAACACGGACAAAGTATACCAGCGCAGGCAACGTGACGGTTTCTTCGGGGCGACTTTTTGTTACGATCGAAACTTCGCAAGCATTGTAGATGCAAGTTCCATCTCTCACTGTATCTGTTTTACTTTCGATCAACAAGATATCCAAGCTGTGGGGAATAAATCTTACCAATCCGAAAATGTTTATGGCTCTCACGGACGAGGAGAGCATAAACACCTGCAAAGTGCTTCCCGATAAGCCAATATTGTGTCTCCGGGACTAAGTGAGGTTTCTTACCTGCTCAAGCGCTTTAAGTCCCCTGATCTCAGCCTCATTTCCGACTTTGAAGATTATGTCTTTCGTGAAGTGACGCTCAAAACGAGAGACATCGAAAGCATGCCAGTCGTCGAAGAACTATATGTGTCAATCAAATGAACTCCATAAAGGGAAGGAATCGCCAGACCTGTCTGTGAAAGCTCTCTGTTTCAGCTTGAGTGTACATTTTCAAGATTGATTATTGTGTTCTGGATTGATACTTCTCATTTTGCCGTTGTGTTGGCGATCTTTAATAGACCTCACTTTGTAACTCTTCACTCCCAAATGGTAATCAATCTTGATTCTGCTTATAAACTTTGGTGACATCCATCATTAAGCATTTCATTTCCTTTGAAATCCATCTTCGCCTCTCCGCGTTTTCATTGGATCATTCGGCTACAGCATGCTGTCCCCATTTCCTAAAAGAATTAGCCGCGATTTAACGAGGGGGAAATGTGTCAGCGATTAGACACAACACCGGAGCGGGCGCAAAGGGCCCGTGTGACTCAGCAGTTTTTGGATCCCCGAGCAATGTGCGAGATGGTGGTCCAAAGCGTAGAAAGTCACTCCATCAGCTTGACGAACTATCAGTGCATAGCTTGCACAAGAACCAAGAAAACGAAGTAAGCAAGATGGCTTCATGGTCTGGAAGCTGTGTAGTATGCCTTGGTAAATTGAAACAGAGAGTCATTCTAATTCTTCACCATTCGTTCTTGTCGCTATGGTAGAATTCATTGACGAGTTTATCGAGATAGCGAACGTCAAATCTGTCTGTATTTAATATAACTCGAGAACAAAAAGCCCGTTGCAGGCTTCCATTCGATATTCTTCTTCCCAGACTTGGATTGTGATATTTTTGTAGCCCTCGAAAAACAGTTTCTGCGTAAATAATGTCGCCTGTCTCTTTTGTCGGTCGAGTACTCTAGCTCTCCATCAACACGCCTCAGCCGTTTGACTCCCCAGCGTTCGTCCCGCTGTCAACACCAGAATCCTGGACATCTGGAGTAGAATGTGTTGATTGCACCTGCTTCTCTCGTGCTTGTTGCTCTCGCTCAAAATCTCGCTGTGCTAACCTGTCTCTAAAATGCTGCTCTAACTTTGAATTGAATCAATGTTTTCTGAAGTACTCCTCCCGCCTCTCCTCACGACTTCGTTGAGGACGTTGAATCGGCGGTCGATTGGCATGTGCAGCTTTGAATTCTTCACGTCGAGCCTTCTTCGATAGACTGTACGCTTCTCTTTGCTCCGGAGTCATCACGCTTTGGGGGGTTCGTGATCCTCGTCTGAACTCCTTGAAATCTTGTGTTGGCGCAGAAGAGCAAGAGTTGGAGTTGACTGTAGTGGTTGGTTCCGGGGTAGGAGTGGTCATTGTATTTTGGGGGCTTCCTTGCGCAACACTCGCGGAGTTAGAAGCGTTTTGAGAATCTGCCTTAACTGGCTCCAAGGTTATCTTTCCATCTTCATCAAGGTCGGATCTACTTCGAATGCTTAACGCAAATGATTTATCTTCTGCTTTATGGAGAGAAGAAGCCATTTGTGGTTGAATGGAATACTGAGGTGAGGATATGTGTCTGATAAAGCGAGGTGGAAGAGATAGAATTTTGCTCAACATGCATCAATAGCTGCGAGGTTGTTCAAGCCAAGCGAGGAGTTGTGTGTACAGCACAGCATTTACTTCAAAACCGGTTTTCGCAGATGTTAATGGCGAATAATGAAACACATGATGAGCTTGTGTTGGTTGGTTTTCGCTGCGCCGTCCGATTCGACGTTGCGAAGCGAGTCATGCCTATGATTTGGTACAAACGTGAAAGGTTGATCCAAGAGACGATTTTCTTGTGAACGTACTGTAGTACGATTCGAATAGACTTGGTTGGGTATGGCCTGATAGGATTCAAAAGCCTATCTCGAGAAGTATGGACTTTAGAACACTTTATCTCTTCTAAGTCTAAATCGCATAAGGGAAGGCTTCGTTGCTCAAGTGAGCGTGATAAAGAAGGAATAAGCTTTGGGAAAGTAGCTCTTTTCTTTGGCTTTCCATGAAAGTTGTCTTCATACGCTCGTGCAATTTGCGCTGCCTGCGCTGCCCGCGCTATTTGCGCAAATTGCGCCGAAATGAATTTAGATTCTTGATAAACCACGTGACGTGCCCTGATGCATAGCAAACGGGCAAGAGCCTAGCAAGGGTTTGTCAATATAGTTCTGCTTCACTTCATGCCGATCCTTAGTGGTCGCTACTACTGCTAAGCCCAAGATGTGTCACAGCGACTTCGCCACTTCCTCCTCCAGGCAACAGCCATCCCGTGACTCACTCGAGCAAACAAGCCAAACTTCTGCATCTTTGACTAGCGTACATTCTACCTCCCAAAAACTATATAAATCCCCTCTCCCTCCCTCAAAAAAAATTTCCTTCCTCAGCTCTCTTTGCCATTATGGCTTAGATCAAATGTAGTATCTGTTCTAACCAAGTTTAACCGCTGGTTCTGTCCCTCTCATGGTGACACATCCTTTCCGGATTACTATTTTTGTTATCGGCGGTGGGAATGCAGCGCGCTTGACGTGCGGTTCTTGCCCATTGTGTCCTTGGTATTACACTGTCTCCAACGGATGCGAATTGAATGAGCTTTTCATTACGAGATCTGCTTTGGCAGGTTCGTGAAGAAGAGTTTGGAATTTAAAAATGAATAGAGATGAAAGGCTTGATGATGAGGGCATAGAAGAGGGACAAAGAATGATAAAAAGCTGTTGAAGATGAGGAGCACTGTCACGAGATGATCAGCTAATGGGCCATATCAAGGTGGATCTTATACCACCAAGAAAGCTTATTCCAGTGCCATTTAACTTTAATTCAACTGGACGATTGTTTCTCAGCTCTGTTTGCCCCAAAGAGTTCACCGAAAAGTGTATGTCACACAAGCCTCGATATCGCAACACTCACATGTCGAGTGAACTCACTCATGATGCCATATTGTAATGTGTGACATGGCCTTGAAAGCATTTGCTTGATGCACATCGGACATATTTCAACACGTGTCGTAGGTTTATTTCATGCCGTGCCAACTGAGCTGATCGTTTTCGAACTGTGACATGTCGTGAGGCAAAAATGAAATATTTCTGGAAAGCATGACGCAGATTTACCCGGCAGCAACGAAAGAAAATTTCGAAAATCGAAGAATAAGGAAGACTACATCCTCTTGGGAAGATCATCCCATATATCGTCATGGCAGTCTTTACATCTAACAAAACAGTTGCAGAAAGAGAGACATCCTCATCATTGCCATCTGGCGACGGTAGTATCATCAGATGAACGCAATAGATTAAATTGTCATGAGAAAGCTTCCAGAAGGTCTGGGGAAAGGTGGTGAATCAGCCACTAACGTGGTGTTCATGCATTGGCACTTCCCGTCTCTTCGGAACAGAACCCCTCCGCACCCTCAAGCATTCGCGGACTTTAGGGAGGTAGGAGAAAAACAAAAGTAAGGGCATAACAGAATACAATTCTGATCAGCAAACTTACCGATAGATAACTGGAAGGAAAGTTACTTACCGAACATCATTCGTGCCCTAAATGCATTGTCAATCCAGACAATCCCCCACTCTCAAGCCTTCACCCCGCAAATGTAATTGTGCACCTCTCAGAATCAAGACAGACGTAAGCTTCAGACACACCATCCACGGTGCTGGAAGCAGCTGCTGAAGTTGGGCTCAGCGCCGTCATGTCCCAAAGCCAAATATATTAATCCCCGAGTCGCAATTTGGTGGACAATGCGCGCTGTTGAGTGCGGGATGCCAAGCTTCAGGATCTGAGACAGGCATATAAATTGAAGTTATATTGCAGGGCCGAAGGACTGATAACCTTAAAGCTCGCAAGGGGGTCTTCGCCTCGGAACGGGATTGAACAGAGGATTGTTATGCAAAGGAAGAGTTACTTAAGATGGGACGAGTCCGTGAGTACAAAACTCTTTTCCCCGAATGGTTGCAATTGCACTCCTTCGCGGGCTATGTATAGGTAGTGCGTGGTGCTGCTTGCGTTCACTCGTGAAGACCGTGGAGGTGGTTATCGGCGGATCCGGGTGGTGAGGATCAAACTTGACGGTGATTTATTTGACATCAATCTAAATCAGCCCTGTGTTGATGAGGTCTGAAGGCCTGGCTTCGGAGCGGGAAACACAAGTTCAGGATTATCGGTCGTGGAGCAGTCTAGATGGTGTCGATGACGATGTTCGGAGGAGACCAGCTGGGAGGCATCCCGTAGAAGGAAATGAAGGGATTCAGCTTAGGATTTGTTTCCAAACAACATAGGCAAGCGTTTAATCTCGAAAAAAAGTTTCTTTCCGCCAGAAAATCAATCATTGGCCAATATATTCCCAAGATTTGCTTTTCAGGACGTTCACGGATTGCTGTGCCTAATCACGTGGATCAGAAGGCACGAACCAATGTTTATCTCAACCTCCAACCTCTTTCACGCATCACCTCCACTCCTCGACCTTCTCAAACTGACTTCTCAGTTGCGCGCACAAAGTGGGAACTCTTATAATTTATTCGTCGTGTTTGCTTCTCGTCCAAAGCTGAAGATCATACTCGTGGATTGCGACTCGCCCTTCACGGCACGTTTATCGTTGACGATGTTTCATCCCATATTCTGCGACTCCTAGAGCTTCAGAGAACGCCACCATATCGCTCCCTGGTCAGGAACAACAGACGGACCGACGCTTGCTGGGATAACGGTCTACGGGACGAACTGTTCAGGCTGAGTTCTCCACTTTCTTCAAGGAACTTTGTTTGATTTCTGGTTTGTGCGAACGGAGAGGATGCAATGTTTGATCTCATCTCCGCTGGCCTAGGCCACAGAAACACACACCCGTGCTGCTGGCCACGGCGGACACTGATTCATCACGAATTTCACATTGCTTGCGATACGAAGATGCCCCGAAGAAGATAATGTTGATGTTCTGAGCTGAGATGATGGCAAACCGAGATGGGATGCAGCTTCTGTGATACCCGTCAGGACTGTCAATCGCTCCGTGCGATGCGATCCAATGTTCAACCTTAATGCCTTTATCCAGTCGTACGTCTCTGCACTGCGATCCGTGGTCGAGAAATCTACAATTACATTTTTCTTGTCTCTGCCAGGATTATGGAAGTCTTCTTTTGCTCGTGCAGATTCTCTGACTCGTCAATCGCTGCGTCGCATGAACCACCTGCCCCACAAGCATCAACCCAGATATCAGGGGTCTAAGCGACCTTCTGCGACGACACCGAAACTCGAGATGTACCTCATCCGTGGCTTCACACTCGTCGTGCCTCAAGATGGTAGAGATCCAAGCACATTTCTGTGGCGACTTCACGCCATAGTAACGGACGACCGTCTTAGTTGAGCCTGATAAGCTGGAGACACTGGCTTGGACAACCTTTACTGCGCCTGGGCGGAACTTCAGATCCAGTTAGAGTGGTCACGTCCGGCAGAGAGCCGCCTCGCTGAGGAACAACCACTATGGGTCAGTTGAAACCAACGGCCAGTGACGATAGCTTTCCCCATCCACAGGTGGCGGGAACCACTCCCCCACCACGACAAGGTCCTCCTAGTCGGCCGGACTGGACTTCTCCCGCGCGTGGACCATTAGACGTGCGTCGAGAAGCTGCATGGGCTTCTTTCTTATACTTCATGCAATCCTATAGCGGTGCAAATCTCTGTGTCTCGACATTCTTTTTTGAGTTTTGCTGTCAGTTTGTCGTTACCTCCCCTTCTATTCGTCGGTGCTTTTGGTCACCACTGCTGGCTCAGAAACCCGTTTCACATTTGCTTCTTCCGCCGTTCTGGCCTATCGGTGGACTCCAGTCTTTACTTTCTCCCATACTCGAGTCCTTTCTTCTCTCTAACATCCCAAATCTTCAACAACCTCACACCACATGCGATCTTCATGACTTAATACGACGAACGGCAACGCTACGGCTCGCTGCCCCCGATAATATTACACCTGATGGTTGCTCAAAGGGTGGAAGGAATAATGGCAGCTTCAGCGAGGATGGTGATGTCGAGGGGGGTTCCAGCATTCAATCATACCGGAAATGGGACGAATCCATTCTTTCAGATGGCGACGAACCGGACGGGGCAGGGCAATGCGACCTTGAATTTGATATCGAATCTAGTGTTTGCTGAGAGCAAGTCAGTGAGGACGTCGACCATTATTCTTGCAGCTTTCAATGTGCTGGCTGCATTTGCGACCGCTGCCAGCATATTATACGATTGTTACTGGGCGTCGAAGAGGTGTAATCCGAAGTTCAAAGCTTCGTAAGTACAGATGGGATGGAGGAGGAACGGAGGCTGACTTATTCAGGAAATTCTGTGTATCGTCGATACATCCTGCAGAGACATTTCCTTTGATCCTATCGATAGGAATTGTCATTCAAGGACTCGTGTTTGCAGGTGTTCAAGGAGAAGGATTGGCATCTTTATTCACAACAGGCTGTGAGACGATAGCACAGTTCATGTGGCCTGGTATGTCGACTGATTCTAGTCGTGGATTCTAGCTAACAGTCGAAGCTCTGTTTATAGTGCCATACCTCCAACTGGTGTTCGGCTTGGAGTGCGCGATACGATCATTGCGAAGTATACCATTTCAAGGGAGAGGGAAATACGATGTTACGATATGCCTTGTTGTCGTTTTTGTTATGCTGATTGTCACCTGGATTCCATCGAACATCTACAAGGAACCAGACACATGCTTCGCCTCGCTGGTATGGTTCATTACAAGATATGGAGAGTTGGGATTTGTGCTGTTGTCGGTCGTGGGTGGATTGATGATTATTAGTGCTCTCACTATTTTCATCAGACTATCCACAGTGAACCTAATTGATCAGCATCAACGAATTGCTGCATCGAGAATGGTTTACTACCTGGTGTTGGGGATTGTATCGATGGTGAGTGGACTTTTGATTGAAGGTTGTGCCTCGCTAACGATTTCAGGCATTCGTACTGCCATACTTCTTTTCCTTGATTGATAGAGAGGGTGATATTAAGTTGGCCATGATGGCAACTGTTGTGTTGAATCTTTCTGGGCTGATGAGTGGCTTATTGCAACTCTTCCTCCGATCCAACACAGCAACGACATCCTTTGGTCCCAAGGCTGGTCGCTCGTGGGATCGTGGCAAGCACGAGATCAGAATATTTGGACCAAATGAGCTGGCGATGCACGCTCAACTGGTCAACCCAGTCACTGGGCCTAGAACACCAGTAAGCAGTCACGAGCTCGATAACCGACAAAGTCGGACAGATAGTCGAGCCAGCTTGATGGGTCCAGAGAAAGGACGAGTCATCAGCATGGAATCTCTCCATAGTCCAGCATTCCGATCACCAAAACGATACGACGACATGCCAGCATTACCTGAGGCATCATTCAACAAGTCACCAACACGAGCACATGCTCGAAAACCATCATACTCATTATTTCCAGCAGAGGGCAGCAGTCCCACAAAACCACAACAGCCAGTCTCTGTATACGACATTAGCGACTTGGCTCCTCCACCTCCCGTATATGGGAACTCGAGACACAGAAGAGATTCCTCCATCGCCTCATCAGCAACCGTGCAAATCGGCCTGCGGATATCGCACGCCCCTGCACCTTCACAAGAAGACCTAGATAGTCTTCCCCTCCCATCAACAACCTACAAATCTCGAGCAGCCGCACCGACCTCACCCTCATCACTAGCCTCTTCAGCATACAGCTCCTCACCCTTACCATCAACCACCTACTCCGCTGCTCCCATCCCAAAACCCGCCCCACCACCCTCACCATTAAGACTACAAACCGACTTCGCAGCTCCCGCTCCTCCACCCCGGAGTCCCAAACGACCCTCGCCAGCCCCAGCACCGATCGTAACCCGCTCACCAGAACAAAGCCCAACACGCTCCGCCGCATCAGTAAACAAAACCCTACCACCTACACCGAAAGCCTTCCTCCCCTCATCCGTCACCTCGACACTAGCTCGCGAGTCAACCACGCAATTATCGCCAGCCGTCTACTCACCGGCCAAGAACCTGCCGGCGAAAATCAAAACCGCCGCCACGGTTGCGGGTGGTCCCATGTCTGCGAATCCGTTGAGGAGTCCTAAGACTGGCGCTGTGGGGAGGAGTAATTCTCAACGGATAGCGGCGAGCAGTCAACAGGGTGTTGCGAAGGCGGATTGGATATGAATGATCGACTTTGATCAATTCATCTTCAATCAATGAATCTCCTCTTCAATTGAGGAGAAGTCATCACCAGCTCCACGGCGAAAGGGTGAGCAAAATGGGTGTCTAGAGGGAACGAACGAACGAAAGCACGATATAGAAAAGAGCGTCGCTCGGTGTTTGTTTAACTATGGGACGGGAAAGGGTGAATGGTGTATGTGTTTTTTCTTCGATTCTAATGATACCTTTTGAGGCAGAGACCTCGACGCGGGCCGACATTCATCATCCCTTTTTTTTGTTTACTTTTTAGTCTTTATCATCGATCGATCATACTATCTTTTGTCTGTTTTTTATAGTGTGGAGAGGGAAAGGGAAAGGAATCAAATGATGATACGATCTTTTTGTGGATGGATGGATGGGCTCTTGAGTAGCTTACTTGGCATTGGCATGGCGTTGGAGGTGAGGGAATGGATGGGTCTGTACATCATGATGTGGTGGACAGATAGAGCTGGGATGTATAGTTGATGGCTACAAAGATTGAATGGAACACATTCTCCGATTACTCTACACTTGACTTCGATTCTTCCTCGTGATTCTATCCCAGTGAGTCATCCACAACCATCTCATCCCATCCTTGGCTATGGTACTGAAGTCCACCTTCGGATCCTTCCACCTTGGCTGTTCTCAAAACAGTATTTATTTTCGTCTCTTCGCGCACATCAAACATCGCATCCTCGCGTTTCAACTTCATCTCACCCTCAGTCCGCCTCGCTGGGCTTCTGTTCCTCCTTGCATCCGATCGTCGATTGATCTGCTGTGCTTTTCATCTGCACTAAGTATTGATCATGATGGCGTTCCGTCTACTCATCTTCATCTAGGTTGATGTGTCTACTTTCCTCTAACGCCTTGCACGATAAGTCTTCACGTCACATCCGGCAAGCAAAATTTTCCTCTCTCCCTAGAACAGAACCGCCTCCCCTCTCTCCTCAATCCATCTCCATCGCTGAAAGAACACATGTTTGATGATACGATTTCTTTACGCACGTACAGTACGAACCTCCCTCCCTCCCATTTACCCCTCGCTTTTTGCCAAATTCGCACCAAACACGCACAAAACATATATTCTTCACGTTCCTGCATTTCGCAACCCTCTGAAAACGGTTACGGGCATGTAATGCCGACGATGTTGAACGGGATTAGAATTCGCTCAACTATGTATGTAGAAACGTGAAGATGAAGCTGAAGCTGCGATATTCAGGCTGTTTCTCTCCACACATGCATGTCTCGAAACGCTCTCTACGGCTCGAACCATCCTCTTCCTAAATTTTGAGACTCAATAGTTCAATCCAATCACTACTTCATTCAGTGATGAAAACGATCATGTTCACTTCAGTATTCTACTTATTAATCCTCACCTCAGAACTATACATCCCCTATAATCCCCAAAAATCCATCTCCCCTCCATAAACCCAAAAAAAACCCAGAAACTCAGAAGTTAAAACTCAGAACTCAATCTAAACTCCCAAAGATCCATGAATCGCATCAACCTTCTCTCATCGCAAAAGCCGAATCCTTGACGGTCTTACAGGTACGCACACGAAGGACTCGGGGGAGGACAAAAATAGGCATTTCGGAGGTTGAGAAGGGGTTGGTGCATTCGGTGTTTCAGCTGCTCGACCTCAGCTGTGTTGGGGTGTTTGTGGGGATCACTGGTGCGAGGGGCAGGAGTCACGAGATTTCAATGAATTGAGGTTGGCGGGAGGTGATGTGATAAAGTCGAGATGGAGAAATGTGAATGAGAGAAGGGCGGCGCCATGGGAGGGTTTTGAGGTGATGTTACACGAGTTGTAGGTAGGGTCGGAGAAAGATGGACGTATTCACGTGATAGATGCTTTTTCGAGTTTCGGATGCTGGAAGAGTTGATGAGATCTAGGCACTTATAGATATAAGGTACCTTTTACATCTAGTTTGAGGGAATTCAACTACCTAGTAAGACCAAATGTTGCTCAGTCATGTGAACAGCCATCATGTGAAAACATAGTCCTGTGAGAATTGGACCAACCAGAACCTCCCACTCCTTTGACAAATATCTCACAATCCGACACCTCTTCATCCCATCCTCCCCGAGCTACACATTCAAATATTCCGGGGTAACCTCTCCCAACCTACCTTGATAGGTACAAGAAGCAGCTTTATTCCCCAAAACAGACATCCAGTCCGTTCATCCAATGCATGCGTTCAGCATTCATGGCACGAATCAATATGGTTGGTAAGGTCTTAGAATGTATGCAAGTGTGAGGCGGCTTCATGCACCACCGATGGATGGATATTTGGAACTGCGAGCGAGCTTTTACCCCAGATGATGTATTTACCCCGCATTTAAGCTACGATGGAAGGAGTAATTGGGAGAGTCGTCAGCTTACTTGCTCTGTTAGTCTAGAGAGACGATAAACGAAGGAGGTTGGGTTCGGTAATTATGTTATGGCTTTGTTGAAGATTGACATAAGTGATGGAGTAAATACTTAGAAATAAATAATAGCGCTCGAGAAGGGAGAAAGGGAGAAGCATCTCCGAAAAGATACCGAGATACATCGATGTGGGGTTGGCGGGTGGGTCTCCGAGTGCCGAGACATCGCCGGAGTATCGCAGTCCAGCGCTGGAGCTTATCGATAGATAGGTGGAGGAGGGGAGGACAGAGCTGGAGCTGACACCAACACCACAGCAAAAAGCCCAAGAAATTACCCCGCGTCAGCAACAAACTGGAATTAAATAGGTTGAATTTCGAAGACTTTCGCATTCGCTGTCAAGCTGCAGCTGGATCAATAAACAGAATACCAGGACAGCGGAATCGAATCAGATATCTGTACGAGAAGAAAGTTCACAGTGAGGGGCGGGCAATGACCCGACCAGCAAAATAATAGTCATAGCTCCCTCCTGTCTCTCCCAATCATACCGAGTACCACCGAAACAGCTCCTTTCCAACGCAGCCGTTGCCCCTCCTGCTCGGAGACGTGGGGAATGTCGAGATGTAGAATGGGACTTCGGTAGAAGAGTGAGGGTTGGTGAGTGGCTAGAAGGATCTGGCAGCTGGGTGTGGAGTGGATGACGGGTCCTGGACTGGACTGGACTGCTGGTCTGTACTTGGCATAGCCGTGAGATGGGCGGGCGAGACTCGTTATTTGTGGATGTTCGCGAGCGACAGTCTGTCTGTACCTACCGTACTGCATTGGGTAAGAAGAGGGGAAAGAGGCAGAATGGGAGGAGAACGAGTAAGAAAGTGCTGGGATGGAGGGGACGAGACGAGGATGGATGGATGGATGGACATATAAAAGATGGATGATGCCCCGGGAATGGGAATTTATTCGATCTGATCTCTTCCATTTTATATCATATCATCTCTTCCTCACATACCCCCCATTTCGTCTATCGTCTGCTTGCAACAACACCTCAGGTACATTCAAGGTATGTAGCTATCATCTGATTTCCCACGCTTCACTATCACGAATGGTACGATGAGAATCGAGTCGATGCCTGTTTGATCCCATCATCCGAGACTACTCTCTCTCTCCTATCTCTCGATCTCGTTGTCTCGCTGGACTGCAATTACGTAGCTCCCCTTTATTCGTATCTCTGACGTTGTTGGTTGGGTTGGGTTCCAGGTACATCATCCTCCACCGCATATCCGACCCCGCACTTGCGAGCTTCCCAAGCTATCTCCGGCCCTGCACCCATCAACATATGACCTCCTTTCCTCCCATCCCATCCCATACAAAACCACAACAACCACTCCCACAACGCAGATAATTCTACGTCTCACTCACAATGGTATTACTCACTCGTTCAATCTGCCGTCTGGCACGTCCCGCATTCACATCTGCTGCCTTCACCACCGCCGCGAGACCTACACCTCGTGTGCTGTCTCGTGGAGTTCAGGCACTGCGACGGGATCATCTTGGAAGTATCAGAACGCTGACAGGGAAACGTGAAAAGGTCAAGGTACTCCTCGTATTGTACGACGGCAAGAACCACGCCAAGGAAGTGAGTGTCCCCATTATGCCTCAATTGACGATGCAATTGCTGATTGTGGGGTGAATGTAGGTCCCGGAACTCCTAGGCACAACCGAGAACGAGTTGGGTATTCGACCATGGCTTGAGGAGCAGGGTCATACTTTGGTTACTACGTCTGATAAGGAGGGAGAGAACTCCAAGTTTGACCAGGAATTGGTCGATGCTGAGGTTATTATCACTACACCGTATGCTGCATACCCTCTCTGTCCATCCCAAATACTGAAGGAATAGATTCCACCCTGGCTACCTCACCGCCGAGCGATTGGCCAAAGCCAAGAACCTCAAGCTCGCCATCACCGCCGGTATTGGATCCGACCACGTCGATTTGAACGCTGCCAACAAGACCAACGGCGGTGTCACCGTCGCAGAAGTCACCGGTTCCAACGTCGTCTCCGTCGCTGAACACGTCGTGATGACCATCCTCATCCTGGTCCGCAACTTCGTCCCCGCACACGAGCAGATCCAAGCTGGAGAATGGGACGTCGCGGCTGCGGCCAAGAACGAGTTCGATCTCGAGGGCAAGGTCGTCGGTACCGTGGCCGTGGGCCGCATCGGTGAGCGCGTCTTGAGACGTCTCAAGCCTTTCGACTGCAAGGAGCTTTTGTACTTCGATTACCAACCCCTAAAGCCTGAGATCGAGAAGGAGATTGGGTGCCGTCGTGTTACTGATTTGGAGGAGATGTTGGGTCAGTGTGATGTTGTTACCATCAACTGCCCTCTGCACGAGAAGACCCGTGGCTTGTTTAACAAGGAGTTGATCTCCAAGATGAAGCCTGGTACGTCCCTCCTTTCCTCTCAATATAACCAAACTAATAAGATAACCAGGCTCATGGCTCGTCAACACGGCCCGAGGCGCCATCGTCGTCAAGGAAGACGTCGCCGAGGCTCTGAAATCCGGCCACCTCCGCGGCTACGGCGGCGACGTCTGGTTCCCTCAACCGGCACCCAAGGACCACGTCCTGCGCTACGCCAAGAACCCCTTCGGCGGCGGAAACGCCATGGTGCCGCACATGTCGGGAACCTCGCTCGATGCGCAGAAGAGATATGCGGACGGTACCAAGGCGATCCTCGAGAGTTACTTGACGGGCAAGCATGATTACCGACCGCAGGATTTGATTGTGCATCAGGGTGATTATGCCACTAAGGCTTATGGTGAGAGGGCGAAGGCTAGTGGGTCGAGTGGAGCGAATAAGGCATAGGTCCGGAATGTAGGGGGTGGGAACAGCATATGAAATGTATAGCTTAGCATTGAAATGCGATGATCTTAGCTTTTGCGCTTAAATATGTGTCCGTGTTCATGTTCTTTTTTACACTTCGCTTTCCTACAATGTACCACTTGATCATATGTTATTCTTGCTATTCGATTATTATACTTTAACTTGAAGACAGCTTATGCCCCTCCAAAGTACTCACTTACGGACAGACATTGGCTTTCCATTTCAATTTTGTTTACGCACTCTCCTCACATTGAAGTGCTTCAATGTATGTCTCCATAATTTTAGTTTAATGAACGAGTATGTCACAGCGCCAGCTGTTACCAATCGCCTGAGCCAATCGCCTGCGACAGAGGCCAGGCCGGGAATGGTGGCGTTCCCGAGCTTTAAGCCTACTAGGGCTTAGCTCCTCACATGACATCCCCTTACTTCTAACATATATATGTATATAGATCTCTCCTCCTCTCCTTTCTTCTCTCCTTAGCTTTAGATTCTAAATGAATAGCCCGACGTTGCGTCGCCACCTCACACCATCGTCACAGTGCTGTCACAGAGTATGTGACGGGTTGAACCCGATATCTGGCTGCACTACTACGTAGTGCAGCCTACACGTGACTACGCGGGCCTGCACATGACGACGCGACGCTAAAGCGCGCGGGCCATTCTACGAACCAGCGAGAGCCCCTTTAAAACAGCTCTTCGTACGAGAAAGAACTCTTCTCTCTTTAGTTAATTCTTCTTGTAATACAATCAGGTTCTTGCTTTGACTCATTGCATCCAACCCGTGACAGAGTACACCAAAGTTCTATCACCGATCACCTTAGCAATATTTTTCTAATTAACAACAACCCAAACAACCCGCAACAATAAAACCAAAAAAAACCCACGAAACCCACCCCTATATTAAAATCCCCTAAATCCCTACCTTCACAACTAACAACTAACAACTCTCAGCCACAACCACGGCCGCAACTGTGCCACGTTTGGGAAAGAGAAAAAAAGTTCAAGATTGGGAAATGATTTTGATTTCGTTCAAAATGACGTTTAAATGAATTAAATACGAAATTTGTTTCGTTTGCCAAAAGAACTGCACTTCCAAAGTCGTCTTATTGTCCGACTCGGAAATTGGTTTCGGGGCGAATGCTGATCTAGCACGTGACTACACGTGATCAGAAAAGAGGGAAATTAAGGGGTTTGGCCAGAATCTATAAGAAAGGCTCACTTCTCCTGCTCATTCTTGGTTCTTTTCTCTTCCTTAAGCTGCAGCTGCTTCCTTCACTTATAGTCTGGCCAACTATGCCTTAATTGGTGGCGTACAAGCTCACTAGACCCCTCTAAATACATATTTAGAGCTCCAAATCAGTCTCCAGCCTTGCTCAATCTTTTGAAAAAAGTGAAGGGACTGAAGCTTTCCTGGTTGAAGCTTTCTAGAGGTTCTTACTTTCTAAAAGCGCCTTACTTCCTCAAATCCAACTCATTTCACATAATTTTCACGTGATTTAAAGTTATGTGAGTAAGTGCTATTACCTCTATTTTTCCACTTTTGCACTGTTTGATGAGTGTAGCCAAGGCATTATGCTTTGTATATGCTTTGCAATGTGCATTCTTTCTTGTAAGGGGGTATGTGGCAGAGTTTTGATTATACTACGTAAGGCCATGTCATGTGCTAGATGGCAGATAATAACCTAGTGGGAGGTCAGGGTAAAAGCCTAAGAAGCTTAACCTTACCCTACCCACCCACTAGATAGGTAGAGGGCCCCTCTAACTAGCCATTAACCACCCGTGCCGCGCCCTATCAATAAGGCTGAACACGCGATTAAGCGAGGTCTATTCCTAGCCAGAAACGTCTGTATAGATTTAAATAAACATTTCTTTGCCATAACAACAAAACCGCATAGCATCCATGTGAGAGAACCTAGATGGACTTGGCTTTGACAGAAAAAGAGTTTAAGTTATTCATA